CCCGTTCGATGTTTCGAGTACGAAAAATTGATCCATGGATGCTCTGAACACGGTTTCCCGGACAGCGACGATTTTCCATCAGTTCCCCACAGCGTACCAATCTCGCAAACTCCACGTAGCACAAAAATCAAAATTAACAAACTTTTTCGATACAATAGTCGTTTCCGAGTTTGCTACCCAAATGCTTTGCAATCGGCCGATTCCTTCGACCCCAAAATCCGTTGTCAGGGTAGCTACATTGGCTATCGTTTTGGCGTGGAGCACGAATGGTCCAGACGCCCGATATTAAGGGGGAAACGGTACGATGTTTGCATGGCCCCCAATAATATGATCTGTTGCCCACTCAGCGGAGTCGTAAACGTACTTTTAAACGCAAAAGGCAACGATGGATCCATGCATTCATTGCATTGGAACTTTGTTGGGTATCCGGAGTACTCCCGTAAGTATGCAGTGAAGTCGATATATATTGTGAAGTGTAGAAATCCACCGACGAAACCCCAGCAACGGGTTTATATATCTCTGCTTCGCTCAGGGGGAAAAAGTGTTAAAGAAGCAAACAATGTAAAGCAATTGCAAATCATTGAGAAAATAACCTTATACTGCAGCGCCGTGGCACAAGACACGTAGAGTGTGACACGACGGTCCGCGGTTCGCCATGCGTTTCCGCGCGGATGACAGGTACCGGAGATGATACATCTCACCCGCTGCACTGAACGCCGCGTGGATGGCACTATGGACTAGGCTTTGGCAGCGGCAGACCAAAATGAGGCATTGAGAGTGAAGATCAGCATTGCTTTTTGGTGCTACGTTCGATAGAGTACGGAGTTCATAGGCCCAAAATAAGGTGATGATGGATCAATTTCAACACGTCAGTTGTGACGCTATACGATGTTTAATAGTGATGCGATTAGTGAGAATTGTGGATTTTGTGGTCTGTCTGATCTGTCTGCAAACCGGGGAAATGTTTCCTTAAACTGTTAGTTGTCTAAAATCTGACCTCAGAGTGAGGCGCCGGTCGCTACTAGGCTAGGTCTCCCGTGCCACGATCGGGGCTGTGCGCTACCGGTGGAGTGCGACCAGCGCTGGATAGGGTGTAGGGTAGTCGTTAGACTGGCGATAGCACCACGATCAGGGGTAAATTAGTATGGGAAAGTGACAGGCACGAAGGCCAGGTGGGTTAGGTCGCATGGGTGGTGGCAGCCGGGACATTCAATAGCGCCGCAGATCGGGGACGCCGCGCTGGAGAATTTATTGACAAATCCCCGGGGCAAGTCTGGAGCCTGAGGTGATGACATGCTTGACAATTGGATGTATTAGTATTTCGAGTAACGAAGAATACCAAAATAGAATACAGGGATTATCACGATGAGAGATCAAAATAATGGAAATCAAGATCTGGATCTCGAATTTGTTGTTCTGATGTCAGTGATTGGTGATAGTCACGGGATGCCGCATGCGGTTCGCGTTCAAGGTTTCCTTTTTGTTTACTTTTTAACGCGAGATGGGCACAACATCTGACATCATGATAAGGCAGATTGAGGGGAAAATGAAAGGCCCAGACACTTGGGATGTTCCACGATGTGACGACCCCGCAGCTGCGACAGGGCACATCGGCTGGAGACTCGACACGACTGGCCCATTTCACATGGCGCTGTGACGCAGATGACGGGTCACATCATCGTGGATTTCCCCCGAACCCCACCTGGGCTTGGAATACTGCAGCCGTGGCGCAGCCCTGCAAGATACAGACCGGACTGACCGACAGGATACCCCGGTTCAAAGTTCCCAAGAGACGAGATAGGGAATAGTCAGCTTACCTGGTGCAGCCACTTTTCTCGTATGATTGGAGCACTCTCATGCGCGGGTGCATTAGGCGAGGCTATCATTGCAACTTGATGGTCAATTCGCGACGCGTCTGGAAAGTCAATTTTTTCAAAACAAACGTACACTCCAATCAACAACGCACGTCATGATGGGTGTTCAACAGGATAGAGCACAAGTAAATGGTCTAGATCCGGATGATAAAGTCTGAAATGAGAATGAAGCCGAAATGATGCGAGTGTGACGTAGGCACACGGACCAATATGGGGTCCTGTAGCTTGAGGCAGTTGAAATCTTCCCGACGCTACTCCGAGAACCCGAGGGCGTGCGAGGCCACACCGCATTGTTATAGTGGCTGCCACGGGGTGTATGTATCAGACAATGGGACAGAGCAATTGCAGGTTGATGGATCAACCGTCATGCAGGCTCATGTGGCTCGACCCAAAGAGCTCACGTATCAGAAGCAACCCGGTGTTTCACGAAAGAGGGGTCATTGAGTTCCCAGAATAGCAAGTCGTGGGGTGCAGGATTTGGCTCAATGCATCAAACCCACTCTGACTGGACGAATGTAGCCGACTCCATCGACTAGCAGTTTCAGCACGACGAAGAGCCGCTTTGCAGCGTGGTGGCAAATTAAATTGATCAATTGGACCTGCTGATTTGCTTTTAGCGTGTCCCACACGTCTGATATCCTGCATCGGTTATCCGGAGACTACCATGAGACCCAGAAATGGAGTCGGTTTGCCGCCAAATGTGATCAATTGTGCCTCAGCACCAGTCGATCGGCTCATTATTGACGCTGAAAAAAGATTAGCGGGCAATTTATTAGCAACAAGCGCCGGTGACGTGATCTCATCAATCGGCCCCCAGTGTTTTGCGGTAATTCCGATAGTGTTATGGAGCTTGTAGTTCTGTATTCGTCAGCCCCACGGTCGGAGCCGACGATTTCTGATATCGTTGCGGAAAATCCATTTTTCGGGGTTTGAAGAGCGACCAGACATTCAGCAGGACGGGATAAAGGTTCCTAAAACCAATGGCCCAAGTATAGCAATTAATACCAGAAACATCCTACGAAGGGGCTCAAGGGATGCGCGACATTGAAAGATCTCCTCGCGGATCCTTGATCAACTGGAATGCAAGTAAGGGCAGCGTCATGGACTATGGGATTATGATTGAATTCCATGGACTTGAGATAACCTTCCATTCCTTGCTCAACCATATCTGTCCAGCAGGTGCAGAAAGTAGAGAAACTGGGGCATGATGGTGGGGTAGCTAGCTTGCTCCGATCGCGTTCTTCCGCCCAACGGGGTAATGATCATGCAGGGACGAACTCTTTTGCTCGATGATGCGCCATCACTGAAATCACACCAATCACCACCTCGGTTAGGATCTCCGATCCCAGGCACACATGCTCTGGGGATCATTTCCCTCTTCCCTTTTCGTCTGAACCTTTCATCTCCTCATCTTAATCTCTTATCGGCCCTAAACCCTCCTTAGTGTCCTCACTTCGGGAATGATCGTCCCCAAGTTACAACGCGCCATTCATGAGGTTCAGGGAATCAGCTGGATGTTCCTATTTGGTCATGCCGAATGGAGTCCGAGCTCTCACGAGTGCCCTTTGAAAGATCTGAGCTGGGTAATGTAGAATGACATCAGAGACAAGGCCATTCAAGCCGTTTCTCGATCCTTTATTGCATTGAATCCATTGCATTGGGTATCCAGTTCATGCTTGTCCTTGCATGGGCGATCCTGGGATCACTTGCATCAAGCCCTCGTTTGGCGTTTGTAGTGAAGCTCTATTTTCCGAACCAGTGGAAAGCGCTAAATTGAATTAGTGGAGCCCTGATTCCTTAGGCTCGATCTCGCTCCGTTTTTCAGCTCAGGTTTGCAACGGCACACACGGGATGTTTTATGAGACGAAAGAAAAACTCTTTTCCACTCCATAGTGGAGACCGAAGACCCATGGAAGACGCACCGAAACTATCCATTTGTGAGGTATAAGCCCCGATGGTACCTGAAAATTTTTCTATACAGGGTGGGCACCAGAGGAAATAACCCTAAAACCGTTTTTCAATTCATGGAACCGAGTTTGTCCCCTCGCCTTAGTATATTGATTTACAGAGTTCCAGGGTTTTCCCCAGGTTCTTGTAGGCCAGGGGGAAGGGATCTGAGTCCGCAGTCAGAGCTGAGCCTAATAGGTAGCTAATAGCCCGAGACACATGGTGCCAAGAGGTTTTGGGTCATTTTGGGATTTTCCCCTGGTAACCGTGCCCAGAAAGGAATGAAGGCGGACACAGACAGTAAGGTCTCTGATAGGCGCTGGGTTGCTGAGCAGCCAGTAGTCCGGACGATGGGCGGCAAGGGAGCCCGGGCAACCAGACTGGGGCCAAACTTCCCCCTGGAGGGAAAGCATGGGAAAACAGCTGCACATCCATACTCGATTCAGCCTGCAGGTCGGAGGCAGATTTTACATTGCATACCAATAAAATTAAATCAAATAAATGAATGTTTAAAAAAATGACTATTCTATAGTTAATTTGGGGAAGCAGCACGACCAAGTCCCCACTTTTTCCTTTCCAATCACCGACTTGCACACAACCGGGTTACCGCCGCATTATTACGTATGGGGAGCCGGTATAATACATCGTTCACTGTACCGTACACTATCTGGAGATCCTCCCCACTTGCGTTGCCATTGCAACAGACCCATCCCTTCAGCTTCACGAGTTTCTTTCTTGAAGTCGCTTTGTTCCACCTTTTCTCTACTCTTCTCTCTTCATTTCTTACGACATTCCAATCCGACAACCCCTCCGACCGTCCCCCGGTACCTTTAGTGGCCTTCGTATCCCTCCGACGGGCTTCTAGTTCATAGTTGCTTCACCCAGTTAGATACATCTCACTCTGCATCGCCCCCTCAGCCCACGAGCTGTCCGCCCCTCTCCAATTGCAGCTTCCGCCCCCCCGATCTCCGCACTTTTCGGCCATGATTCTTTAAGTTCTCCACGCTAGCTTACGATCAGATCTTCGGCCGCCGGTGGATTTTGGGCTTGGGATCTGGGATTTTCTCTTCTGGTTCGCTGGGAATACGATATCGGTGGTGCTCGGTTCGGAAATTCTCCGATAGGTTTGCGATTGATACTGTCATCGCAAAGGACGATATACTGGGAAAGGAAAAGGAAAAGAAAGACGGCAATTAAAGTTGGCGTGTCTTTCGACATTTGAGGATCGTGTGTAGCAGGTTGGACTTTGGCCCAGTTACGTCCGGTTGTCGTCAAAATGGAACATTCGTCTCCGTTGGCCGCTATGCAGCCTTCACCTGCTCTCTTTGGGCGGTGCTTCAGATCTGAGGCTCCTACTTCGTACCCATTGTCAGGGTTTGGCAGTAACCCATTCAACTTCAAAGACATCTCAATGAAGAAGTCTGGTGCCGATTACTTCAATATGGGTCCTCTGCAGGGTTCTTCGCCCGCTGCCAGTTTGGCAGCTGACCTGTCCCAAAACTTTCACATTGATCAAAGGTTCGTTGGTTCCATGGATCGTTCGTTTACATGCGGGAAGAGCATCAAAGAAGACTGACTCTATATTTAGTCCGCAGTTGGTAACGCCCCGGCGGTCTTTGTTCTCGACCAATGCGTTGGGTATGGCCAATCGACGTGGTATGCAATCTTCAGTTCGGATGGATCTATAAAGTGGGAGTTGCTAAGACAGTGGAACAGATAATGTGTTGACTACGCCTCCCTTGCCCTCGTCGCCCGGTATCGATCCTATGGAAATGAGCCCGCTGCCGCACAAGGCGGCTTTCATCATGACCACCGAGTTCGAGGTCCACTCGCCTTCCCCATTGAATACTCCCATGGACTCTCCTATTACGTCGGCTGCTCCCAGCCCTTTGCAGGCCTCGCCTATGGAAGCTCCGACGTATGCTGCACCTGAGTAAGTTGTGGCAGTATACTTTGGCCGACGGTCAGTGCTAATAACTAATATAGAAGACGTCGCCCTCCCTTCCTTCGGCCTAGCCTGGCTAAAAGCAAAGCCGCTTCTTTCCAGCTTGGGATGAACCGATCTAGTCAGGAAACCAAAGCACCTGCATTCCGGTTTAGCACCCAGGGAGCCAAGACGTCTTTGAGCACTTCGACCTCGCTGGAGGATATGTTCGGTGACTCACCTCCCCAAGAAAGATCTGTCTCTCGTAACAGCTCTTCGAGCAACCTGGCTTTGCCCCGGCTTCGCCCATCATTCACCCACTCTCGCAGCAGTGGTTCGCCCGCTCCAAACTCTATTCGCAAACCCTCTCACCCCTTGATGCGCCCTCGCAAGCAATGTCGTCGGTCATTGAGCATGTTTGAGAACCCAGCGGATGTTATTGCCGATAAAGAGGCTAAGGTATCAACAAATGCACCCCTACAGTCCCTCCAGTCCATCAGTGACATAGAAGCCGCTCCTCAGCCCCAGCTTCCTCACTTCACACCTGAGGATCGGGCGGACGGCCTGCCTCGCATCGCCAAAAACACCCTCTTGGAACTTCTCGATGGCAAATTCCGTGGCCAATTCGACAATGTAATGATTGTCGATTGTCGCTTCGAATACGAGTATGATGGTGGCCACATTGATGGCGCCGTTAATTTCAATGATAAAGATCGCCTTGCTGGTGAGCTTTTTAATTCGCCCAAGTCCCGAACCGCTTTGATCCTTCATTGCGAGTATTCTGCCCACCGTGCGCCTATCATGGCCAAGTACATTCGTCACCATGACCGTGCCGTCAATGTTGACTCTTATCCCCATCTTACCTACCCGGATATGTACATCTTGGAAGGTGGATACAGCGCTTTCTATGCTGAGCACAGCGCCCTTTGCTACCCTCAAAACTACGTTGAGATGAACGCGAAGGAGCATGAGTTCGCGTGTGAGCGTGGCCTTGGCAAGGTCAAGCAGCGTTCTAAATTGAACCGCGCTCAGACTTTCGCCTTTGGCCAGCACTCCCCTCAGATGGAGGATAGCCCGACTGGTCGCTGCCGCTTCGATGAAGAGCGCACCAATCGACTGATGAGCTCTCCATTCTCCATGGCTGACAGTCCCGTCCCAAATCGTACTCCTGGACGTCGGATGCTGTCCTACTAAACAATTTCTCGTTTATTTGCTTTACGGCGCCCAACGGATACCATTGTTTATTGTTTCTCGGAGCGAGGTGTTTCCTTCGTGGCATTTTGCTTTTTTTCCTTCTTCCCTGGTGGCCACAAAAAGTTTTTGAACCACTTTTCATTTTCAGCATCGGCATAGCGCAATGCTCGACTCTGGCAGCCCTGGTTTGCGATACCGATTTTGAAGCTGCGCAGAGCGCACATCCCTTGACTTCGCCTTCTACCCGTCTTCGACAGCTTCCCCTTTGAATCTTCTCCAGCATCGCCACGATATCCTGCTGGTGATATCGTCCTTTCCTTTTTTCCGGCTCACTCTTGACATTCAGAGTCCTGCACGATTCAGCGATTTCCTTTTTCTACCATTTTCCTTGCTGTCACCGATATGATATCAGGACATCTGATCTTTCTCACCGCATGGTTGAGACACGCCACTTTTACCCATGAGCACTACCGACGACGCCTGGGCAACCCAATTTGATGACCCACCCTCAGGCGATGAAACCCTGAGACAACTTTTTCCTATGTCCTGTCTTACGACCAATCGAACCGACTTGAATTGCTTACGAAGCCCAAAGGGCCATGTCTTTCCGTCGGGACCTTTCCTTATGCTCTCTGATCGTCCACAGACGCTTCATCCAACTCGCCACTACTTTGGCATTTCCTTCTCTCCATCTAATCTCTTTTCACGAATACTGCCCTTTAATGCACTTTTCACCCTTCTTTGTACAGTTTTCAAACCAATCTCCTGGAACAGACCTCCATTCCCTTGAATTGCATATTCATTGCGATGCGACTTATTTTTGAGCGCTTTTTTGCATGCATTGCATTGTACCTTTGCCCCTTCTGCTAATATCGTCCCCCCCTTCCCCTTTGCCTGTCCATCTGTATTGGGGTTGTTTTGTGGGGGAATCCTGGGGTTTCATGTGCATTCATGAGTGGCTGTGAGCCAGCTGTACATATACGAATATGCCTGGCAGTGTTACAGGAAGGAACCTTTCCGAAGGTTGAATCCTGGTGGGATTTAATGGGTTAATTGTGGCCAAACGCCTTGAGGAGGCTGTTGAATATGTTGTCCCCTTTGTGAGAAATGAAACCATTCAAACAATGCTTCTCTTTCCTTGTAAAATTCCAGACTCCTAGTCTCCGCATACTTTAACGAGGTTGTCAAATTTGCGTGATCGGCAAACGGTGGAGGAGGCGGGTGCATGGTTAATGACGATTGGCGGTTTCAAGTATGCGGAGTTTCTGATAGGCAGATTATTGCGGGCCATGTTAACCCTTACTCCATTCCCCTCTCCGTGTTTCAAGAGTCTTTTCCCTCTTAACTTCAACTTCATCTTCAATCGCAAGACTGTCACTCGTTTTAAGTCTTGGGGGCCGGCACTTCAAAGTCTTTCATTTCCTGGGACTGTCAGCTTAGATCCCAGTTGCATACGAAACCTGTTGCCTGGGTCGCTCTTTTTAGCCCGCAACCCTCGAAGTCGTCGTCATCCCCCGGACCCTTTCCCCTTCCATTCGCCATTTTCGAATCCCTAACACAATTCCGTGAATACGTCTCCAGTCACTAGTTCCGACTGTGCGCGCCCCGCCTCGGATTTGCTTGGCAGTTGATTCAGGGTCTCAATTGCGCTCTATCGGATTTACTTGTTGCTGAGCTGGACTGCATCACGAACACAGCCGTCTTACCTGGCCTGATTATTACTTGAATTCTCGCTTACGCGCGTCGCATGGAAAAGACTTGGCGCTTTACAGTCAACTTGAATCTCCGAATGTGTTCACGCTGATTGCGGTGTATACATTATGCCTTCGCTTAAGATGGGCGCGGCCCATATGGCACTCTTTGCGCGCGACCTTGCCTCGACTGAAGCGACATTCACAAGTTGGGACAAGTGTATGGCCAAATCATACTGCAAGTAGGTCAATCAGAAGCAAGACACAGGCCGAGTGAGGAGTATGGTGACCATGTACTGATCTTTTCGCGATTTAGATGGCCTGTCATTGTTGCGATCATCGTCGTTTCAGTTATTCTCATTGCGGTCATAGGTTGCATCGTTAACTGTATTTGCTGTGGTTACCGATGCTGCACCGCCTGTTGCGGTTGTTGCTGTCCTTCTGGACGCCGCAGGAACAAGCAACCCAAATATTACGATGACCCCCCATTGGTTCCCCCAGGCCCGACTCCTTCATACAATCAGTCCCCGGGATACAACCCAGCTCCCGCGTACAATCAGCAGCCCACAACCCCAGCACCACCATTGTACCGTGGCGCCGTGCAGACTGCCACCTTTGACACGGCCAAATCACCTGCAGTTAATATCAACGAAGATGCGCTCCCTGAAATGCCCACATGGGCAAATGCTGTCGATAAGCACGTCGAGGACACAGATCCCCACGAGGACGTGGAAATGGAGGCATTGAACCCCGCGGATCGCAAGCATGGCGCTGGTACGCCATTGCATGTCAACACGTTCGCAGACTACCCACCGGATCGGGGTACTGGCACGAGCACACCTGCTAGTGCTGCTGGATACCGAGGATTTAACCCGACTGATCCCTACGCTCGCCGCTCGCCAGCCCCTGCTGCTCTAGCGGCCACCCAGGATCCCTATGGCCGACGTTCGCCTGGCGTGACTTCCCCCGCAGCAGCAGCAGCTATCGACCCGTACAATCGGCGCTCTCCTGGCCCCGCCGCTGCTATGGATCCATACGGACGTCGATCGCCCGGTCCCGCAGCCGCATTTGCTGCTGCTCAAGATCCCTATGCTCGCCGCTCCCCAGGACCCAATGCCGCTTATGCCCCCGCCCAGGATCCCTATGGCCCTCGCTCGCCTGGTCTGACCTCTCCTGTCGGTGCCGTAAGCCCATACAACAGCCAACCATATGACCAGCACCAGGGCTACGATCAACACCAGCCTTATGACCACGTTCAGCCATACGACGACTACAGCCCCGTCGGCGCAAACCAAATGGCCAACCCTACCGGTGGCTATGCTGCCCATGGCCTCACATCCCCCTCCCCCAGTAGCAGCCTACAACCCACACACACACTATGGTTCCGCTCAAATGCAAACCCAGGACACGTTTCACAACAATGCTGGCTTCACCCGCCAGCCGTCCTTCGGCTCAAGCCAGTACCCACCCACATATACTTCCCAGCCTCCATACCGCGGTGTGTCACCCGCTCAGCCCGCGTCCCCACCGCCTTCTTTCCCTGCGCCTTCGCCGCATGACTACCAGAGCCATGACTACAGCGCCCAGCCCATTGGCCAGGCCGTTAGTCCGACACAGGAAGCGAGGAATCGCCCTCCGACTTTATTGATGAGTGGACGGCAACCCGCAACGAACTTCTGATTTGATGGCTGGACCGGTACATACTAAAAGTATGATGCTTTCGTTTTTTCGTTTTTCCGTATTATCTTCTTGAAAAAATTTTGTGTTTTCGGTTCGTTTTCACCTCTCTGCTTGAGGCAGACAGGTTCATGAGGGAGTGTCTCCTTTTCATTTTGATACCATCTCTTACTTTTTGTCATGTCCTCTGATCTCAAACGATTATTCATGTCGTACTTGGGGTTTTGTTTACAAGATGGATATCTTGTGCGTATATGATTCATCTATGTCTCAGTTTTTATGAGGCATTTTTTCTTTGTTACCCTGGATATTAGGTACAGCATTTCGCCAATGCATGGGATTTTTAGACACCTTGCCTTTCTGTGCACATACATGTTTGATTATGTAGTATTATGTGAGTATACACGCCGTCATTTCAAGGTTTGCTCCGCTTTGTGGTCAGTAATTTAGGTTTAAATGGCGTCGGGTTGAGAAGTTCAAATCGGCCTTGGGTTAGATGGCCGGAGTTTCATATATGCTCAGACTATTGGGTATTACTCTAGGGCAAAGTCATACTTCTTGAACGCCTCCTTGAATGCCGCGGTATCGGCTTCTTCTTCCTCAACGGTCTGGGTCGCATCCCTCCAGTTCATCCGCTTATCCAGCTCCAGTAGCTTGGCCATTACACGACGACCGAATTGAAGATCAAACCGGAAATCCTGCGATAGCTCCAGCATTAGCATCTTTTCCTCACCCGCCGCTGTGTCAGCCTCTGCAGACCCATCTGTATCCACAGAGTTCCAGATCCACAGCCGGAAAAAGTCACCTGCTTCTTCAGCGCCCTTTGATTCTGACACTGGGATGGTAGAAAACCGGGGGTATTTGAGGTTCTCGGCTTCGACCTTGAATGCGGCGTCGACTAGTCCGTCACGGATTAGGTCGATTGGCACAGGAAGGAATTGCCAGTGTGTGTGAATTCCATTCGTACGACTGACTTCCCACGTTACGGCACCGAGCTTGCCACCTGAGCGATCTGTGACCATTTTGTGCAAGGCAGTGCGGTAACGCTGCATCTCATTGTAGGTAGACGCACGGGATTCCGGGTCTTGGATTGAATTTAGTGTTGGGGAGTGCGAAAATGGAATAATGAGCATGTGGCCCGGGAAGCCAAGAGAAGAGAAGAAATCGTTTGGTGGGAGGGGACCCTTGGCTGTTGTGAGATAGCTTTCGTCGCCGATAGAAGTGATGAGATGTGTGGCGATGTTGGGGTTGGAGAGACAGAAGAAGCATTGGTCAGGGCCTGGGGGTGGAGCACGCTCTCTCTGACGCTTGTATGGACGATGGCCTTCACCTTCTGTTGGTGCAAAGCGTTGGAATGATTCCCGTTGAGTAGGAAGTCCCTTGCGCTTAGATTGAGGAGCGGAAAGAGGAGATGCAGTTGCACCGACCGGAACTGTGTACGATGGTGCAGCCTGTGGGTCTAATGAGAAAGCATACATCGACTTCTGCTTCGATTGGAAGGAAGCCATGGAGATGAAACGCGTCAATGGCTTAACATCAGGGCTGTCTTCTGTCGGCAAGTGGAAGAATGGCTCTCGTTCATAGAAGAATGGGTCGGATGCGGAAAAGTGGTAGCGAGGTTTTAGAGTGGCACAGACGTCGGCCACACACTGTACTTCAGCTGGAAAGACGCTCTGGTCTTCTGGAAGGGGTGCTTTCGACCCGACTCGAATTCCCTTGGGCCATTGGTTGGTAATAAGGATATCGGCGCTATGGGTGCCGAAAAGGGCACGGGCATCAGATTCGGCATAAGTTGATTGGAATTTGCCACTAGCATTGCTCTCAGGCTTGTGTGAATCTGCACTTGCTAGCTTGCCACCAAGAGCAGCAATACGAATTCCTTCCGAAGTTTTCAGGGTGCCTCGCTTGCCAAGGAAGTACAGATTCGGGCACACTTCATCATTGGCTTCGATCTTTTCCACTATCCGAGTTGGAAGCGGTAAATCGCCAACTGTGAAATATGTTGGGAGGGGTACATTTATGCTCCCCTGGAGTAAAGCAGAGATCTCATCCAGCTCACTCTCTGCTGAGCAGTCGCCGAAGAGATTTCCGACGATAATTGCAAAGGCGAAATTTTGTTTGACCTGCAATTTGGCTAGCTTTGTGAACACTGCTTTTAACTGGCAGTTTACACCTCCGAGAACAATGCTATTTGTCTGGTCAATACTTATCCAATGACTGGATTAAAGCTCACTTACATCTTCGAAGCCATGTTCCGATAATGGTATGATTTGCCTTCTGCAGAGGCGTGGAAGAGGAGGGGAAATCACTCCAGATTTGCACCAAAATTAAAGCCGTTTAATGGTAGGCTCTTGGTGTAAGTTGCTATTGAGGTCGCTTTGTTAAAGTTGAATGGGAAAATGCAACGAGGATCGCGGCGCATTTCTTGAAGGAGCTTGGACCAGCTCGTGACAACGCTAGTCCATGTTTGGTTGGGTGGAACTCCATATCGGATAAATGAAGCCCCGGGAGCCGATCAACTTTTTTTGTATTGAGCATGCGGGCAGAGAAAAGTTCCCCGAATATCTTTCTCGTTTACCTTGCTGCTTTTTGACACCGTCAAGATGGTGGTGCCAGGTTCACGAGACAAGCATATAAAGCGAACACAAAATGGCACCAAAACCACAAAGAACCACCGATGGGAGCCCTTCTCTCAGCGCATCGCAAAGCTCAAAATCGACCCGATCCACCGCGTGCGCCGTGCCAGCTTCGGCGAAGATGAAGACGAAACTACTTCATATTTTCGGTCTGCCCTCGACCATTGGGTGGATATGAACCTCTCGGAAAACTTTTCAACCTTTTATCGCCGCATTAATCCCCTCTCCGAGAGCCTCGCCCAGATCGTGTACCATGAAGAGAAGATTATGGGACTATTGGTGGAATTCATTGAGAAGAATGATGAACACTCCATGGAGCCGCTACTGAGCTTGCTCGCTCAGTTTGCCAGAGACTTGGGGGTTCGATTTGAGAAATACTTCGCGACTTCCGTGACCTTGGTTGCATCTGTTGCTGCAAAACACGCCGACGTCGAAGTTGTTGAGTGGGCTTTCACCTGTTTGGCATGGATCTTCAAATTTCTGTCCCGTCTTTTAGTGCCGGACTTGCGACAGCTACTGAGCATCATGACACCATATCTGGGCAAGGAGCGCCAAAAGCCTTTTGTGGCTCGATTCGCCGCCGAGTCCATGTCTTTCCTGATTCGTAAAGCAGGTCTCGTCTACTACAAGAATAAAGCGCCACTCGAGAACGCCCTCTCTTACCTCTACGACGATATATCTAAGACCGCCGAAGATGGGAAAGATGTCGAAAAATACAAGGAGGGATTGATGGTCATGTTCTCCGATGCCATCAAGGGTGTGAATAATGGCCTTCATTCCAATGGAATGGATGTTCTTCGTTGCGCGTTAGACCAGATGCCTCCAGCTGATAAGAACTGTAATTCTCCGGCAGAGATTGTGTATGGAGTGGTGACAAACCTCATCCACCACACTACACCAGAGACCTTCGGGCCCATTCTCGACACTGTCCGAGAATTTATTGAGTCTCGCTCACAAGGCTCTGAGAACCCCAATATCCCGGAGTGCTGTCATTTAATGCTTATCTGCGTGGCAACTCGCAAGGGAGTTCGAGTCCGAGACTGGAAGTCTGTGCACCAGACTCTGGTATCACTCCTACAACAAGTGTCGAAGAACTCGGAGAAATATTCGAAAGCAACCCTTGAACTTCTAACAACTGTCGCATACGCTCTTCAGGTCTCGCCAATGGATGAAATGCTTAGGTTCGTGCGCCCACTTATGGATCTGGTATCCACAGGACCCCTCTCGAAATACTTCTTGTTCTTTTGCACCACCTTCTCAGAATGGGGATCAGAACGCTTCCAAAGTATATTACTTCCCCATTTCCAGAAGTTCATCACTACTTCCTGGCAGGAGCGAGAGTGGGAAACATGCTTGACGCTACTTCGATTGAACCAAGCTGGTTGTATTACACCGGAGGTCTCAAAGCCTGGCTACATCTCATGTCCAGATGCTTTGAAATCCCGTATATTTGCCTCCTTGGTGTACCCTTCGACTGATGGATTTGGGTTGAACGCCTTTGTGAAACTTTCAAAGGCTATCTCGATGTTCTCCGACTCTGCTGCTCGTTCTGAAATCGTGAAGAAATTGCATGGAAACCTGAAGTCTGCTTTCAGTGATGCCTCCAAAACAGCAAATGAAACAGATGGATCGTTATTCTATCTTGGTCAGGGATTCAAGACATACGTTGAATTGGCTACTCAGTCTGGAGAGCTTGACTTGACTCTCTGGGAATCCATCTTGACAGTCTCGACCAAATTCTCTCGACTGTCTCTATTCCTGGAGGGTGTACTTGAATTCATTTCTTCTGCTCCAAGCACGGCAGATTTGGAAAACTCCGCAGTTGACGGATTTGCCAACAGTTTAATCCTCAACTTAGCAAGCCCCACGGCCAGACTAAGACTAGTATCTTTGCAAATTTTGCGCGAGCTGGTTACTCGCATCAATAAGGATGATCCATCACCAGTTTCATTGGCCATCGAGATTGAAGAGAGTCCCCTTACTTTGCAGAGTGCCCGAACCCTTTCAATGCACGTCCGCAAGTTGGCGATCCTATACCCTCAGATCGCTTCTCGCAAGTGGATGGCTACTCTGATTCCATACTTTTGTTTCGGTCTGTTTTCAAAAAAGCTGACTCCTCTCTGGGAAGACTCTGCTGCCGCTTTGAAAACCATCAGTGAGCACCCCGAGGGTGAGAAAATTGTTTCAGATTTGTCCATTCAGTGGCTGCAGGAGCGGGACTCTGGCGCTAAGGAGGGAGATGTGGAAGAGGAGCCGGAGGAGAACCACCTTGCAGGTCACTTCGTGTGTTTCAACGTTGCAAAGGTGGAGAGTGTTCTTGCCGCCAACTTGAAGACCGTGGAGGACCCAACTGCAATCTTAACTCAACAGTTCGAGAAGGACCACAAAAAGGCGGATATCATTCCTGCTTGGCCTCGCAGCCATGCGCTGCTTGTTTTGAATGCTGTCCCCAACATCGCGGAAAAGCGCTCACGGCAAATTGTGCCTCTGTTTTTGACCTGGGCATCGCGCGATGACCAAGACGACCTTCCCGCTAGTACTGATCCTGACACTCAGTCTGAGAACGCTCCAATTCGCTGGGGTTTCAAGGACCGACTTTCCATGCTCGGTCTGTTTGGGCAATTCCTGAACCCTATTGTCCTCTTCAGAGCTACCGAGGTCCACGATGCTGTCCTGGGTCTTTTGTGTCACGGTAACTCAGAGATCCAAAAAGCTGCTCTCAAGGTGCTTTTCACCTGGAAGAACTCGCACGTCCTGCCATACCAGGAGAATCTGCTCAACATCTTGGACGAAACCAGATTCAAAGATGAGCTTCAAGTCTTCGTGCGTGTTGGTGGCGATGACAGTTTGATTGAGCAAGAGCACCGCCCGACCCTGCTCCCTGTTCTTCTTCGCTTACTGTATGGTCGAATGATCTCCAAAGCCGGTGCAAGCGCGACCCAAGCTGGTCAGGCTGGCAGACGTAAGGCTATCCTGCGTGCCCTTTCGCATCTCTCCGAAGAGGAGTTCGGACTGTTCATGCACCTCTCTTTCGGTCCCCTTGCGGAAGTTCAAGTTGTCCAGGACGGCAAAACAAACGACAAGGCATTCTCCGAGGAGCTTACTAGCCCGAGAAGACAGCTTGGTTTACTCAAGATGATTGAAACGGTCTTTGACACCCTTCAGAGTCGCATGGCTCCCTACTCTGTGCAAACCATGAACGTTATCATTCATTGCTTGGTGCGAGCTTGCAGGGCTCTTCAAGACGAGAGCAGCGTTGATGAGCGTCTCCGGGGTGTTTACCAGAACATTCGTCAAGAAGCTATTCGCTGTCTAAATTTGGTCTTTTCCGTCACATCAGACAGTGATTGGACCCCATATGTCAGAGTTATTTTCGATGAGGTGATCAACAGCAGACTCGACCAATTCCCTATCGAGACAGCCCAGGGTGTATCTGGTCTGCTTCGTCTGTTCCACACCTGGGCTTCTTCGCCGAGATCCGCCGGGTATCTTGTGCAGCACAACAAAGACGTGCTGAACAAGGTCATTGACTGTCTCAGCGTCGAATCGGCCCGTGACGAAGTCAAGATCTTCGTTTTGGATGAAGTCCTTGTACCATTGGTTCGCTTGGCTAGCGGCAAGAAGCTTGAGGAAGACGAAGAAATGCCTGACATCCCTGCTGAGCAAATTCGTTCCGAGGTTCTTTCGCCCTACCTGGAGCATGCCCTTTCTCATCTTGGCCGTCTTCTGAAGAGAGGCCCATCGAAGCCTGTGCTGTACTCAGGTGTAACCGCCTTGTCTTTGACCGCGCCTTGCGTTGAGTCATCTGGTGAAACTTCGAGCCTTATCAGTATCGCAACATACTTGCTTCGCCAACCCCCAGACCGTGTCAACCCCAAGACCAAGTCTGGTCTTCTGAAGATTCTGGAGCACTTCCTGCCTCTTTACGATCCCAAGGAAGATGTGGCCCTTTCTGAGCAGGTCTTCGAAGCCGCCTCTTCCTTGTTCGATTACTTCAAGGATGACACGAACCGCGAAGTGCTATCAAGAGTTTTCATGGCTCTTGCTGCTCACGATGAGAACATGCAAGAAGTAGCTGCCCTGTGCGCTGACCTAAACTCTCGCTCAATGAAGAGACTTGAGCCCGATTATGAGCGTCGTCTGCAAGCTTTCAGAAAAATCAGTGACGATCTCTCCCAGACCTTGACCGCTAAGCAATGGAGACCCATTCTGTATAATATGCTCTTCTATGTCCGAAATGAAGATGAGCTAGCTATTCGGTCCAGTGCTGCTTTTGGCCTGAAGAGATTTGTTGACAAGGCTGCCGCTGAGACTGACGTGGAGGACTTTGAGGCTCTTGTGAATGGCGTCCTGATTCCCTCGCTGCAGTATGGTCTTCGCCAGAAGTCCGAACTGATCCGCTCTGAGGTCGTCTCTGTCCTGGGTTACTTTGTCAAGCTGAACCCTACCCGACCTTCTGTGCAGGATATGAATGCGCTCCTGGTCGGCGATGACGAGGAGGCATCTTTCTTCAACAACATTCTTCACATCCAGCAGCACCGTCGTCTGCGCGCTCTCCGTCGCTTGGCCAGTGAAGCCAGCAAAGGAAACCTCAAGTCCGAAAATCTAAGCAAGATCTTCTTGCCTCTGATTGAACACTTCGCTTTCGAGGAGGCTTCCGATGAGAATGGTCACAATTTGATTGCTGAAGCTGTCGCCACCATTGGCTCTCTGGCGGAATGGCTTGACTGGGCGCAGTTCCGTGCTAACTTCCGGAGATATCGTGGATACATGCAGAGTAAGCCGGAGATGGAGAAGAACATCCTCAGACTTATGGGTCGGATGTCGGATGCTCTGTCTGTTGCAATGGGTCAGAAGAAGGGACCAGAAGAGCAGACCAATGGCGATACCGATGCCAACGTCGATGTCGATGCGATGGAGGTTTCAGAGCTACCCAAGTGCACGCTTGCCAAAACTTCGCCTTCTCTTGCTCAAGTCTCGAAAGAATTGATCGCCAACTTCATTCCATTCTTGACCGATTTCCTTCACCACAAGAACCAGGCGGAAATGAGTTTGCGTCTGCCCGCTGCCATCACTACAATCAAGCTCCTCAAGATTCTTCCTGAGCAGGATATGGCTATTCGTCTCCCTCCTGTTCTTCTGGATGTTTGCAGCACTCTAAAGAGTAAGGCGCAGGATTCCAGAGATACTGCCCGGAAAACACTGAACGAGATTGCGCTGTTGCTGGGTCCTTCTTACTTCAACTATATCCTGAAGGAATTGCGGAACACTCTCTTGCGAGGTTACCAGCTCCACGTCCTGTCTTTCACCGTTCACTCGATGCTCGTGTTCACCACGGATGAGTTCAAACAAGGTGACTTGGACTATTGCTTAAACGAGCTTGTCGCAATTGTCATGGACGATATTTTTGGTACCGTCGGCCAGGAGAAAGAAGCCGAGGACTACGTCAGCAAGATGACGGAAGTAAAGAGCAGCAAGAGTTACGATTCGATGGAACTTCTTGCTAAGAATGCAACTATTCGTAATCTTTCAAATCTCGTTCGACCTCTCCAAGCACTTCTGCGTGAGAAGCTCAACTCCAACATCGTCAGGAAAATTGACGAGTTGATGCGCAGAATTGGTATTGGTCTTATCAGAAATCCCGATGCCGAAAGTCGTGATCTGTTGATGTTCTGTTACGAGGTCATCAAGGAATCCTACCAGGAAAATGTCACTCCCAGCAAAGAGGCTACCGCCAGGTCTTATACTGAAGAGCGGTTCTTGGTTAGACTGCAAGGAGCCAAGCGCGGTGAAAAGCGTGGCACTACTTCTTCTCACAAGCACAAGCTGACAAGATTCTCCCTCGATATTCTCCGTGCTGTTCTCAACAAGTTTAGCTCCCTTTTAACGGCGACAAACCTAGCTGGATTCTTGCCCATCATCGGTGATGCCATGGTTCAATCCCACGAGGAGGTGAAGATTGCCGCTCTTCGACTTCTGTCTACCATCATCAAGCTTCCGCTGCCAGAGCTTGACCAGAACTCGAACGTTTATCTCACGGAAGCTGTGAAGTTGATCAAGGAGTCTCCAAGCACCAACTCTGAGGGGTCGCAAGCGTCATTGAAGTTGATTTCTGCCATGATCCGTGAGCGGAAGAGCACTAAGCTCCGTGATGGACACCTTGCCTACTTGCTCAAGCGCTTGACAGCTGATATTGAAGAGCCTGATCGTCAAGGTATCACATTCAATTTCATCCGTGCCGTCATGTCCCGCAAGTTTGTTGTGCCGGAGATGTATGAGCTCGTGGATCAGATTGCAAGCATGATGGTCACGAATCAAACTCGCTCCGCACGAGACCTCGCTCGTGGTGTCTACGTCCACTTCCTGATTGAATATCCGCAAGCCAAGAACCGGTGGACCAAGCAGCTTGGCTTCCTTGCTAAGAATTTGGACTACAAGCACCAGGAAGGACGTCAGTCCGTCTTGGAAGCAATTCACCTGTTGCTCTCGAAGACTGGCCCGGAGATGGCGCAAGATATCATTAGCACTTTCTTCCTGCCAATCGTCCTCGCCATGGCCAATGATGAGTCACCTGAATGCCGCGAGATGGCTGGCGCATTGCTAGCACAGTTCTACAGTCGTGCCGATCGGGAACAGATGAAGACTATCCTGACACCTTTGCATGCATGGTTGGACCAAACCGAAAATATGGCATTGGGTAGCATTGGACTGCAAGCTATGCGAATCTTCTTTGAGTCTGAGGATACAGAGAAGGACAAGGAGGCTCGTTTCGTTGTTGGCATTCTTCCTGACTTGATGCAACCAATCCTCGAGGATCACGAAAACGGAAACTGGGAAACCCTTTACTTCGCGCTGCAGCTGTTCACCAAGCTCTGCAAGACCGTCCCCTCGCTTGCATTGGGCCCACAATGTGCCTCCATCTGGGCAGCTATCCAAGAATCGTTGTTCTTCCCTCACGCCTGGGTCAAGACTTGTGCTACCAACCTTGTTGGTATGTGGATGGCTGATCTGGCCAAGACGCACGCCACCGAAGGGTACAGTGCCATTCCTCTCGTAGGAAGCTCTGGTCTTGCTCTGGACAAGGAGGCAATGATCAAGCTTCTTCGTGCCAGTCTACGCTGCCTTCGCACCCCAGGTGTCATGGAGGAGCTAGCGATGCAGAGCGTCCGCAACCTCGTTTTCCTTGGTCGTTGCGTCTCACAGAATGGTTTGGAGCTGCATAAGGCTGGAGCCGAGGATGTCGAGTCCGATGATGAAGATGAAGATGCCGATAGTGAAGCCGAGGGCGAGGCTGAGACCGAGAAAGAGACCAAGGACGCACCCGTCCGATCAGCCATTGGATACCTCTTCAAGCAAATTTCTTCTCTCCTGCGCCGCGAGGTCATTTCAACCCGGCCAGAAGCTCTTATTCCCAAGACCGCTACCATCGCTCTCCTCGCTGCACTTGTCCGTCATGTAGAGGCCGATCAAATCGAGCCCTCTATCTCTGTCATCCTCCTGCCGCTGCAGCATATGACTGATCCCTCCATCCCGGCACCGCGATCTCGCGACGAGACCTTCCAAAACACATATAAGAGCCTCGTCGCTAATTGCCACGAGGTTTTGGATTCTCTCCAGAAGAAGCTGGGGGCATCGGAGTTCATCACGTACATGGCCAAGGTGCAAGAGAACATCAGACAGCGTCGTGAAGGGCGACGTGTCAAGCGCCGCATTGAGGCTGTCCAAGAACCGGAGCGATATGAGAAGGATAAGAGGAGGAGAAATGACCGGAAGAAGGAGAAGAGAAAGGAGAAGGGTCTGGAGCACCGGGGTAAGAGACGTGGTTGGTAGTTGGCTACATTGTGGTATCATATTTGACGATTGTTTTATGTGGCATAAAAAAGCAGGCGTTTTGGATGTATTAGATGGTTTTGTATATACCTGGAATTTGATTTTGTACAAGCTATCTGCATACTTGTCTGCATAAAATGAGTAGGCACCTGGCGTAGATATTTGACTCTTCCACATTCCTGTACGTGTATTGTGTAGGTAGTTTCCCACGGATATACAAGATCAATTCTATTATACATGATTATTTTACATCGACATGTCTCGCAGGCAGACAACCCTTTCTAAACTCATCTATACACTTTCTCTCCATGCCTGGGACCCGCCATGCTGAGAGTGGAGAACATCATATAATATACATTTTTACCAAACCCCCCCCAAAATGCAAGCGCAATGACCTATAATCTTTGGATCACCCATGTGAAACCCTCTAATCAGATTTAGCCTCGCCACCGCTGCCCTTCTTATCCCCGTTCTTACTGCCTTCGGACTTCAGGGTAGTTCCATCATCCCAGAATTCCAAATTGCCGTCCATCTTCCCATGTTTGATGGACTCTCCCTTGTCCTGCAAGATGCTTTCCAATGTCGTTTTCTCGTCATAAAAGATCCCCAAATGATCACTCATCACATGCCGGTTCTTACAAGACGGGCACTGAATCAACACAGTGCCACGGTGGTAGCCTTGTTTCGACATGCGGTGTGTGGACCGATCACCACATGGCTTGCAGGTGAAGGTGATTTGATAGGCTTCTTCCTTGCTGCGACGCTCTTCGTTTCTGCGCTCGCGCTCGGCGTCAGTCTCTGGTTGGCTGGCGTCGGCGGTAAGAGGGTTGGCTGTGGAGTTGTGGCGGACGGCCGATGGAATAATGAAGCGTGTGTGACCAAGGATCGAAGCTCGGGAGAGAGGTTGGGGCCGTGTAAGCTGTGTCGAGATATAACGGCTTGAGGAAGTGGTTTGGGTTGAAAATGCGCGCAATGCGCGGAGACTCTGTGGGAGGAATGGGCGCATGTTGATTGTTTGTTCTGGATTTGTATTGAGATGGTTTGATTAGAGCGCCTTGTTGTTCCTTGGCTTTTTGAAGGAGTGCGGGATAGCTTAAGATTGGAATGGTATGTGAATAAGATCCGCAGTGAAACCTCGGCGGCACGGATTAACTATAAACCGATGCCTCCTCCGCGGAGAGAGAAGCAAGCATGACAAAAGTGACGTGGATGAAACCCAATATTCTTATGAATTCTCCCAATTTCATCTCGAGCTGAGCGCGTCTTCAATCATGGCGACAATGCGGGCGAGACACAAAATTCGAGCTCCCCGTCGGGTACGTGATGAACCCCTCACTGAGTCACAATTCATGTCTGTAACGGGCAAGCACTGTAGCTAACCACACGATAGGGGCTCGCATCTTCCCAAACCGATGACTACGATGCCGTCTGGTCCGTCCTTTCGGCCTCCCTCACAGAAATACACACCAAGAATGCCTCGACTCTTTCGTTTGAAGAGCTTTATCGGAGTGCATATCGGATCGTCCTGATGCAGCGGGGTCAGGATTTGTATACACATGTGAAGGAACATGAACAAGGCTGGCTACGTGGCACAGTTCAAAAAATTGTCACGGACTCTATCTCAACAACATTGGTATGCGCTCAGACTCAGAATGCCTCTGAGTTGCTAGATCAGTCGAATGAGCGGCGGGCTGCGGGGGAGAAGTTTTTGGCCGTATTGAAAGAGGCTTGGGAAGATCATCAGCTCTGCATGTCCATGATCACCGATGTAATGATGTACATGGTGAGTTTCAAGCATGCTATCTAAGTGATAAATTGATCAGTCGCTAATTTATTCACAGGATCGGATCATCGCTTTGGATCATGACAAGCCATCCATCTACGTTGTCTCTATGGCATTATTCCGAGACCACGTCCTGAACACCAAAGTCCGGCCGGATAGTGATATGACTGTTATGGATGTACTGAATTCGACAGTTCTTTTTATGGTTCAGCTAGAGCGAGCGGGGCACATGATTGAACGACCGCTGGTCCGACACTGCACCCAGATGTTGGAAGGACTTTATGAAACAGTGAAAGAAGAAGAAACCTCTAAGCTCTACCTTACAATTTTTGAACCTGCTTTCTTGGAAGCAAGTACAGACTTCTACAAGGCCGAAGGACGTCGGCTTCTGGAAATTGGAGACGCGGCAGTGTTCTGCCGAATTGTCACTCAGCGAATCGAGGAGGAACATGAGCGGGCTCGTACTACACTTTCCATGCTGACAGAAACGAAAATTCTTGCATTGCTAGACAATGAGCTCATTCTCAAAAACATCGATGAAGTCGTCCAGCTGGAAGGCACTGGTGTCCGACATATGCTTGATCACAACCAAATGGAAGCATTACATCGAATTTACATATTGAATGCGCGAGTGGATAAGAAGAAGGAAGCCTTAAGCAAATCCGTCAATAAACGAGTGGTGGAGCTCGGCAGTGAAATCAACGCGGCGTCTATTGTTTCCCCAGCTGGAGCCACAGCTCCACCCGAAAAAGATGCAGAGAAAAGCAAGAAGGGCAAGGAGAAGGAACGACCGGCGAATCAGCAAACAGTCTTGGCTATCCAATGGGTTGATAGCATCCTGGCTCTCAAGCGACAGTTCGATAATGTCTGGATAAACGCGTTCATGCGTGACCAAGGCCTTCAAAGCTCCATCATGGCCAGCTTCTCCGACTTCATCAACATGAACCCCCGGAGCTCTGAGTATCTTTCGCTTTTCTTTGATGAGAACCTTAAGAAGGGTATCAAGGGAAAGACAGAAAGTGAGGTGGATGCCTTATTGGACAATGGTATCACCATGCTACGCTACATCAAAGATAAGGATCTGTTCGAGACCTATTATAAGAAGCATCTTTCACGCCGTCTACTCATGAAACGCTCCGCTAGCATGGATGCTGAGCGCCAGATGATCTCAAAGATGAAGTTAGAAGTCGGCAATCAATTCACCCAACGCATTGAGGCCATGTTCAAGGATATGACTGTATCTGAGGATTTGACAGCGAGCTACAAGGATCATGTCGCCAAGAGCGCCGATCCTGATCATAAGCCTGTGGATCTGGAGATCAATGTGCTCACTAGCACGATGTGGCCCATGGAAATCATGTCCAACTCAAAAGAAGGGATATTGCCAGCCACCTGCGTTTTCCCCCGAGAAATTGAAGCTCTCAAACAAAGCTTCGAAAGGTTCTACCTCGACAAGCACAGCGGCCGCAGGCTTACCTGGCAGGCCTCCATGGGCACAGCCGATGTACGAGCGTCTTTCCGTCGCAGCAACGGCAAGATCCAGCGCTACGAGCTTAATGTGTCAACATACGCACTAGTCATCTTGGTACTGTTCAATGATGTCCCAGATGGAGAGTCTCTCACATTTGAAGAAATTCAATCACGTACCCAAATCCCGCATCACGACCTCGTCCGCAATCTACAATCCTTGGCTGTTGCGACCAAGACCCGTGTCCTGCTGAAATCCCCCATGAGCAAGGATGTCCAAACCACCGATCGCTTCTGTTTCAACAATGACTTCCAGAGCCAATTTGTCAAGGTTCGCATCGGTGTTGTCAGTGGTGGAGCTAATAAGGTCGAGAACACGGATCAGCGGAAGGAGACCGAGAAGAAGATGGCTGAAGAGCGCTATGGCACCATCGAGTCTGCGATTGTGCGCATCATGAAGTGGGTTACCCTCAACATCTTTCCAGCGCTATTCATCTAACATGCTTTTTTTAACCTTCTAGGCAACGCAAGACCCTAACCCATACCCAGCTTGTATCCGAGGTTCTCTCTCAAATTTCTTCACGCTTTGTTCCGGAGGTCAGCATGATCAAGAAGCGCATTGAAAGTCTTATTGATCGCGAGTACCTGGATCGTGTTTCTGAGGACCCGCCTACATACGACTATGTCGCGTAAGGCCGGGACCAAGAAGGGTTATTACGAATTTCTTCAATCGTCCGCTCGTCTTATTCTCAAGACTTTGCATCTAGGTTTCCCTAGCATGGTATGCGGGCATTTTCGGCTCTTTTCAGCATTCTTTTTCTTTTGCCTTTTCATCTGGGCTTAGCGATCGGCGTCTTAGGAGGTTGAGTGATTTCACCTAGAGGCGGGAACTGGATAGCATGGGGTTTCATGGTTCATGAAGTGATGAGGGATGGAAGAGGTTCAATATGGGGCAACCTTGGAAGCAGACTATGTTCTTGCTCGAATAGCTCTAAGTCTGCATAATACAAGAATCATATTTGAACCATTCCATTTACCACATGAGCCACTCCAATTATCCTAATGTAATATAACCTTGGGATCTATAACATATACTACAGTATAGATATTTATGGGTTGTTAAAATCTGTCTGCGACTCAATGCAATGTATATATGCTCCGATCCTGGATATATTGACCAAGCAAAAGCAAAATTCAAACGCCAAAAATGCCAGACTCCAGTACCATCCCAAACATAGATCAATAGAACGTGAGCAAAGACCATAGATCCGAGTTAGACCAAGTCTAATCCCGAGATAAAAGAGATCAAAGCAACTCGACCTCCCCTTTCATCCAAGCATTCCTAACACCCTCCCAAAGCACGACCCAAACATCACCCATCCGCATAACAACACCTAAATCCTCACCTCCATCAACGCCCTCCACAACAACAGGAACCTCATGCTTCAGACACCGCACAAAAACCACCTCCTTCATATCAGGCCCTTGCACCATACTAGTTCCACCAGCATTGTCATCCAACCGCCTCAGTTGCGGTGGGAAGGCGCCCATAAACGAGCCGCCATAATGGCCTGCCAAAAGCGTTTGATGCGCGTGCACGAAGGCGCATTCTTGCGCCGAGAGTGGGGCGTAGTCTGTTACTTGTGAGATATCTGGGACTGAGTCTTCCGGTGACAGAGTTTGTGAGGGCGGCGGTTGGGACTGGGATTGCGATTGCGAAGGTGTTTGAGAGAGAGGATTTTTTGACCGGCTGGCTAGTTTGACAAGGTAGTGCATGCTGTGTTTTGTAAGTTTTGATAGGCGTTGGCGGAGGAGACTGCGGATGATGTATTGAGTGCGGGCGAGGTCTGTTTGCAAAATTGAGAGGCGCAGATTTAGATTTGGGTTGTGAGTGTGTTGTTTTGTGGAGAGGTCTGTGTCTGCGGAGGAAGCGGCGAGGTCCTCAATTGTCTCGATCTATACAGCAGACATATTAGCTTCTCTTCTCTCCAATTAGAAATTTGCAAGGTAAGATTGGTATGAAAATGGTAGTTGTGATTCAATTGCAAAGCTAGGTCTCGATTGGACTTGATTCTTACCTGCCACCGCACTCTATCCATCATCCGCTCCATTAGCGGTGCGGGCCATGGCAGGACCTCCGAGACGGCGCGCTCGGCGACCCAGAATCGGGTGAGAAGTTGGTGGTCTATGGCCGTTGACTCTGTACTGGCGCCAGCGCCGCGGTCAACAGATGCGAGAATGTCGTCGATATCCATGGTTGTTCTGAGAAGTGGGATGCGTGACGCGAAAAACGCGGGAGATGATCGGTGGAGTGGAGTCGAATGTGCCTGGGGCATCCGCGCATTAGTAGGTGGATCATGACTACAGAGTATACGGACTAGTTGAATCCATGGTCCCTGACTACTTGTGACTGCTACTGATTACCTTTAAATCCACTTTCTAAATAGAATTTAGATGTCATTAATATTCGAGATAGTGTTCGCAAAGCAGATACAAAGAAATCTTAAGGATTACTTCGGCTTATAAATGCAAGTTCAAGATAATCATGCTCGATGCAATCCTCGCGGATTGATGCGAGAGAAACATTAAAGGACAAGAAACAGTTCCATGCGAGTCTTTCACACAACCAAATCTTGAACGCGGTAATAGATAGAGACCCAGGATAATCCATCAAACCCAGAAATATAACGCCGATGTTTTCAGTTCATATCGATCAACACAGTCGTAGGATCGCCTTAATTTGGTCTGTCACCTGCCCCCACCGACTTTTCGGTCGGGAGGTATATGAAGGCAGGAGTACAAAACCAAGTTCGACATATTCATCACTCATGACTTGGCCGGGGGCGGACCCATTGGGGGTTCATATTCTCGAGCCCCGGAAGCGTGATACGAATTTTGGGGCGCTTGCAACTCGATGCCACTTTGCTGTTGGTTTGGGTGCGGTGCCTGGGCACCGAAGTAGCCGTAGTTCTGCGGGTTGGCAGAATACTGGGGAGGTGGCTGGTAGTACGGATCGTTATTGTTGTAGTATGGCTGCTGGTATGTAGGCTGGTTGGGCGGTGGTGGTCCAGGTGGCGGTGCCATCCATGCTGTACCGCTCAAGGGCTGTCGGCCGTGAGAACGGCGACGACGAGCGTTGAAGCAACTATTCGGAGGACACGGTTAGTCGTCTGGTTCGATCGCAGGATTGTCTGCTAGATTCTGGAAATATTTCCAGTGAGATATAGAAAGACTTACGCGAAAGCGAAGAAGACAAGGAAGGCAATGGCTACGATGACGGCAAAAGCGACCCAGCGACCCCAGCGGTCCCAGGAGGAGTTATTGCAATCATCATCGAACCCGCTGCTATTGACAAGTCAGAACAGAAGCCCACTAGTTTGATTATCAGACTTACCAATAAGTGTATCGAGGTGTCAAAGAAGGCATGGTTGCGTGTATGGAAGATTGGAGAAATGAGCAGGCAACGGAAAGAAATAGTAGGAAGTGGCTGAGGCGCGAATCATGGGGCTGGGGGCAAATGTGGGTCCGTTTGGCTTTAGGCTGCAAGTTTATGATTCATCATGTTAGCTAATCAATACATTTCAACACTATTGATTTTTTCCTTCCTGGTTTGACCTCGACCTGATTCATTTAACCTCCAACTTGATTTTATTATTCAAATCTCTATTCAATCAGATATTTCGAGTTACGGGTGTACGTATTCACATACGTATCAGCACCACTTCGTCGCAATCCGGATATACAATTGTGGTGGCCAATCATATCATAGTGGGGCGCAGTCCTGAGGAAAAGGATATCTCGGCACTTCTACTATTCTTATGCATTGAGGTCTTACGACATCTATATCGCCGTACACCGTGTATCCCCGTCGGTATAGGGTACTTCAGGCTGTTGCCCATAATCTCATCTGGAAGCGCCGGTTTTGTCAGCCACGAATTGAACTCAAAATCGGGGCTGTTCAGGTCTCGGCGCTAAGATTGATTGGATTTGGTAAGACGAAGCCTGTTTCACGTGTTATCTCATTTTCTGGGCGTCTTGAGCAGGACTACGCATATTAACCGGAAAATTACTCCGTCATCTTGGACCCACCATAGCTCTACATGAGTTTATAAAATTTTGGTACAGTATATACAGTAGTCGTCTGATTTGTCCTCTGTATGATGTAAATCCTTTTGACATGTGTCCCTTGGCGGGGGCGCTGGTCACGGCTTTCGGGTCTGCATGGCCAACGCATCGCTTGGTCCGTGTGCGCTTCACCTTATTTATGCCGACGACCCCCATGATTTTTTTTTCTGCTTAAGAAACACTCAATTTATCGTGTCACTACGTCATATCGGCCCACCAGTGGATGAAGGCAAAATTATGCGAACTCGAGCAATCCAGTCTACTGCAAAGAAATGTCATTAACATATTAACATGCGATCATCAATTTTGATCGAGTGGCAGCCGCTTTGTGATCCCCAATTGCATGCACCCAGGAACATATACCAAACAGGAAAAGAACTATGGATCATTGACGTCGTTACATCCGAGGCTGTGAGCCAAAACGCTAGTCTACTAGACATCACAAACAGAAAGACACGCTCAGGAAACGAAAGAGTAATCCAAATCAGATGAACCAAATGAGACAAATGGAAAAGATCATACTGTGTCATGTTGAAACTAACCCTCCAGTCATCGGCTGGCTCGTGCAATCAGCCAGTGCAGTACCGCGTCGAGGTTGGTTTCTTCCTTGGCGCTGATCCCATAGCAGCTCACCTCACGATGCGTGATGGACTTGAGGTCCATCGCATCGATTAGTTCATCCACCGATAGCTTGACGGGCAGATCGGACTTGTTGCCCAGCACGAGGAGTGGGATCCCATCTAACGTGGGCTTTGTCATCAAATCATGCAGCTCCTCCGTGGCTACCGGCAAAGCATCTTTGTCCGCTGCATCCACAATATATCTACAGCAGATCAGCATCATGTATGACCTTTCGTTCTTTGCTGTTCTTTGTTTTGGCTTACACGATCGCGTTAACTCCTCGGCAGTATCGCTCCCACATCGGGCGAAATCGAGGCTGACCACCCAAATCCCAACTTGCCGCCGTTAGCGATCAACCTACACGTCTTCGATATAATACATACCATTTCAAGGTCACATGGCCCTTTTGGACTCGTTTGGTATTGAAGCCGATCGTCGGAATGGAGCTGAGAATCCGGTTAGCCGGTGACGTCGTCTACTTCCCGTTCCTTGCACCACTTACTCGATAGTGAATTCCCCGCCCTACCACATGATCAGTATATGAATGCAACACCGAAAATACAGAGAATAGAAAAAAACGAAGAAGGGAACGAGAGATTAGGAGCTTACCGCCAATACACGAAGCAAGGAGGATTTGCCTGCATTTTGCAGACCGATCATAGTAACATCCATCTCGGTGGCCCTGCAGGGAAGATCCGGGTTAGAAAAGGCGCTTTCTCATCTGCGGGGACGGGCCGGGGGGGGCTGGATGGTGTTCCCGAGAACCAAGAAACGCCTCAACGGTCCACTTACCAGAACATCCTTAAGAGCCAGTCATAGATGGTGCGAAAGATGCCGGCCATGTTGAGCGGTTGGTGTGGGTGGGGTGGAAAGGGAAAAAACGGATTCAAGAAAAGTCGGGACTGCCAATAATACAAGGAAAACGCTGTTTTGTAAATGAAACCTGTGAAGAGCCTCTCCTTTTTGCCGGATTAGAGGTCTGAGCCTAGATTTGTGGAGAGGCAGGTTCCAGGGGGGTAAAAGAGAGAGAAAGAGAAGAGAGCGCGGTGTGTGCTGAAATCCTAAGGCTGAGAATGGGCTTGGGACCAGCCACTATCAACGAAAATCAAAATCAAAATCAAAATGAAAAGGAAAGGGAAAAGCAAAGATGGGATCCCTGAGCGCTTCTTTCCCGGCGGTTTTAAGTATACCGAAATGGAATGTACTGGCGCCAATGCGAGATCTACGGGCACACATGACTGCCGTTGGAGAGGGGCGCTTAGGCTCCATTCGCGGCCTGACGTAGCGCAGTTACTGTGTAGAAGCAGAATACGGAGGAAGCATCGTGATATTACTAATGAAATATGCATCTATAGATAAAAAACCGGTATAGTCGACAAGGATAAAATACTTGAACCATGGATGTCATTACCAGATACATGTATTTAGTAGTTCCTGCAATATAGAAGCTACGAGGAGTTCGTGTGTAATTTGACACCTCAGGCACCAGCAGCATGCACCTCTATCACACGTGATGATAACAGGCTCCACCTCGAAAAATTTCCCCAAGCAGAATCATCTCCAATTGTTCCTCAAAGCTGCCAATTACCGGCTCTCATCGCTTTGCTGGTATTTCTGGCTGAGCTAGCAGGGGCCTTATTTTGGTCGCCCCTTTCTGTATACAATACCCAGAGCAATATCCTCCCGTGACTGGGTTACGACCACAAAGGAAAAAAAACGAAAATCCCGAAAATCCCGTGAGCTTCATCATGGCTCCCTCTGCTACCAACACCAATTGGTCGGTGCAGTATGACACCCTCCGCCGGGAGAATCTCTTCCGGAACCCGCCGAAGGATCACACTGCCTTTCCGTCGCTGGCGGAGTCAATTCGGCCACACGTCGACTCTTTCAATGCCTTGTTCGAGGACAGCAAGATCCTGGCGGCAGGATTGAAAGACATCGGTATCAAGACCTTCCTTGACGGAGAACCCGAAACCCCCGAGCAGAAGAAGGTTCGTATGGCTGAGGGCCTTCGCGCACCGAAGCGCAACCGCCTGAATGTTCGTGTGAAGGAAGTTTTCCTCGACAAGCCTCAACTGCCGCCCACCAACAAGTACAGCACCACGAATCGCGAAATTTACCCCTCCGAGTGCCGTGAGCGACATGCGACTTACCGTGCCAAGCTCCGTGCTCGTCTGGAGTTCCAGGTGAACAATGGCGACTGGATGGAGTCGATGCGCGAGCTGGGCAATGTCCCCGTTATGGTGCGCACCAACCGCTGCCACCTCCAGAATGCCACCCCCGAAGAACTGGTGCGCCACAAGGAGGAATCGGAAGAGCTGGGTGGTTACTTCATTGTGAACGGTAACGAGAAGCTTATTCGTATGCTGATCGTTGGAAAGCGGAATTACCCCATGTCCATCATTCGTGGTTCGTTTGTCAAGCGTGGCCACACTTACACCAAGTTTGGTGTGCAGATCCGTTCCGTCCGTCCCGATCAGACATCCCAAACCAATGTGCTGCACTACCTCTCCGATGGTAACGTTACCTTCCGTTTCTCGTGGCGCAAGAACGAGTTCCTTGTCCCCGTTATGATGATCCTCAAGGCCCTGGTCGAGACCAACGATCGTGAGATTTTCGAGGCCCTTGTCGGTGCCGCCAACTCCAAGGGAATGAAGAACACTTTCGTCACAGACCGTGTTGAGCTCTTGTTGCGAACCTACCAGGCCTATGGCAAGCACAGCAAATCTGACTGCCGTGCCCACCTGGGCAAGTGTTTCCGTCCTGTCATGGGTGTCTCTCAAGATGTGCCTGACGAGGAGGTTGGAACCGAGTTCTTGCGCCGCATTGTCCTGCCTCATTTGGGCAACTACAACGTTACCGAAACTCAGGATTACGACAAGTTCAAGATGATCATTTTCATGATCCGCAAATTGTACTCCCTGGTCGCTGGTGACTCTGCTCCCGACAACCCTGATGCAGTCTCTAACCAGGAGGTCCTGCTTGGTGGTTTCTTGTACGGCATGATCCTCAAGGAGCGTATTGAGGAGTGGCTTCGATCACTTGGACCTATCGCCCGAGACTGGTCAATTCGCAACAGCAATGCCAAGTTCACTGATACTGCATTCGAGCGCGACTTCCTGTCCAAGATCGTGAGAAGGTCTAACGAGAACATCGGTCAGGCTCTCGAGTACTTCCTGTCCACCGGTAACCTCGTCAGTCCTACTGGTCTCGATTTGCAACAGACTTCCGGTTACACCGTCATGGCCGAGAAGATTAACTTCTACCGGTTTATCAGTCATTTCCGAATGATTCATCGTGGTAGTTTCTTCGCGCAATTGAAGACCACTACCGTGCGTAAGCTGCTGCCAGAGAGTTGGGGTTTCTTGTGTCCTGTTCACACTCCTGATGGATCGCCTTGTGGTCTGTTGAATCACTTGGCGCACAAGTGTCTGATCGCCACAGACAACCTTGATGTTTCCAGCTTGCCTCGCACTCTTGTTCAGCTTGGTGTTAAGGGTGAATCTTCTGTGGCCACCGAGGACAGTGTGACCGTTCAGCTGGACGGTAGAATCATTGGATTCTGCTCTCCCGAGCAGGCTCGCAAGATCCACGATACTCTCCGTTACTGGAAGGTGTCTGGCAAGAACAATGTCCCACTTGGCCTGGAGATTGGTTACATTCCCAATTCTAACGGTGGACAGTACCCCGGTATCTACATGTTCTCCCAGTCCGCAAGAATGTACCGACCAGTCAAGTACCTGGCTCTGGACAAGACAGATTTCGTCGGACCCTTCGAGCAGCCGTACATGGAGATTGCCTGTCTGGAATCTGACCTGATCGCTGGTCTTTCTACTCACATCGAGTTCACCCCGACCAACATCCTCTCGATTGTGGCCAACATGACACCCTTCTCCGATTACAACCAGTCTCCTCGTAACATGTACCAGTGTCAGATGAGCAAGCAGACCATGGGTACTCCTGGTACCTCTATCGCCCACCGTACCGACAACAAGCTGTACCGCTTGCAGACTGGTCAGACCCCTGTCGTTCGAACCCCCTTATACAATGCTTACGGCCTGGACAATTTCCCCAACGGAATGAACGCCATTGTTGCTATTATTTCCTACACCGGTTACGACATGGACGACGCCATGATTATCAACAAGTCCTCCCACGAGCGTGGCTTTGGTCACGGTACCATCTACAAGACTAAGGTCCACAGCCTGGCTGAGAAGGACCGCCGCAAGTCCCGTCGCGAGGTGAAGAAGCTTTTCGGCTTCGCTCCCGGTGACGAGGTTAAAGCCGAGGTGCGCAACTTCATCGACGATGACGGTCTGCCCCATGTCGGTATTCGCGTGCAGGAGGGAGACAAGATCGCCGCATTCCACGATGTGCGCTACGATGCCGCGTCCGACTCCTACGTGAACGTTGACGGTATCACCCATTTCCTCAAGTATAAGGATGCCGAGGCTGGCTACATCGAGAGTATCCGCATCATGGGTAACGAGAACGGTGCCGAGCCCATGCAGTCGATCAGTGTCAAGTACCGCATTCCCCGTAAACCCATTATTGGTGACAAGTTCTCCTCTCGTCACGGACAGAAGGGTGTTTGTTCGCAGTTGTGGCCCGCTGGCGATATGCCATTCTCCGAGAGCGGCATGCAGCCCGATCTGATCATCAACCCTCACGCTTTCCCCTCTCGTAAGTTCATCGCAACATCTACAGATTGAATGACGCTGACCACTACAGGTATGACCATTGCCCAGATGATTGAATCTATGGCTGGTAAAGCCGGTGCCCTGCACGGTCACCCGCAAGACTGCACTCCGTTCCAGTTCTCCGAAGAGAACACTGCCACCGACTACTTCGGTCACCAGCTCAAGAAGGCCGGATACAACTACTACGGTAACGAGCCCCTGTACTCCGGTATCACTGGTCGCGAGTTCGCCGCCGATATCTACATGGGTGTCGTCTACTACCAGCGTCTGCGTCACATGGTGAACGACAAGTTCCAAGTGCGTACCACTGGTCCCGTCAACGCCTTGACCGGACAGCCCGTGAAGGGTCGTGCCAAGGGTGGTGGTATCCGTGTCGGAGAGATGGAGCGTGATTCTTTGATTGCGCACGGAGCGGCATTCTTGCTCCAGGATCGTCTGATGAACTGTTCCGATTCCCAGCTCACCTGGATCTGTCGCTGCTGTGGCTCGTTCATTTCGACTCAGGTTGCTGTTTCGGGCTCCGGCTCATCTCGGTCTCGCAACACTATCAACCCCGGTGCTCTCGCTGCTGCTGCCAAGGCTGCTCCTAACCAGCAGGCTCCCGGTGGCGCGTCGTCCGCTGGCGGTGCGCTGGGTGGTGTTAATGGTATTGTGCGCTGTCGTCGCTGCGCTCGCCAGGCCACTTTCACGGATTCGCGTGCTGAGGCTTGGGAGGATGGTGATGGTTTGCGTTATGTTGGTGGTGACGACGTGACTATTGTCGCTGTCCCTGGTGTGCTCCGTTTCCTGGATGTCGAGTTGGCGGCCATGGGTATTCGGATGAAGTTCAAGGTGGACAACTAAAAACGTGCAATTATATACTTCGGTATACCGCGGGTGTTTTAAAATTTGTGATTTTATCATGTCATAGATGGAGCGTTGGTTATTTTTTCTTTTTCATGTTAATATTCGATGTTCTATACGCAATGGACGAACTGGTTTCAATGTCTCTACCGTATATCTACCCGTAGGTATCGCACAAGTTTTTAATTAAGACATTAAATGGAATATCCTTATCACAGAGGCCTAAGCACCACCAAGCAAGTACCTACATAGAAGTAAGCACCCGTGGACCAAACAAGCCCATCCCCACTCCAACCGAGTGTGAGTTTCATCCCACTATTAGCCACGCCAAGCAAAATTTTTCATTCAGGAACACCACGACCGAATTTTCTTTTATAGTTTCAACCGTCAAAGTAAACCCCATAAATGTTTCTGCCAAGCCGACCATCGTAATCAGACATGCGACGACAAATGCCGATCGTTGCTTGTCTTCCGCCCACACCAACTCCAGAGTAGTTTAGCGTACGAGATATACGAAATGATAACGGGACAAAACGACTCCACTCCGCCCCCCTGAACCCGACTTGGCGATGGCTACGAGGACTTTTTTTACGAGATGGTGCAATTTATGACAGCTATGAGTTATAAGATCTAGTTCTTATTTTCTTAGTTCCTTAGTTTTATAGATCATATAAAAGTAGTAGATTCTATTGAGGTCAGTCTGATATTCTCAAAATCCGTTATCAATCCTCGGTTCCGTTCCCCCCGTACTCGCGTGGCCACGCTAATGAACGCGTACGCAAGCTCATATGTTCCGCCGCTATTTTTTTTTCTCCATACAGTTATTTATGGTTAGACCTGGTCAAGGAGCAGGATGATTGGTCCAGAGCTTGACTGGTTGCGCATACGTTTCGTAGTGCCTCGTGCTCCTTCTCTTTCTTTCCTCCGCTACTTTATAATAATGTTGTTTGAAGTCTCCTAGATCTCAAGCCGCCTGTCTGGACAATTTGTGGCCGGCGGCTGTGCATAATAAAATCGCTCTTTACTATACCCCTTTTGCTTGCATTATAACGCCTTTATCGCATTTACACCATGGTTCGATTTTCAAGCATCGCGTGGGCATTTACCGCGTTAGTTGGCGCCAACGCAGATTTCGTCTCGACAGACTATGAAGGATATAACGATGGAGATTTGGGACATCGACCACATCTGGATTTCCATTCTAGCGACGAATATGCACCAGTGTTACAAGCCAATGTGTGGAATCAGAGTGCTATTTCGGACACCGGCTCACATATCTTTATTAAACATGATGGGAATGCCTCGTCACCACTTTCATCGCCGCTTATTATTGACGCCAATGATCTATCCGCCGTGTACATGAACCGCTCTTTCGAAAACGTGTTCGGCACTCGCGTCCAGGAGAATCGAGGAAAGAAGTACCTTACGTTCTGGGAGGGGCAGAAGGGAGATGGAATTGGAGATGGGTATGGACTTGCGTTTGATGAGACATATCGACTTGTCTATAAGATCTCGGCGCAGAACATTCAGGTGCATAGCGACTTGCATGAGTTTGCGTTTACGGGGAATGGGACGGCGCTTGTTACCGGCGTGGATAAGGTCACGAAGCGGAGTGGTGATTTTGATCCGAGTTGGAAAACTCCTAGTCGTTTTGAGGTTTTGGATGCTATCTTCCAGGAGATTGATCTTGAGACGAATGAGGTGATTTTTGAATGGCGTGCGCTTAAACATGTTAACCCTATGGAATCATATGAGCCGCGAGGTTTTCGTGGATGGGATGCGTACCATTTGAACAGCATTCAAAAGGTGAGTGTATGCGCAGCAGCTCATAGATGATGACTCTAACATCTTCCAGACCGAAGCAGGGAACTATCTCATCTCAATGCGCCATACACACTCTATCTTGCTTATTGACGGCAAGACTGGGGACATCATCTGGACACTGGGTGGTCGACAAAACAATTATACCGAAATACCACCTGACAATGAAATGGAAGACGCTGAGCCAATTCTCAGCATGGCTTGGCAACATCATGCACGCTATGTACCTGGTACGAACGAGATGGAGATGACTCTATTCGACAACCATGTCGAAGAAACGACGCACGGCACCTGCGATACGGAGTGCTCGCGCGGCTTGCATATCGCTATTGACGATAGCGCATCGCCACCGACTGTCAAGCTTCTTCACGAATATCGGCATCCATCGCAGCTTCAGGCGCAAAGCCAAGGAAGTGTGCAGGTTCTCTCGCATGCTCCCGGAGACAAAGACATCGGCAATGTGTTTATCGGATGGGGTAGATGTCCTACATTCACGGAACATAGTGCCACAGGCGAGACGGTGATGGATGTACAGTTCTCGCCGTGGCATAGCAAGGATATCCCCGATGCATTGGATAATTACCGTGCGTATAAAATGGACTGGGTTGCCACGCCGTATTGGGATCCGTCTATTGCGCCGCGCATGAGTCCCAAGGGCGAACTTATTGTCTACGTTAGCTGGAACGGAGCGACAGAGGTAGCAGAGTGGGTAGTGAGAGGTGTTGAGACGGGACGATCATTGAGCTCAAAAGGCGATGTGGTGACGAGATCCGTGCGCACTGGCTTTGAGACCAAGTTGATGATTATCGAAGAGAAGAAAAGTTGGCGATACATCTGGGCTGAGGCTTTGGATGCCGATGGCAATATTCTTCGATCGAGTCAGATTGTGGATTTGGAGGGTGCCGCGCTGCCTATTGCCGTTGATGCTTTTGACGAGTTCAACTCCACGTTTGCCGGTTTCCTCGCTGCGGAAAAGGCTTTGAAATTGAAGATGAAGCATCATGGTGGATTTTCCAAGACGGCAATCGCTTTGCTTGCTACTGGGCTGAGCGTTGCTGGTGTGTCTATCATCGCGACCGCTGGCTTCTGGTGGTACAGAAGCAGAGACTACAACCGCTTGGAAGCTGAAGACTTTGCTCTGGAGTCGGACAAGTTTGCGCTGGACTCTGATGATGGGTACAGTGATGCCGGTATCGATCCATTTGACCAGATTGATGAAGAGCAAGCCAGGCAAGCTGTTGACTATCGGCTATCAAGAGACGAAGAAAGCCAAGCTCTTGTCTCCAACGCAGAGGACAGAGGGCAATAGATTACCCTCGTATTTTGTATATAATGAATTGAGCAACGTACCTTATGACCCCAACTTTGGAAGAAATCGTTTTATCTTAAAAGTACAGTGCCGAGGACTGGATCAATTGAAGATCAACCCGTTGTCAGGTATTGAATTATACTACCATCTCAAAGGTAAAAAAAAGTATTCTCTACCTAAGGCTGTTGGAGTGGATCCAATTGTATAGATCATATTTCATGAGACGATCAATTAAGAAACCATGATTCTAGCATCAGAATAATACATTCAACCAATCCTATACCACTTACAACGCCGATGTGACATTTGAGAACTCGCCGTTGTCTAGCTTCGTCTTCCAGAAGATAGGGTTCATATCATCGAAGCCATGGTGCACCCATCCTTCCTCCTTAACGTGGTAGAGGTTAATGAAACCACCAGAGTAAGCATCACGGTGCATAGCAGCCAAGATAGCACGACGGCCCAGAGCGAGCGCCTCCTCCTCGCTCATTTCATACTTGTAGTTGGCGTCCAGAACACCGTAGGCGAATGTCTGACCGGATCCAACACAGAACAGGTTGCCTGGCAGTCGGGTGCCGTCTGAGTCGATGTAGTACAAAGCGGGTCCTTCTTGGGGGGTCACCTGCAAATAACATAGGTTAGATCGACTGCACAAACACAGCAGACAACAGAGATGATTGGATACGTACACCGGCAAGCATGGTTCCCATACTCAGGCCATAGCCCTTGTAAGCATAAGTCAAGTTGGCGAGGATCTTCGATGCAGCTGCGACAGTAATACGACGCTTGTGTCGGATTTCTATTCTCATTAGCATCATAATTCTCTTCCACTGCCACTGATGAACGTACCATGCAGAGTACACTGCTGACTCAAATACCGCAACCAATATTGGCAATCCTACAGAATCGTCAGAAACCCGTTCACAGATCTGTCCCATCCATCATTAGACTCACCGCCGCACCACCGGCCATAGTACCCAACAAACCAGGTGTAGGCTCATTAGTTGGCTTGTCCTCGCCACGGCTCAACCGCGACACGGGAATAACCTTCTTCACTGTCTGACTAGCAATCCAATTTCCGGCTGTCGCTCGCGAATCGGTGCACACAATCTAAATTCCACCAAATATTATCAGTACCGATAAACCAAAACTACCACAGGATGGCCAAGCCGATCGGGATGAAACGTACGATACCGCCCTGGAATCGGAAAGCCAGCGTTGTTGTTCCGTGAGCGAGCTTGATAGGGCAGCTGGGGTTGGCGAGGTCATCGGTCATAGCACGGAGGAAGGAGGCGTGCTAAACAGAGCGAAACACATGATTAGCTCAGGTCCTTCTGTTGATGAGATTCTTTTGCTGGAGCTCCAGTTGAGGCATTGCTGGCTGACGGGCTCGGCCTGGACGAATGAACGAGCCAGAGAGTCCCCGGTACCGGGGAACCGTCCAAGCTCGAGGGCTTTAAATGACAGTGTTCCAAAACTCACGTTGTCGACAGGAGGAAGAGCGAACTTGAGGGAGAGCGGAGGGACGCTCTCGGTGAGGTCCTGTTGCTCTTGCTCTGAGTAAAACTCATTCTGGTGCTGCGGGCGCGAGTACTGGGCGACGAGCTTGTCCATGATGTGCTAATAAGGGTGAAAAAAAGAGAATATGGAGGTGGGGTGGAGATGAATGGAGGACGAGCTGAAGAGGTGATGATGGGGCAGCTCCGGGCTGGAGCTTGGATTCCGCGTCACTCGGGCGCCTATGGTCACGTGCAACCATACATAATGAGATCAAAGTGGAATCAAAGATGCATCACAATTGATTATTATTGGGGGGGATTTGGGATTTAAAGATGTTAGGCTAATGTTTATAATCCTACTAAGTATAGAAATTTGGAGAAGATGACTCGAGAATGATCATATCGTGGATTACACATGATAAACTTATGCGATCGCTCCGTAGTACAGCTACAGACTCTGAATACCAGAGCACTTTTTGTCATAACGCATATATCATTTCAATTCAAAGTACGTATATTCGAATACCCCATTGAAATGCGCCTACTTACACAGATCAATACTCAATTACCTCGACCCAATCTGATCGCAGTCAACGATACAAGTGTACATGAATCATGGCTATAGAAGCAATTTCCACAAGCAGAAAGCAGTCCAGGTCTTCACATTCACAATACTTAAGAAGCCAGCACAGCAGGCTCCTCCAGCTCCTTCGAGGACGAGATATCCTCAGGGGGGCCGGTAGTATCAACACCACCGTTGGTCAATACTGACTCGGCGTCATCCTGCACGTGGTCGGCGTGTCCATTGGCCTGTACATCAGCAGAAGAAGTAATGGGCTCAACGGTAGAGTGCCATGCGCGAAGGTCAGCCTCCGCATCCTCGAGAACTGCGCGTGCTTCGAACTCATTGTCGTAAGCCCGACGAGAGTCACCGGGGACAACGGGGCTGTCATCGATGAAGTTAAGCAAGCGGCGGGTATGGCGAGCAAGAATGATCTGTTTCTCAGCACGCTCAATGACAGCGGCAGTGTGGATGTCAAAGGCTTCCTTAAGCTTTGTTCGGGTCTGTCATAGCAATTAGCAATTGATTTTCATCACAACCTTGACCGGATAGGTGCCCATCAAAAAAGCATAAAAAGCATAATAGTCCAGTCTTCTCAGCACATACCGTATTCGACAACTGCGCCTCAGCGACCAAGCTCTGTGCCTCGGCCCTAACAAGCTCATGCTCCAGTGTAACAATCCGCGGGCTGTTCGGATCCTTATACTTCAGCTTCGCAATTTCATCCGTAACCTTCTGTCGCTGGTCCCGGCTTGGCTGAACAGAAGCCTCCATATTGCGAATATGCTTCAGAACACCCCGGTAATCCTCCAGGTTCTGCGCAAAGACATCCTCCTGCTCGCCCATCTCTGCAAGCATGACGCCTAGCTTGTCCGAGATATCGGAGATGGCATCGTCCTCGGTAGACTCGCCCCACTCTGAGAGCTGAGCAGCGATAGAACCACGCTCGCGACCGGCAGCTTCATGGGCACCGATTGCGCTGTTCTCCGATTTGATTAGTTTGGATAAACGCTTGCTTAGCTCGGGCTGTTGGAGGCCGCGGAATGTTGCGATGCTGAAGCGGTGACGGTTGCTCGCTGGCTCGCGGTCGCGGCGAGAACGGATGGAGATTGTGCGGTTCCTTTGGAATGTCAGTAATGTAGAAGATATTGAAAAGGACTATTAGAATACATTTTGTATGAAAATGATGCTCTTTGTAAAAGTAGTGTTCAGTGGTGTACAAAATGTTAACCTCAGTAAGCAGTAAGTACTAGGTTAACAGGTTCTTAACAGGAGCGAAAGGCCTGGCACAAGTTATATGCAGGAGAGCGCCTTCCCATAGATGACGATGCGCCCAACTTAATCCACCGTAGCTTGCTGTTCCGGTGCACCAGGAAGTCCAGTCCCGGTGGCTGTCTGACGTCATGACGGGAGGTGCGGATGGTGAGCTCATGCACTATTCCGATTGCAGTTCAGTGCGTGACCTAGGTATTCGAGAGATAGCTCGATATGAGTGGAGGAACTCCCGATTTGAGTTGTGCATCGTAATTGGGAGATCTAATGCTACTGAATCGTGATCGTCAGTTCTCCACAGCGTGTCGTTGTGGAGTTGAAGTCAAATTTGCATTTTTTGATGTTGGATCTAGGGTTCTATTCCGTAAAGTAATTGGACCAAATTTAGTATTGAATGAGGCTCAATACTCTATTGCTCTCCTTTATTGATCTTACAATACAAGGTCATATTTTAATCATAAAAAATAATAATTGACAAGCTCGTCAGTAAAAATCTGTCTGTGTTAATGTACACAGAAATAACATGAGCTGTGTATCAGATACAGATATCCATCCCCATAAAACACCATAAAGCAGAGCACAGGGCCTGTAGTGTGCTAGAACGCAGAAAAAACAGATCCATGAGCGCCTTTCGACAAGCAAGAAAAAATCAAGGCAGATCCGACTAAGACATCTCATCGGCATCTGGGTGGTGGGAATGTTCATTATCAGAAGCGTGGAATGCGTCACCGAATGCCGAATTATCGAGATCAGGGAGGTCAAGATCATCATGCTGTTCGGAGTAGGCGGCCAGCGCATCACCTGCACTGTCGATGTTGGTGAAATCAAAAGCCGCACCTTCCAGACTCGTGTCTCCACCAGCCCCATCCTTATTCTCGTTGTTCACCATCACCCACCCCGCATTTTCACCATTGGCACCGCCGAGATGATCGCCAAGGTCCATGTCCACATCACCAGGGATATCAGTGCCAGGCACGGGTGGGGCAGAAGCTCCATTCCCTGGGCTGCCAAACTGGTTCAGAAGGTTGTCGGCATGATCCAAAACCATGTCATTAGCAAAGGAATCAGGTTCATCCTTGTGTTCAGGCTCGATCTTCTCCAGCAGACCACCCTTCTCTACACATGAAACCTTAGGCTCGGGCATGATCTGCTTCTTAAAGGCGGTTTCAACATCGCGGACCACGTCGTCCACTCTGTATTTGGCCTTCTCTTCAACATATTCCATTGGTGGGGCTTCATCATCCTCTGAGGGAATGATAATTCGGCCCTCCAGTCTCCACGTCTCAGAACCCGTTGCGGTAGGGTCGGCAGCCGCCTCTCTGAGGCGCAATTCAGCGTCCTTGAAGAGCGAGCTGCGCTTGAATTGCTCCATTCGGCGAGCGTGTTGCTTCTTGAGGTCCTCAATTTCAGCATTGACTTCATTCACCTTCGCAGTGACCTTTTTCGCAAACTCTTCGGCCTTGGCTGGTCCTAGCTTGGACGCTTCTGGGACATCACTGTCTTGGCCTTCTCCACCTTCGGGCGCATCAAAGAACCCCTGAGTCAAGGACTCCAGCTCCCCCTTGCGACCCAAGCCAAGTGAGACCGGAGTGATCTGTGACATGGTGTAAGGCGATGCGAAAATATCTTCCATCCACTCGTGGTGCAGCGTATAGCGCATCTTGCTGATATCTCGCGGGGCGAGCTGGTCAATCATATCACCACTTGACACGTCCTCATCCTCGAGCGCAAAATCAGAGGTGGCAGATGCCATCGCGGTTGAGGAGGCACGATGCGGGCGTTGAACTTTGTTTGTTTGGTGAACGGCGGCGGCCGCTGGGTGGCCCTGAGGTGGGTAGAAGCCAGGTCGAGCCTGGGCGGCAGCGTTTGTGTAGGCGGCTTGAGGTTGAGTGAGGCCTTGCGCGGAAATATGCTGAGGGAAAGGAATTGTGGGCCAGTTGTTGCGGTCGTGGAGCATGAATTCTTTGCGACTAATTTGGCCTTGGGTTTGTAGGAAACGGCGTTGGCTCATCATACTCTGAATTTGTGGGGTGACTGGAATACGGGCCGCGGGGACATGTTCGTTTGGAGGTGCTCGTGAATAGTGGACAATCCACAATGATGGGTCAGGCTGAGGACCGTTCGGGATTTTTGAGGAAACAAGACGATAGCGCTTTCGGGTGTGGGACGCCACGCTCTCGTGCGGAGGGTGGTAACCGCAGCGGTGCACGAACATCTCAACCGTCTGGTTCCAATATTAGTCTTGACTCTTCTTCCTATATTGGCAATACATGGGATCGCATACGTAGCCTCGGGATTCAAAACTAAAGGCCTGCTCTTGATCGGCCCATACATAACCGTCGCTCGCAAAGTTATTTCCCAGATGCGCCATAGGCTGCCAAGTAAGCATCACAGTGCCATCAGTTGGACCGTCTAGAAGGGTCCAATGCACAGGTTTCTGCTGGAATAACCGGGGTGCGCTGGCTAAGTATTCCACCGCGGTCTCAGCGGGCATCATGTGCATCTTCGGGAACGGATGGTGGGATACTAGGTGCATATGAGGCAGCTAATTACAGCGATTGTGTTAGCATTTTGTTAAATATAGTAAAGGGTAGTTGATGCTTCAACATCTTTAACAACATGCTTGTGTTGAACGAAACTTGGGGGATCTTACCAGCTGCCCCGGTATGCGGCTCGCCGGGTCATCCATATTGACTAAGCCCACTGGCGGGATATTATCAATTCGAATAATTGCACAAGAGTGTTATAAGGACGGTAGGGGTCAATGGGGATTGAAGCGAAACGAAGGCGGGACGTGGTCAGGGCGGATGGAGCTCCTGTGCAACGCGACGCGGGAGATTTTCGATGCGGTCCGGCCGAGCAGAACGACCTAATATGTAATCACGTAAGGCGCTAAGGCATCAATATATTTGTATTGAGCGAAATTAAACTCGTATTCTCGCATCACACCTATTTACTTGACCTCGACTATCCCATCGACTCAACAGTACGAACAAAAATACCTAGAGGCTCATGTTAATATGGCTTTAAGCTATTGAGACCGTTCCAAAGACCTCTAAAGCCAAGGTTCTCGACAACTACCTACTCAGTGATATCCGAAAGCAGCATAAGGGACGGTGCTGCTCTAAGTGAAGATATGGTTGATAAATTTATTGCTCAGGGTGCCCATTAGAGAACTTGTTTGATGACGCTCTCATATATAACAGTAAGTGTTCCTTTTTTTGCTATAAGAATGGAGAAAATTAAGGAGAGTTGAAGCTGTATCTCCGTAGTTTCCGAATATAGAGGGTTTCCGATCTGGAAAGTCCTCGAGGCTTGCACTACATAATGTCATTCAGAGGATCAATAGTAACACACAGATTCTCTAAACGCGTAGAAGGAATGATGATTTCGTGCAATTTACCCAAATCAAACGCTTTAATTTAGGCTAAGCCTTAGGAAGCCACAAAAGGTAAGATATAGTCCACCTTGCCTAGAGGCACGCCTTCCATGCGCAAGATACTATAGGCAGTAGTTACATGAAAAAAGATGTTAGCCTGCATAATGCACGCGTATGCAATTCCAGACAGGGCTTGCATATTCCCTCCCAGAGGCGTGGGCTCGATAGCCTCACAGTGTTCAAGGATAAAGTCTTTGTCAACCGCATCAAGGGCCTGGAGCGCCTTGTCAATGCGAGCGTACATTTCCGCATATGTGTAGACAACATCTTGATTCGTCTCTCCTGTAGGGAATGATTCAGCTGTGAGCTTAGCCAGAGCTAGCGATGTTTGCGTGGTTGCCGCGAACACTTGATAGCTAAGTGATTTCATGTCATCGTGCAGTCGACAAGATGGAAGGCTGGAGGCGTTGGGCTGTTCCTCAGCTTTGTGGAGAATATGTGAAAGTGAGGTTAGAGTGCGCTTTGTTTGGAGAACAAAGCCCTCATAAAGCGTGTACACCATTCTGGTAATCGGATTTGGGTCGATGAGTCTGTACTGAATATGTGATTAAGACTGTTTTTACCCCTGGACAGGGGTGGCTGGTCGTTTATGTAGCTTATGCTCAATCTTCAGAGCGTGGGTCAGCAGCGCCTTCAATGTTAGGCAGCACGTTAGTGATCATGTCAGCACTAGCGGCTGAGGCAGGATCAACCTGGGCCACGGGCCTCCAGCGATCGAGGTCGAGCGCCGCCCCCACGACTGTGCGAGAATATAAATCCACGATGAGGTAATACGAGACGATCAGGCGGGTGGCCTGAAAGGGGCCTAGCACAATCAGGGTTAACTTCTGGGAATGATATCGCAAGATTGCGGAGGTAAAATGATTTTGAAAAGTACTGTGATGTTTTAACGAACCCTTGAAAGAGTGATCTATCAATTTTCGTCACATGATATGTATGCAGGTGAATTCGCACCCTTTACTACGGCTATTCAAGTCACCCCTTCATCCTGTATTTTGTAATTGCACATGAAGAGGATGCTGCGGATTGAATTTCTCTTTATGGAGCTTGTTCTGAAACCTTTTTGCGGGGACCCCAACTTTCTCCATCCTTCTCCACCAGCATCCTCGGTTTCGTACAGAATTCCCCACAGCACTGCCAGCCGCGGTCATATACGGGGAAATACAAATTAGTCACTTTCGACTAAGTCAGGCGGCCTGAAGCAATAGATGTCACGTCAACTCTTCATTGAAGCAAAAGCAAGCTTCGCCAAAGCGGCTCCACTTTCTAATGATTGGTGGTTTCTCCGCACAACCCCAATTCGATTGGTTTTCTCCACTGTATCCGCACTTGGACATGGTGGTTCGGGCTTTCTTTGTGGAGTTGCAGTACCAATCATTGGCTGGCCACAGCTAAAGCCAGCCGAGTCGTGGCTTGATAAATTACGACTTGGGTGTCGATCAGTCAACTTCGCTCCCCACCTTATAAAGTATGGGGGCTCCCCAGAGTTCGCACAAGTGCCGCGTTTTCCTGCTTCTCGAACCCCGCCGCAATGGGTCTCTTTGGCAAGCGTGAGCTCCCTGAAGATGAGATTCAGCGAGTGCCTCAGGATCAGGATGTCGAGAAGACCCTGCCGGCACAGCTGGAGGTCGCACCAGTCCAGCCCCCCGCCAAACTTACCCCAAGAGCTATTGACCCAGAGTTGGAGCGTCGGGTCGTGAGGAAATTGGATATGCGCGTTCCGACGCTCATGGGATTTTTCTGTATGGACTGTCGATCAAAAAATCAAGACTATTTACTAATTATGCGATATCTTAGACCTTCTCGCTTTCCTCGATCGAAGTAATATTGGGTTCGTCGCGCTTCAGATTTTCGTGGACAAGACCTAACAAAACTAGAAATGCAAAAATCGCCGGAATGACCGAAGACCTCGACCTCACGGGTAACCGATATGCATGGCTTCTAACGATTTTCTACATCTCCTACACAGTCTTCGAATTCCAGGCTTTGATGTGGAAGCTTGTTAAGCCGCACCAATGGGCAGCCTTTGTCGTGTTCTCCTGGTATGCGCCCACACCCACGTGGGAATGATCCCCGAAGTGGCAAGATACTTATATTGCATAATGCGTACAGGGGTTTGGTGGCAAGCTGCCAGGCAGCAACCCAGAATTGGCAGGGTATGATGGCACTCCGTTTTCTGATGGGCGCTTTCGAAGCTGGGTTTGGACCCGGTGTACCCTATCTGCTCTCGTTCTTTTATCGTCGCCATGAACTGGGCCTACGATGTGGCCTGTTCTTGTCCGCTGCCCCGCTGGCGAATACCTTCGCTGGTGCTCTTGCCTATGGAATCACATCTGGCCATGCTACACTGGCTAATTGGCGGGTCTTATTTTTGGTGGAGGGTGTACCTGTCTGCGCAGCTGCGATTTTGGCTTGGTTCTTCGTCCCGGATTCCCCATCTACTGCGAAGTTCCTTACAGAGGAAGAGAAAGAGGTTGCTCGTGCGCGTGGTCTGCAGCAGGCCGGTGATGCCGACCGGGAAGGCAAGGTGCAATGGAGAGAGTTGGCCATGACATTATTGGATGCGAAGGCCTGGTTGACTGCTGTATGTGGACCATCCCGTCCAAAAATTACCAAATCGCTAATTTCGATCCATTGCGTATTTAGTTCATGTACTTCAGCTGCAACGTCAGCTTTTCATCACTCCCCGTCTTCTTACCAACCATCCTCGAGGAAATGGGCTATTCAAAAATCAACGCACAGGGCCTCACTGCACCCCCATTCTTTGCCTCTTTTATTGTTACGATCATCACTCCGTGGGTGGCGGATCGGATCCAACAGCGTGGACTAATGATCGCGGCGCTATCACTGATCGGCGGTGTGGGGTACATCCTCTGCGCCACCTGCACAACAGTGGGTGTGCGATACTTTGGCGTGTTTCTGGCCGCCTGTGGAGTATTCCCAGCGATCGCAAATATTTTGCCGTGGGTTCTGAGTAAGTTACATAATTCTCCTATTTGCTGAATGCATCTCTAACCTGTGCTCCACGTGCCAGATAATCAAGGCTCCGATACCCGCCGTGGTGGCGGTATTGTCCTACTCAATGTTATTGGCCAGTGCGGTCCTTTCTTGGGTACTAATGTATTCCCGGACAGTGAAGCACCGCGATATGTTAAGGGTATGTCTATTTGTGCTGCCTTTATGGTCTTTACTACTTTCCTTGCCTTGGTTCTGCGATGCTTGTTGGTGTGGGAGAATAAGCGCCTTGATAAGAAATACGGACCGAGGATTGAGGTAGATGAGACCAAGGGCGAGGTTGCTGTTGCGGAAGATAATTACGGTGCTAGTTTCCGATATATTCTGTGATGTTATCAACTGTACACCTCAGGACTCGAGAGGACACCTGAGAAGGCTAAATCCCTCGAAATTGAACTTGATCCAGACGTACTTACATTTAATACCTATATCTTCTAAGAATCATTCTTACCATTACCTTTATAAATGTATACAGTATTTAGAACAAATAGTACGGAGTCCGGACTTTACATTGACTTAGATCGTTCACGGTGGGTTTTCTATTCACTATCTTAAACAGCACAGGTGGCATTATGCAAGCAAATACATGTATCATTTTTTGCCTTTTTTAAGTCGCGTTAATCATGACCCATCTCCTAGATACCTCTTCCCTTTCCTGGACCGTAGACTCTCGCATTTCTTCGAGACCCTGAGCAATACGGCCCATCACAATCATGCATTTTTGATGCCTACCAAGTGAGTCATTGACCTCTCTGAGAACGCCGCTCAGGGGATATCCTACTAGGCCCCATAGCCCTGCTTGAGATTAGCTCGTGAAATAATAAGCCCACTGAAACGCTGCTTTCGCGTTCAACATACCCGCTGTCGGCTTAAGAATAACCCCGCCCATTCCTTTCCCGACGCCCTTGAGGAGTCCCTTGGTACCTTCGTGCTTTAAGCCATCCCGCGGATGTGTTCCTAGCCCTTTAATACCATGGTAAAATCCGTCTCTGAGCTCCTGTGTAGATGTCAGAACTTTAACCCTAGAACGACACTGGGATGGCTGTTACTACCTTTCCCGCTGCCTTGAACCCGCTTCGAAGACCCACCACTTGGGGGACGTCGTTGACTGTCGAATCGTGATATAATTTGGGTGCGTTGTGAAAACCTCTGGCCATGCTCACTGACAGATTTGTCGGGAGCCATATGACTAGCTTCAGCATCTTCTTCGACGCTTTACTTCCATGGAATGCAGCTTCGTGTAAAACAGAGAACTTGGGTGGTTTTGAGGGCGTCATCGAGCTGCTCATTGTTTTGGCCTTTTCGAGCTGGAGATTCCTATTGCGCTCTATAGTTCGAACCCGAGCGATCTCGGTGTCGTGGGCTTCGGCTTCATTGTCCTCAGCAGCAGAATCTTCCTGTGTACTCTCATCTTCTCGGATTTCTCGACGCTCTTGTTCGCCATTGTCGGTCTGCAATTGCCTATCCTCATTTTCAGTATGTATTTCCTCGTTTCCAGTAGTATCCTCTGTGGATAGATGATCCGGCGAAGACAGTGCTGCCTGACATGCTGCGCGGCGATTAAAACGTTCGTGAGGATGGCGTATTGCGTGAGCAGCAGAAGAAACATCACTGAGCATCTCTCGTGGTGCATCTACAAGCCCCGTCACGAAGCCGGTAATAGCTCCAAAAAGCACTTGAGCAGTAGCGGTAATTGGGTCGGTAGGGTTAAGAAGTGTATCGTATTCGGTTGGACGGTGACTAGAAGCATGTCAGCGAGGGACTCTCATAATTTCAGTCACTTGCTACAGCACGAGAAGACTTACAGCACGAGCATGTCTGGACTGACCTTCCCGGATTTCACTAGAACCGTGGCTGCAAAGGCACTCAAATTAATCTTCGTATGTTTGAGATGCCAAGCTGCCGGCTGATTTGGGATTATAGAACATCTTAGAGATTCAGGGTCAAGATGTCGGTAAAAGCTGTTCACCCCGTGGCGCACTCCAGACTCTTCCCGCATTCTCGTCGCAATGGACTGCACTCTGTCTAGGGTACTTGACTCTAGCGCTTTCTGAATTGCTTCGGAGAGATTCTGCTCGTTCAAACGTTTATATGGTATCGGTGCTGGCCCGGCTCCAGCCCGCGCAACAATATCTCCCCAGAATTGCTGGTCCCCAAAAAAAGGCACAATTATCGTCGGCACACCTAGCGCGAGGCCTGCCGCTGTAGTGCCAGCACCACCATGATGGATCACACATGAAACCTGCCGAAATAGCCAATCGTGAGGGCAGCTTCCAATTATGAGAATATTGTCTGGCACTTCATCTGCTCCCAGATTTCCCCAACCCTTTGAGATAAGAGCCCGCTGTTTAGTTTTTCGGACTGCTTCAAATATGATATTCGTCAATTTGAGAGGATTGGCAACTACAATGGAGCCAAAACCAATGTATATCGGTTTTGGTCCAGCGTTTAAAAATGTAGTTATTTCGTCCGGTGGTACGTAATTGGTCTCAGACGGGAGGAAGCTAAAGCCGCATACATCGATGTTGTCAGGCCAGTCAGGGGGCTTTGGCAGTAATGAAGGAGACCTGTATTGGAAGTTAGGATAGCCTTACTAATTCTCAATATTTAACTAACCATAAATACGTATGTGGTACTTGTAGTCGGTGTAGAATACTCCGGGCGGTCACTGTATCGAGAGGTTGCAGAGCTAAGGTGTTTTTGCGAAGCGTATTTAGAATATCACCCAGCCCTTCCCATACCATCATATCCATAATGCTATAAGACATGAAATTTGCGATGGTCGGCTTGCAATTCTGTGGATGGAGATTCGCTAGTGGGTGAGGGAAAGATTGGGTTGGGGACCAGGGCATTCTGTTATTTGCAAGGTAATTAGTATATAAAAGGGAACTAGAGATTAGTATATAGTAGGGTCAGCTCACGTGAATATAATATGTAGAGGGATACCTAGTCGTTGTGCACAGTGAATATGAGCTAGGCTAGGCGGGTTGGCTATAATAGCATCTGCTACAAACGGTCGTTGTCGGTAATCCACTGCATCATTCCATAGATCTTCTTTGATTTGGTGAAGGTCAGTCCCGTCACCCTTTAGAAAGCAGGATCTCCAACATCCATTAAATATTTCCTTCATCTCACGCCGGCGCTTTTGGATATCTCCGCTCCGTATTGCTTTGAATCCCGGTAGAAGGCCTGGGTTTTTTACCATCAAAGCCATTAGCTGCTCTGGGTCTCCTCCAATATTGAAAAACTCTAGGCCGCTGTCGAGAACGAATTGTCGAAAAGCTAAATGAGTGGCCAGTCTGACTCGATGGCCTTGTGCTTTGAGTTCTTTTCCTAGTGCAACAAATGGTTGAATGTCGCCTTGGGAACCAATCACTTGGATGACGAGATTCAAGTGCAGCGGAAAATGCAAATTTTTCGACAAGGACAATTGTGGACTGACGCCGTGTTCGGCCACCATGTCAGAAAACATACTATCCCGGCGTTGGATGTGATCCAATATCCCTGTGAGATGTGGTTTATGCTGCTTGACATGGATGTCTACCCGGCCGTCACCTATGATAAGAAGTCATCAACGTTAGAGCAAGATGATTGAGTCAATATCGATGGGATATTATTTACTTAGGATACGAGCGCCAGTGCTCAGCCCTTCTTGAAAATACTGCACTTCATCGTGGTCATCTGGTGCTCTCTTAGTACTGTCACTTGGCCAATCATCCGAGCGATCGGTATTCATTAGCTCGGATGACCTTCCGGCAATATTCAGCACTAAAGCAGCCATGATCAACAGGAGTGTAGCACATAGAATGTCAGTAGGAAAGGCGAAGCTGGAGATTGGCAAAAGTGATGGTCATGAATGAGCGCCTGGAGCTCAATATGTGGCGAGTTCTTCTCTTACTTTCTGTTAATCCCGACATGATCTTTACTGGCACCATCCGGCTTTGAAATGCCTGACAAAACGATTTTCGAAGAGAATTGATTCGTGTTTTGATTGTAGTGGATGACGTCAGTGGACTCACGGCCCAGGGTCGGTGGTTCCCTAGCTGGATGTGTAAAGATCCCCGGAAAGGTCTAGATCGCACAAACTACATCACGCGCATTGCCCGTTCTTGGTGTTAAGCAAAACATTACTCAAGATTGATTGGCCTCGGCTAATAATAAGGGGTGTGTGGTGTATCCGTCGGGTTTGATAATGGTCTTTAATAAGAGGCGAATGCTCTCCGGTGGTGATAAAATGCCGGGCAGCTGCTGCGCCGATAGGGTCGTCGAGACCCTTGCATTCATATTATCAACTGGTATTGTAAATAGGTTCTCGCTCAGCCACCTCGTTTTTTAAAGGCAAACCCTTAAGCCAAAATGCACGCGACAGGCTCGTATATCACCAAGTTTGCTGCGAACGAGCGTTTCTCTTTTCACTACCTAGTGTACTTGAGTAGTGATGTAGGATTACTAAAAAGAAATAATCTATATAAGCGTATGCGTGTAGAGATAAGCAATTCGGGCCAACTTTTCTTCTATAGGCCTCCCTTAGGTCTCTCTTCTTCTCTTAAACTGCCCCTGCTGGACGAACTCAGTTAGAGAGTGGCAAATAGTTCGCAGGTAGGTGTTCATCGCTTTAATCGTTCCCTTCTTTACTTGTTACTTATATGGTTGCCATTCACTGTTCTAAAAGCACAGTAAGTATGTAGATGAAAATATCTCCCAGGTGGTAAAAAACAATACTCCTATCTAGACAATTCTATCAACATTCTCAGATACGGTGGATTTCAAAAAGGCCCGGAAGTGCTCAATGATTGCCTTCTGGTCAACCTTCTCTGACCGACTCTCTGTGATGTCAATTCTGAACATCTCGTTGACAATTTCACTATCTCGCACTTGCATAATATCCTTTAGCTCACGGAACCAGGACATCCGTCTTTCGTACCAGCCCTCTTTTGTAATACTTTCCATTCTAGTCTTGCTACGGAAGTATTCGTGCTGCAACCAAAAAGCATATTCGGCCATCGATGTTGACAAGCTAAGTGGTGAGTAAGCTTCAGGAAGCCCAACTGTAATACTCCGGACGAAGCGATCATTTTTATAATCTACTTCACAGGCCTGTTATCAAAGTCAGTTTATTTTACTATCCTTGTTTGATGAAATATTCTCACTCACTTCATTCTGGACTCCTTCTTTTGGGATTCCGGCACGGTTTTCCCTTGCTTCTTTAATCATCTTCTGGTGCTTCTCTTTCAGGAGATTCATCCACTGGGACCTGACCTCTTTGAAACTCTGCTGCATCCACGGCTGCATATCTTTTTCCAGCATATCGAAAAGCTCCGCCTCATCATCTAGGATTTCTCTGGCATCTTCTTTTGAAGGTCTTGCTGTTCCAAACAAGCCCCAGTCCCTGGTGTTAACACCTTTTCCTCCATGGCAGCAAAGGTGTGCGATATCAACGATGTCGGCTTGTGTCCTGCGAACAAAAGACAAAAGTATACTTTTTGACGCTTCTTGACCTTCAAATTCTTCAACAATCGAGAGCCACTCAAAAGCCCACATAATCCCAGGAGCTCCGCAAAAGATTCTTGAATCGAGCCGAAGATTGAATGCAGATGATGTATGGCAGCCGTTACCGTCAGAAACACATGCGCATTCGCAATTGTCAGAAAGAAAGATATCAGCCCCTCGAGCCAGGCACAGTTTGATTGAGTCAATGGTATCCCAAACAAGCCAGTTAAAGTCGCTCAGTGCCGAGATGAGATGAACAAGACAAGTGCGTCCGTCATTGTAAGGGTAATTTACATTGCTTCCATTCTCAAGGCAAAATTGGATCAACTCGGGATTCGGTAATTGTGCAATTGAATGTATTGCCAGCTTTCGATCGCTGTTTTCTTGGTTGAAATTCTTTAAGCCACGACAAAGGAGAGCATGTGCCTCTCTCCGGTTCTTGACTAGGTGTAGTAGATTATTGTGGCGTGTGCCTGAGTGTTCAATGTCGAATGTGAAGTTTACATCGTCACAAAGGCCAATCAATTTTTCGAAATGTGCCGTTCTGTCTAATTCATCGACCAAACAGTCCCTGGATATCAGTGCCATTATAGCATCGATAACAAAATAATGAAAGCACCTCTCTGTATAACACGATCGTATCGTATCAAGCGATTCGAATATGAGCTGCCAATGGCCACGAACGGATGCATATGATATGAAGTCCCGCTTATAACGTGTTTCCGCTTTAAAAGTGTCTGCGCCTTGTCGAATAAGCATCTGGACAACCTGGCTGTTTCCCATACCAGCTGCGTACATCAGGGGAGTGATCCCATATTTGTCAGCTGTGTTCATGTCGTGCCCCGCGTCTAAAAGCATGCGAGTAATCTCCATATTAACACTCGCAAGGTGTAATAGTGTTTGACCTAGGAAGTTCTGATCTTCCTTTAGCTTGTTTGAGCAAGTGCTGAGCCGACTGACAGTCTCAATCGACTGGAGTATAACCGCATCATGAAGTGCCGTGGCACCCGCAAACCCTTGCCATTCGTTAACAATTGCCAACAATTTGAGATATAACCAAACTCACCAGGGCTACTATCCGCAATCATGGCAAGATACTCAATGAAGAATGGGTCTGGTGTAATTTCCTCCGCTATCCAATTTGGTGACAATGGCTGAGGCCATCTCTGAAACAACGGCGAAGCTATATTGCTAGGATCAAATCCGTAATCTAGAATCATTTCGAGTAAATCAAGATGACGTCCCTCTCCTATCCAAGCGGCACATTCAATGAGAAACCTAATTAAAGTCAGAATTAGTCGCATTTGTAATCAATGAGTATGTTGATAGAAACCTTTGATCCTGATTCTCGAATGTCATGTCACATTCACGGACAAAGAAATCCAGAAGAGAGAATTGTGTTTCTTGAAGCCCCCAAGGCCCATGAGCTAGAAGTCCCTATTTTGACCCCAGCTTAGCATATACTTGGCAGCTCCTCGCTTTCAAATAGATGACTTGCCTGTATATAGCCCTTTCCGTCTGGGTTCACATCGTTCTTGAGGCTACTATCCGATTCATACAGTTTGCGAAAACTCTCCTTGGCCTCCGATAGCGTTATGACATGATTCTGACATTTCCAGATTATAACAAAGCCGGGGGATGTATAGTTGACCACTCTTTCTATACTGAGAGCCGGTTGAATGGTATACTTGCCACTGCCCGATACGTACGTTAATCCTATGACCAGTGCATATTGAATTCGAAATCGGTTCAGGGCAATACGTAGCCTCCAAGATGAGCTTCTCTTAGTGCAATTTGTGTTGTCGCATCTTGCAAATAAAGCTGAGAACGGCGTGTACTCGAACCCCCAGTAATGCCCTACAACCCTTTCGTTCAGATGGCGTGAGCAATGGCATTGTTGGAGACTGCATGGTGATCGATAGACATCGGAAGCTTTTTTAGCTATGAGCGCTGTTGGTATTTGATCTTGCAAGTACCGGTTTTGTATAGAGGAACTATTCCAGAAGGTCGATTTGCTCGAAGTGGGTGTAGGTATACTGTCTCCGGGTGGACCTCCTAAAGTCGCTGTTGGAGGCTGGACAGAGTAAAGTGAAAGCGCCCTGTACGATCAATGAAAATCCAACCAACGATTCGGGTCAATGTCAATATCTCGGAACTCACAAATTCAGTACTTTAATCATAAAGTCAAGCTTGTATTTAATTTCTTTGACCTCCCGGCGAATATCTCGTGAAAATCGTTGCATCACTAATTTTAGTCCACTACTTTTGGCAGATGATATGCAAGAAGCTCTTTTCAAAAGATCGGTTAGAGAAAGGTCGATGCTCCTGTAGGTAGTTTGACATGTCACGACCACTTGGTAGACTGCTGGATGCCCCTCCAAAGACTGAGTGAATTGTAGAATTAAATGAAAGGTCTCCAGGTTACCGATCAATGATTCGATCAAAATTGGAGCTTCGGTTCGGTTGTACCTGTAAGCAGTTTTCAAAGCGTCGATCTTTTCAACTACTTGAGTTACAAAAGCAGCAATGCCAAAAATGGCAGAAGCGTTTCCAAGAATCTCTGCCATATTGCACGTTCTGAAAATTCGCGTGGCGAGGATTTGCAGAACCAAATAGTATGACCAAAGAGAAAATGGTAAACAAGGCAGTTCCCAAATACTTGGGAGAGCTTTACACAGCAGCGTTTGGCGCGTAATTCAGCTACACAGCTTCATACTTCAGTCAGTAAGGTACAAATAAATTCAGAAACAATTTGAGCCGATAATTACAAGGTCCAATGACAGGGGACCAACACATCATGCATGCAAAGTGACGACAAATCATGGCGGCTTCTGTGATGTGGGGCCCGAGCTGCCTTCACCAGCATAGTTCTAATAACCCATTGCTGCGCCCACAAATATTGAAAGCAAAAGCGTCATTCATAGGAGATACCCTCTTGGATTTTCATCGTCTTTGGTCCCTTGAAGGTCAGTAAATGGTATGACAAACAAGTAGTGCTGAAGTGACGAGAGTCTGAGGCTTGGGCCCTGTTGCTTGAGCTAAATGTTGACTAGCCACTGGTGCTTATCCATAAGAAATGAGAAAGGAACCGGGACTAGTACATCGGGACACCTTTGCATCATTTTCGTCTCACCATTGATTCAGCGAGTGGTTGATCGCCGGTCATCTGCACAAAGCCACATGCAGAGAAAGTCAGCCTCACCAAAATCTCCTTAGATTATTGATAGAACATCATTCAGAGTAGGGGACATCAGTCAGCAGTGATCGTTTATATTTTCATCTGCAGGATGATTAGCGTAGGCGCATACCCGGCCATTGTGGAGCGAGAATGGTAGAAGCGGCTCAGACGGGTGCGTAGAGATGTAACCACGCGGCGAGGTATGAAACGACGCTAAGCCAGATGAGTCATGATACACCTAATATGGTAGTTTGCTGTACCTATCCGATATGGTGTCATCCAGGGGAACAGCGGAAACACTACGGTTGTGCGTGGAGTTGCGAGAGATAATCGTGGTGTTTCCGTATAGTCAATTTTATAAATCCAATCAGGACTAGCGCTGTTATCAAGCACCAGGGGCTAAACGATACGTGATAACCCATGGTGCGTAGTGAAAAGGCCACGATGTGCGTGGTACTTGATGTGAAAATCGTGGCATTGGCAAAATCATGGCCTTTCCAGAACCACCCACGACGCTAGTCCCCATCAAGGGCGCTAATCCTCACCAAGCATCTTAATTATATCTGACCTTATTTTTAGTTCCAAAGGCATTCCGACCACAGTTTTAGTGAAGAGGGGCAAACATATATTAGAATAGGGTCCTCGCTTGTAAAGCTAGATCATGTCCGAGTCAGATTCCACCAATTTGAAATGCCGCCTAAAAGAAAGATCGAAGACCTCAAGGCTTTCCTCACCACACCTGGTCCTGAGCCTAAATATCAGAAGAAAAACAAGCCGCCGACCAACGAAAAAGTTCGGTGTATTGGCAGGAACTTTGACAAATTTATGCAAGAGCTTGACCTTGAACCACCGCGGAATGTCTGGCTCGAAGAAAAATTTACCATGAGGCTGGTTGAGACCTTTCTCCGCTGGTACCTCAATAGGCACGATGTTGGGCGCCAGTCAGCCCTTGTAACTACCTCGAGATTCTTCATAATGTTTTATAAGATGGAGACAAAGAAAGGATACCCTTTGGAGGTAGAGGAAGGTCTACCTGGACTCCTAGACATATTAACAGAGGACTACGACCTGAAATTAGCATCAGAAAATCAACCCTCATTTGGCATCGATGATTTACTATACATAGCCTATCATCTACTTGCTTAGTGCCCAATCACCTTTCTAACTATGCGAAGTATCTTTTAATTAAATACCCTTCGAAAAATGATGGCTTGCATAACTGCCCGGCCTGGAACCTTGATCGAATCTTCTGGGTATATCGATCGCAACGACGCTTTATAATGGAAAGATATTGAGCTTTTTATGGTAAAGCACCCAAAGAGTACTATATCCCAAGTGCTTCTTATGAGGGTGAGGCATAGATTAAACAAAGGAAAAAGGAATGAAGGAACGCCGTCCATATTCACCTACACAGAAAGGAATGATAACTTAGGGCTCTGCGTCATCCAAGATATACTTATATATGCATTCTTAGACAACGCATTCGCCAGCGAATATATTAAGTGCCCCCGAGATATTTAGCGCCTGACCATTATACTAGAACATCGCCTTAGTACTCCGATTCATTTTAAAAAGAGTATAAAAGAAATTCCAATCCTACGAGGGAGTCGAAATAAGGGCGGTTATTTTATTATAGATCCCCAAAGTGCTCTCCAATACTCCCAGGCCAGAGCCTAGGAGATAAATTACAGTATTTCAGCCGGGTTCGAGAATAAAGGAACTCTTTATAAATACCGTAAAGGAGTAGCTACAAAAATAAGGGAGCTCGATGAGCACACTCAGAACAAGATCATGGGCCATACCTAAGGGCAAACATTTACCCACTATATCTCAAATCTAGTGACGGATAATACTCAATCTTTGTTTATAGAGACGCCAACTAGAAACTCCCTACTTAGCCTTTCGACTTATATAAGTATAACACGGGACCCTTTAGCACCACAAGAACTTACGACCACGCAAAAAGAGGCGGTTGAATCAGACGATTTGATTCAGACTTGCTTATCTGACCGCGAAAGGCTTCGGAGCGATGTCATATCGCAGTACGGGCAATTAAAGCATGCGGAAACATCTGGTGACAAACGATTTCATGACTTGCAAAGACTAGGAAACAAGATCAAAGCACGACGAAGAAGACTATGCCGTAAAGCTTTAGTGGCTGTTCGCCGCGAGTTCTTTGAGCAAGTCGGGAATCGGATCATTGAAAGCAACGTTGCAGGGAAACCAATCGATTATACGCCTAATACCAGCGGAGCACAGCCAGAGAGACTAGCTCTGGCTGCTCTGGAATTTCAGAATCGGGATGTTAATGAGATTGATGATGATCAATTGATAGAGGACCGAATCCTATCCCTAGAATTACGGTTGGAGCTTAATAAACTCCGTGTGCCTAGTGGCCTGCAAGCACATATTCGATCCCAGGAGAAAAGAAAGCGAAGCGAAGAAGACACGGAACAGAAGGGCAAGCGGAAAAAGAATAGAGGAGATCAGTCCTTACAATGCCCTGTCTGTGCGGGAGACCCCACTGCTACCCGGTCGGTTCAAATGTTCAGGTACTCTCGAAAAGATTCACTCCAACGGCATTTCAAGAAGATCCATGAGCCAAAGATGTCATTCGGTACCAGTGGGCATATATGCGACATGCCGAGTTGTGATGTAATATCGGCTTCGCTTCCTCGCTATAAGTCACATCTCTGGAAATGTCATATTACCGAGGTATAAGAATGCAAGACTCGCCAGGGCATTCGATCCGAGTGTTACACATGAAAAGTAGATGATGATGCCATAAACAATAAATATGATATATTACTGGCCGGATGGTGGGTGTAGTTGGTTATCACGTATCGTTAACACCGACAAGGTCCTGGGATCGAACCCCAGTCTGGTCACATCTTTTTTTTGCATCTTCTTCTTGGCACCAAAAGATTATCATGTTTTGTGAAATTCAGCAGCGTCATAACTAATATACTAGTTCCTAGTTAAAGGCGCAGGCGGTGGAGTGGCCTAACTGATTTTCCTAGAACGTTAAAACCTTGATCCGGCCGCGAAGCGGCTTGGAAGGATAGCACTACGCTAGTCCGGCAATTCCAAACTCATCAGCTGCCGCAGTTCTTCGGCGGCAACCCCGGTTGCTTATGTGATGTCCCGCTGCATTTCCCGTTTTCCCGCCAAGATGGTATCACCTCAACTAACTGGATATTCCAAATATCGGTCTGGAGCCAAAGATCCCGGCGGAGCGTGGATTGCGAGCGGGGCAGAAAAAGTATAATACACTCTTGGTGCTATACCTATTCTAGTTAGGCGATACTCTACTTAGTTCCAAACTACAATGTAGCCTGAGAAAAGGAAATCAGGCCGGTTGGGAGGAAGCTGATTTCGCTACTGGACTGTAAAGTGCGTCCCGAAACTGGTGCAACTGCCTACACCCTTCGTAAGATTTTCTGGCCCCACTGCCAAAATATACTACACCAACCTTGGGATAGCATCGGAATATCAATATTCATGGGGCAGTCTCAATACCATATTGTACTTCTATTGAAATACGGTTCCTTGTCTCGTAGATGTATCAGCGATCTAAGGAAACTAGAATTTTCCACGGTATTGCAAACAAGTCAAACACTTGAGCTGGTGAGTGTCTCGTGGATCTGGGGACCGTGTCACTCTCCTCTGCCACTCCTATGTCTAAGTGACGATCTGGGGAGGTTACTCGTCACCACACCTTGTAAATAGTGACTTGCATTATTTCCTTACTGTACCTGTAGACTACTTATGAATCTGCTTATTACAATACTTAGCCCGTCAGCACCCTACTCAGTCACACACACTAGCTATTTCTGGAGCATAGTAGAACTTTATGGAACAGTACACATATAAGATAGAACAATATTATGTGGGTTTGGTTTGTCTCCCAGGCCCTTCTTTTGTAAAGAGATTATATTAGAAAACAGAGGTAGGAAGAGAAACGGAAAAGATTCATATCTGCTGCACATTAAATCCTAAAAAGGAAACGCTTCCTGAAGCATGTCCCAGAGCAAGTAGGCTGCCGTTCACCGCTGAGCATATAGGCCTAGACTCGGGTGGTAGCCAGAGGATGTTTTGGCCGTTTACTTCCACCCACTGCTCGTAGATTGTGATTTTCGGACTCGTGTAAGGTACTATAGACATGGTGTCGGAACCATATTGAAAATGAACGCGGCCTGAATTGGTTCTTATATAAGAACCGTCCTGAGAAAATTCGATTTCAGAGACTCGTTTATCACGAGTAAACATCCGCTTCAGCGCACCCAAAGCCGGGTCCCAGAGCCGTACAGTATTATCACCAGAGCCGGACGCCAACAGCCGACAGTCGGGCGAGAAGGCCACTGACAGAACCGAGGACGAATGGCCCTCAAGCCTTTGCTTCAGCGCACCCGACGCCGGGTCCCAGAGCCGTATAGTTCTATCACTAGAGCCGGACGCCAACAGCCGACCGTCGGGCGAGAAGGCCACTGACTGAACCGAAGACGAATGGCCCTTAAGGATATGCTTCGGTACACCCAACGCTGGGTCCCAGAGCCGTATAGTGCTATCATCAGAGCCGGACGCCAATAGCCGACCGTCGGGCGAGAAGGCTACTGACTGAACTGACCACGAATGGCCCTCGAGCGTCTGCTTTAGCGAATCTAACGCTGGATCCCAGAGCCGCACAGTTTTATCATCAGATCCAGATGCTAGTAGCCGGCCGTCAGGCGAGAAGGCCACTGACCGAACCGAAGACGAATGGCCCTCGGGCGTCTGCTTTAGCGAATCTACCGCCGGATCCCAGAGCCGCACAGTTTTATCATCAGAGCCAGATGCTAGTAGCCGGCCGTTGGGCGAGAAAGCTACTGACTGAACTGACCATAAATGGCCCTTAAGCGTCTGCTTCAGTATACCTGATGCTAGGTCCCAGAGCCGTATAGTTTTATCATTAGAGCCAGACGCTAATAGCCGACCGTCGGGCGAGAAGGCCACTGACTGAACTGACCATAAATGGCCCTCAAGCCTTTGCTTTAGCGCACCCGACGCCGGGTCCCAGAGCCGTATAGTTTTATCACTAGAGCCAGACGCCAACAGCCGACCGTCGGGCGAGAAGGCCACTAACTGAACCGAAGACGAATGGCCCTTAAGGATATGCTTTGGTACACCCGACGCCGGGTCCCAGAGCCATATAGTTTTATCATCAGAGCCGGACGCTAATAGCCGACCATCGGGCGAGAAGGCCACTGACAGAACTGAGGACGAATTGCCCTTAAGCGTTTGCTTCAGCGCACCTAACGCTAGGTCCCAGAGCCGTATAGTTTTATCATCAGAGCCGGACGCCAACAGCCGGCCGTCGGGCGAGAAGGCCACTGACTGAACCGAAGACGAATGGCCCTTAAGGATATGCTTCGGTACACCCGACGCCAGGTCCCAGAGCCGTATAGTGCTATCATGAGAGCCGGACGCTAACAGCCGGCCGTCGGGCGAGAACGCTACAGACTGAAATGACCACGAATGGCGCCTAAACGTCTGCTTCAGCGTTTCCGACACCGGGTCCCAGAACAGTGTAAACTTATTATAAGAGCCGGTCGCTAGCAGCGTCTGCTTCAGCTCACCCGACACTGGGTCCCAGAGCCGTACAGTGCTATCATCAGAGCCGGACGCCAACAGCTGGCCGTCGGGCGAGAAGGCCACTGACTGAACCGAAGACGAATGGCCCTCAAGCGTCTGAATTTCTGCCCTCCACTCCTCGTTAACCCGTGCTAACTGGTATAACCAAGGAGGAAGCTCTTTCTCAAACGCTCGACGAATTATTGCTGTTTTGGGTGCAAAAACCAATCCCGCGCAATAGAGCTGAAGGGGCGCCTCATTGGCTATCTGATGGTTTTTAAGAACAAAGCGCTTTGCATCACGTAGAAATTCGGACATTGTGGAGTGTTGATTGCCCTATCTCTATTAGTATAGATCATATATGACTGTTAACAGAGATTACCTGTATAGCCGACTGGAGGAGATTAATAATCCCTACCACTTCTGATAGAAGACCTAACAGGCTCATTGCTTCCACCCAGTGTAGGAAATGCTTCTGGAGGAACGAAAGTGCGCTAGCTATGATGTCACTAAACTCCATACACTGAGCCGTATGATGTGCCCAGTATCGACAGGAGTATCGTAATTCGGCGGGGAAATAGCCATCGATGGTCTGGCGATCGATCTCAGCACGTATAATGCCTTCACCTCGGAGATTGCAGATATTTTTCTTCAGCTTAGTTTGCATATTATTCAGACAACAAATCGCGATCTCTTGATGTGTATGTTTCTCGTCGACGAAAAATTTGCTCTCAGTTTGAAGTAGAAAATCCCGAAAAGATAAATGAAAAACTCTAACCGGTAGGTCTTCATCAGTTGGTAGGCTGATGACAGATCGGAATGAATCCAAAAAGTTGGTGATGAGTCGCGACTGGAGCTTAAGCAACCTTGAGAGTGCATTCACAGAAAGTGGAACCGCAAGAAGTATGATTAGGCCAATAATCTGTCGGAAATACTGTAAAATCTGAGCTTCGTCATCTTCTTGTCCTTCTAACAGCCGCACAAGAACCGGTAGGTATGTCTTATCCATTTTCGTCGCATACTTGGCTTGATCCTTAAGAAGATCGGTGAGACATACTACAGGGTCGAAGTTGACCTCCACAAATCGACAAACGGTCGCTGCTGAAATGAATAATGGAGCTGACATCTCAACCAACGCTCGAATTTCATCTTCTTCAGGCCAGCTTACAGGGACATTCTTCTCATTACGAATCTTTTTGAATCGCTCCTTGAGGAATAAGGAAATATCGCGTAATGTCACCCTCTCCGAGATCTCATGGAGGGCAGCATGTTGATGATTTGTAATTTTTGAAAACTCTAGGCGAATCGGCAATTCAGGTCGGCTTGTCAAAAATATTCGTAATCGGATAGAGGTTAACTCCTGCACTCGTGGCAGCAGTTGGAGTATAACCCTTATATCATCGTCGCTTTCGCATTCGTCCAGAGCATCTATTATTAAGACCACCACTGGGATTTGCGAACTCACTTGCTCTAATCCTAGTATTGGATGGAAGAGTAGTGTCTCGAACTGTTCCCCGAGAGATTTCGCCTCAATATCAGGATTGATGGACAATGCCTTCGTAAGGCTTGTTATCAGATCCGGAATCATTGTCGCTAGTTGCTTAGAAAGTGTCGGGAAAAATCTGGCTGCATTCCCTCGATCCCCCTCGCCTCTCTTGAAAAAGAAGCTAGCAACTGCTAGTTGCTCAGATTTAAAAGACTTCGCGATTGTCCTAGAAATGGTCGACTTCCCTGTCCCAGCCATACCATTCAACCAAAAGATGCACTTTCCGTAGGGTGACATAGCCCAGTCTGTAATATCGCGGAGAAGATCGATTCTTGTGCCCTGAAGGCATGTATCTTCATGTTGATCCGTATACGAATCTAACTCGGCCCCACGCGCAATTGGGAGCTTGTCAAGAAGATCTTTTCCGGTTATCAGATCGCCTATACAAAACTGACTGAAGATAGTACCTACCCGCAGGAAGATTATTTATCGTGCCATAATTTTTCCCCACCTGAAACCCAGAATTTGAATGGCCAAACGATATTGGAAAATCCATACTCATAGCGAAATGGAACGAAGAATGTTGCGCTCGATGCAGTTCGAAACTGCGGGGTATTATTCTTTCTGCCATTCCTTTTAGCCCCCACTGGTGCCTGGGCTGTATCTGGATGAGGCATTTTTCCTATTGATCCATGTCACCGAATAGACATGCATTTGAGAAGAATTCCCCTTATTATTGGTCGGGGACACCAGTCAGGTCGCGAACGCGCTTTGGCACTGATCTGTAACTTTTGACCGTATTTTGAAGCGCCATGCTAGATTGAAACGCAAACGTGGTCAAAGCCACGACACCAGAGGCCAGACCAATGGGCTCTGCCATTGTAAGCTAGTCGATAATGTGCCGGTAGTGCTAGTAACTTGGAGTTCGGTGATCAGAAGAAGATAAGGATAAGGCCCCATTAGAATCGCAACAATGGGGATTTCTAACTTTTATGCAATGAGATTAGGTATACCTCGCAAGAGCAAGGGCTTACGGTGGGGTCAGCGGCTAAATATCACGGCCTGCTGCGATTCTCACCGTTTTCCCCTCAGACCTTCCATCGAACACACGCGAGCCAACTTTAGCCAATGGAGTTGTCACGTTAAGCGCCGACCTTACCGCTTCCAAACGCTTGCAGGTTAATATGCATGTTAGTCACACCAATAGTGCTTCTGGCTTGGTAAAGAGAATGTTGGTTTCCCACATATTTAGCCAGCAATCCAAGCCCTGTTGTAGCGTCCCTGAGCGTAGGGGCCGGCCCCTCTTTTCCTGACACTCTCTCTCTCCCTTCTTTTATTCCTCAGGCTAATATACCCAGCGCTTCTGGGGAAAATAGCCAGCTCAGACAAGAGTTGTCTCGGCGCTTCCATTTCTTGGCGCTATTGTATGTCCAGTTAATACCAGCACCCTTCAACCGCGTTCTATCCTGCGACTCTCTATCAGGAGTCCAAGTTTGCGGAATTGGGAAAAAGGTTCCACCATTGCTTGTGAAAGGATTGGGGCCTCAATCACCAATAGCGCGCGCGTGGAGAGGATCAAAGATTGGTTAGAGGCTTGCTCCAAGTTTGCGAATCTGTTTCATATGATCCAATGACGTTAGCTGAGAGTGTCAATACGGGTCTCATCTGAACGGCATCATGCCCAATTGGTGATAATAGCCTATCTTCGGGTCCCTTTACCTCATCCTCTATACCAACAAATTATAATGGCGATCAAGGGTTACGTTGATTAGGCGGATTTAGTGGCGAGAGGCTAAGCCTACACAAATCTTTTAAATTATCATCAGGGAAACGATTATGGACCGACAGCTTCGCGCTATCTCCTAGGAGGGCATTACGTAGTTAGGGGCTGGCTATTCGTGCCGTATTGTTTGCGGACTTAGTATTCGCTAGCTTGCGGCTAGGACAGTCGATCGGTCAGATAAGCGATGTTAACTCGGTCATAGTGTAAATAAAGCAAGCTATTACCCAGCTGTAATAAGGCCCCATTAAACCGTTCTTTATATCCTACGGTTTACAGACCCGTTTCACGTGGGCGACTACATAGAGAGAGCGGAAGGCACGTCGATGACAGGATTTGCGGATAACCGACGGATAGTCACGTGTGACTTCAAATTCGGGGGCCAGCGTCAGAGCCTTAGACAAAGCACCTGATGAGGAACAAGGTAAGCCCAAGAAAGGAGGGGAAAGTCGCGAAGACGAGATAACCAGTCACATGAGGGAAAGGAGATGGCGTAGCTCAGGAGCTCGGTGATCCGGATCAATCGCGAAAACGCCTCACCTGCAAAGTGAAGGGGGGAGGACGAAAAAGGAAAATGTAAAGTCTTGGGGCGTAAGGGGAAGACAGGGTGACTATATACCACCACGCACGGCGAGGTATAAGTACACATGGCGCTTAACCAAAAAGGTTCATGAAAAGCCTAACCTGGTAATTCGCTGTCCCCTTCCGATATGGTGTAGTGGCTAACATCGTCGTCTCTCACACGACAGCCGGGGGTTCGATTCCCCCTATCGGAGTTTCTTTTTGTTTTTTCTAGGACATCTACCATGTATGTCTCTTATCCTTTTTGGTCATAGTTAAACCAGACCGTCTTTCACTGCTGACCGATACGGGACGCGCCCGTGTTGGCTAGCATATGACGGCTATAGATAGTATTAAAGGTATCAGATGAGGGAGAACGCACGGGTACTGAATAACTATTTCAAGCTTCCTATGAAATGATCCGTAAATTTATTAAGATTTGTTTATGCAGTGGTAATTCAAAGAAAATGCTTCCCTGCTTTCCTGAAGCAGAATGGCATTATGTTTAGGAGTCATACGTGACCTTGGACAACTTACAGTCAGCGGGTAATATCTTGGCCTGATGTACCAGGAAGTCAGACCATGCGAAGACTATACACTTGTCATACCCATTAGCAAGTAGGCCTAAGGTAAGTCCAAAAGGTAATTGACTTGACGGTAGCAATCATCTGGGCATTTGCGATCTCGGCGTACTTTATTTCTACTAATCCTAAGCTAGATATTCCGGGATGTTTTCCATTGGTCTCGTGCTTCCCAGGGTCTACAAAGCTGTTGCATTTCCGTTTGTCACAACGGCTACAACCGGGGCCAAACGAAACATGTCCAATGAGAATTTGAAGATTGAAAAGAGGTATATAGCCGTGATAGGTGCTGGCAGGGGAAGACCGGAGCTCTATAATTCGAGGCATTCGGACCAGAGTCTCCCGATCTCCACTTAATTGCGTCTAGAAGGAAGTTTGATTATCGTGAAAGGTTATTTAGTATTTCCAAATTTTCAGTGCAACTCAAAGCTCAAAGTGAAAATAGCAACTGTCTCTCAGTTCCTTCATTTCGACTGATTTATTGCCTTGTAAAGTAAGCTTTAATGACTATTGTTCTTGATCGACAAAAGCTATGATAGTGTATGAACATTATAATAAAGCTCTGAAGCCCAGATCAAAAACGTCATAATGCGATCAAGATCAGCATACCCCTCCCGAAGTCGCAGCTCACCGGCCACTAAAATCGCCAAAGAACGGATAGAATCGGAGAATATGACAACATCGTTGTTTCAAGCAGTTGGTGGGATGGCGGGGTGAATCACATATAAAGTTCGCTGCCCCTCACCTTTTCTTGCTCGTTCTTCTTCTTTTTTCATCAACTGAATCGATTCCGCCAATTCAAAGCAATTGAACAAGACCAACTCAGTAACTATGAGACCTAAATCATGGTCCGCCCGAGCTAACCCTTAGTGCAGATCTTTTCCAGTACATACTGCCCCACAATCTCGTGGGAAGCCATGGCTCCGCTTTGGCTGTGCATATTGTCCCTTAGGGATCAAGGTATCTCAGGTAACTTCTGGGCGTTGTGCCGGTGTTCGTTCCTATGTCGTTGGCATTTCTTCTCAACTCGCCCAAGATAAACTATCTACGAGCAGATGAGAAGCAATGGCAATGGCGTGGGTTCGTTCTGAGAATATACGGTCAAAACTTGATCTGGATAATACCAGCGAAAGGATCATGCCTTCCCCTTCTTTCCCCTTTTTGTATAGAAAACTAACAAAGGCCCCAAGTCATCCCGACTTGATCCCTAACCCACAATGTCTCCCCCCGCTGCTATCTTTGAGCCTACTGTCGCCCCTGTTGGCATCAAGGGCAAGGTTGTCGTCCCTGAGACGACTACTACCACCCTGACCGGCGAGGGACAGACACAGCTTCTAGACCAGTTCGGCGGCAAGTGGGATGAGTTCAAGTTCGCCCCTATCCGCGAGAGTCAGGTCTCTCGTGCCATGACTCGTCGCTACTTCCAGGATCTGGACAACTACGCCGAGAGCGATGTTGTCATCGTTGGCGCGGGTTCCTGTGGTTTGAGCTCCGCTTATGTGCTCGCCAAGGCCCGTCCGGACCTGAAGATTGCTATCGTTGAGGCCTCCGTGTCTCCTGGTGAGCCAGCCTCTCGACGATGAGATCAGCATTGAATACTTTACTAACCCAGTACTAGGTGGTGGTGCCTGGCTCGGTGGCCAGCTCTTCTCCGCCATGGTCCTCCGTCGTCCTGCCGATGCTTTCCTCACTGAGCTCGGTGTCCCCTTCGAGGAGGAGCCCAACAACCCGAACTTCGTGGTCGTCAAGCACGCCGCCCTGTTTACCTCGACCCTTCTGTCCCGCGTTCTGGCTTTCCCGAACGTGAAGCTCTTCAACGCCACCTGTGTTGAGGACCTGATTACCCGCCCCGATGGCACTGACAAGATCCGTCTGGCCGGTGTGGTCGTCAACTGGACCCTGGTCACCCTTCACCACGATGACCACTCCTGCATGGACCCTAACACCATCAACGCTCCTATCATCATCAGTACCACTGGTCACGACGGCCCATTCGGTGCCTTCTGTGCTAAGCGTCTTGTCTCCATGAACTCCATCGACAAGCTCGGTGGTATGCGTGGTCTCGACATGAACCTTGCTGAGGATGCCATTGTTAAGAACACCCGTGAGGTCACCAAGGGTCTTATTATCGGTGGTATGGAGCTGTCGGAAATCGATGGTTTCAACCGCATGGGCCCGACTTTCGGTGCCATGGCCATGTCTGGTGTTAAGGCTGCCGAGGAGGCGCTGCGTGTCTTCGACGACCGTAAGCGCGAGTGTGCTGAGTAAATTCGGCATCTCCGGTATATGTTCCTGGTGGAGGTTTAGCTATGCTACTGGGTAGCTTTGCTTGCAGTCGTTTTGATAATGCGCTCCACACTCGTTTTATGTGATAATGCAATGATACTTGTTTCCAACGATCAAATTTTTATCGATTTTTATCGAGTGTGAGAATCTCTTTTAGAATGTAGATCGTATGTAGTAGGTATTATGTATTATATTTAGTCAATAAGATCAGCATACCATATGTTACAAAGTGTGTTGTCGTAAATCAATAGATATTATGTGCACCAGTGTTCCACCTCAAGAAGCAAAATATCATATTTTGTTCCGTCCCTCGGCAGCCAACACCAAATCCTTTGCCGTCTGGACCTCCCACTCGAATTCTTTCAGAGCACGAAGCTCGCTTGAGACAAAAAGTCCACCAATTAGGCCATCCAGAATACCAGCTCCAAAGTTCAATGTGCTGACCAGGATTAGGATGAAGCCGATATAGGTGCGATTACCCACCCACCATACGCCGACCATGCAACCAATAGAGACCACAATCGAAAGAATGAAATGCGCGAGACGCCAGCGGCGCTGTGACCGTTCTCGCTGCACATAAGTGTGGATCATATCGATGATGTGGTCATAGGTATCTGGGGAGAGGGCGGCATTGGGGGAGACTTGTTTGGAGGTTGTTGTGTGGAGAGAAGGAGTGCTCGGCGAGTGAGGTAGGTCTACTTGGGCTTGAGTTTGAGCTTTTGATTTGATAGAAGCAACATCGGAAGATCGAGTAATGACCGCCTCGACGGCAAAATGGTCACTTAGAGAGCAGCGGAGGGTGGGGTGGCGTTCAGTCATGCTGACCTTCGCCGATTCAACGGACCAGCGAGGGGCAGGGAACTCGGGGGCATATCCTCCATCGCCAACAAAGATGTAGTCTAGACGCTTTGCGCGTGGGTCGGCTTCATCCTTGTCAATGGTGATCTCTTCGCCCTTGTCAAGTCGCTTCTGTAGAGCTTTGGACCAGCGCCAGGTATTGAAAGCCCCGTCACATGTAGCACCATTCTCAAGCAGATTGAACTCCGCAGATGGAATTGGTCGTTTTCGAGCTTGCTCAACAGGATTGATTGCTGCGCCGAGGGACGAGTCGGGGTGCAGTTCGCGCCAAACGTCACGGACGGGGCTCTGGGCGCTAATCAACCGGTGGGCGAAGGAAGAAGGCAGCATGTTAAAGTCGCCCAGTCCGATTACCAGGTGCCCTCGCTCTGCAGCACCACGCATGAGCTTGGAGGTCTCCCATGCTTGCGCCGTGCGATGACACAGGTACGAGTCATTGGGTTCTCGCTCATAGGGGGCGTGCAGATGCGTGCAGAATACCTCAGCGACGTCGGCTGCACCTGGTCCAAAGCGCACCCTGGCACAAGCCACACCTTTACCCACAAACCAATCGCCACGAAAGAAGGCTGTTGGCCGTCCGTTGAGCGGGTATGCGTACATGCTGCTCTCCTCAATTGGCCACTTGGACAGAATCGCCAAGCCCGCTCCGAATATGCCTCCGAAATAGAACTTTCCATATGGTAGGATGTGCCGGGTTTGGTCTCGGATGCTCTCGTAGTCTTGTTGTGTCCAGCATTCCTGCAGTCCGACTATCTCGGGGGGCGGACTGGCTTGAGCCAGCTGTCGACCGATCTCTGAAAGACGTTCATGGCGGTAGGTGGCAAGGTACTTGAGACCCCAGCAATTTAGGGTCAGTAACCGAATGCGGGTAGGTGGCTCACTCGGAATAATTGAGGAAGCCATTTTTTTAATTGACAACACTGGCCTTTTGGTGCTGATGAAGATAGCTTAAAGTGGAGTGTCGATCGGTGATGTAAATCAAAGACTCACCTCACCGCCTTCGAAACGCGCCTTTCAATTTCCGCGGCTTGTCGCATCCCAACCGCGTTTGTGACGTTTGCCAATGTCCTAAATTGGGCTCAATTTACATGGACCATTCGCACTCCTCCAGATCTCGTCGGCGGGAGACCCGTGTGTCTCCCGTCGAATCATCATCAGATGAATTGGCAGCAGCTTCAGATCATGAACAAGCTGATCGCCGACGAACAAGCTGGGGCGTGCATAAGAATTTCACCCCGCAGCGTCCAAATCACGACCGTCACCCGAGGGAATCGGACAGTCCAGATGAATTGGCTGTCGATGCTGACGAATACTGGCGCACTTCACGCAACCGTCGCAGCCCCTCACCCATCAACCGCCCCGCCGATTTGAGCAGCGGTGGTGAACACCTTTCAGAAGATCGATTGAGCACCGCAGACGATAATAACACTCCCATTCGCGACAACATGGCAGACCGCGACTCCACCCCTATTCCTCCTGTTCCGGCTCTGCCTCCTAAACCTGATCATCTTAATTACCGCGAAAAGTTCGTCCTTCAAGGTCATCTGCGAGGAGTGTCTGCTGTTCAATTCTCCCCAGACTGTTCCATGATCGCAAGTGCTGGTAGGTTATGACGATGTTCGATTCCGAGGAAGTCATTGACCTGTGTTTATTGTAGGTGCCGACGCAGCCATCAAAGTTTGGGATACACTAACTGGAAGACTCATTTACACCTTTGAGGGTCACCTGGCGGGCATTTCCACCCTTGCCTGGAGCCCTGATGGTCAATGGATCGCATCTGGGTCCGATGATAAGACAATTCGGTTTTGGAACGTGAATACCGTATGAGACACACCCAACTTATCGCAATCTTCAACGCTGACTTGTTACTACAGGGCAGGGCTCACACCAAGACCTTCGTCGGCCATCACAACTACGTTTATCAAATCGCATTCGCACCCAAGGGCAACATTCTCGTGAGCGGTTCATATGATGAAGCTGTCTTCATGTGGGATGTGCGCCGAGCACGCGTCATGAGATCTCTCCCTGCCCACTCTGATCCCGTCGCCGGCATTGATGTCGTCCACGACGGTACACTTATTGTCTCCTGCGCACTTGACGGTCTTGTTCGTATCTGGGATACACACAGTGGCCAGTGTCTCCGAACCCTGGTGTTTGAGGACCAGCCACCTGCCACGTGCGTCAAATTCTCGCCAAATGGCAAGTACGTTCTTGCGTGGACTCTAGATGGCTGCGTGCGTCTGTGGAACTACGTTGAGAGCCGCGTCGTGAAGACATTCCAGGGTCATGTCAACGAGAAGCACAGTCTGTCTGGTTGTTTTGGTCTGTACGGTCCCCCGGATCTCCGGTACACCCCGCCGTTGTGCTTTGTCGTGAGCGGCAGCGAAGACGGTGCCATTCTGTGCTGGGATCTAGTCAGCAAGAAAGTTCTCCAGCGCATTGAGGGACACACCGATGCTGTCCTTTGCGTTCACTCTGGCGAATTGAAGGGCAAGCGTCTTCTCGTCAGCTGTGGACTGGACAAGACAGTCCGGGTGTGGGAGGAACTGCCTGGAGATGAAAAAACCAACGGAGTCGCTGATAGTGCCTCTGTGAACACGGATCTGCCAAACGGAGTTATTGCCAGTGATGAGGATGGCGATAACGAGATGACTGATCTTCCGGACCCCTCCACTGCGACCACCCCTGCAGAGGACGTGATGATGACATGATCGAAATTCTTGTTCTCGTATTTGACTTTCCATTGCATTGTGGCTTGCATGAGCGGTTGGATTTTGTTTTAGGATTGAGGAAATACCCGGTGTCTGGAGTAGGGAAAATATGGCATGCATACGTGCATACGCCTCGCAGAATCTTTGATAAGTTAACGCTATGCATAAAATGGAGTACTTGGCCATTACTGATTGAAACAAATATACTTTAAATATTTACCTCTCTGGAACACCTGCAGTAATTGTATGAAAATACCTGAGAATTCGCACACTCGTCTAGATTATCCCTGGATGCACCTTTTATGAAAACTTAGGTTGAGAAGCCGAAAACATCAACACACGCCCCACCACCCTTGTCTTGACCTGCTTATAATCTTTACACAGCGCGTCATGAATCTCCCTTTCACCGTCACCCCAATTACTAAAGATTCCCCGCCAGTTATAAATACACATCAAAACCCAGCCAAAGAAATTATGCGATACATCTTTCCCAAGAACTGTCGTCCCATAGATCGTACCATTCTCAGCAAGAAACGGCTTAAGATTCGTAAAAAGCACCATCTTCCGCTCCAATGGGCCGGGCAGACAATGAATCAGAAAAAAAGTCGAAATAGAATCATACACAGCCTTCAACGGAAGCGGCTGCAGGACATCTGCCTGAACAGTCTGTGTATCGGGTCTACCAAGGCGTCTTTTGGTATAGTGAAGAGAATTGGGATTCAAATCCATCAGAGTCATTCGGGTTTTCTCCGGAATACTGGCGTGTGCAGGATAGTAGCCCGTCCCGATGCCGATATCTAGATGTCGGTGACCCATGAACTTTCTGAAGAAGGGTAGTTGGATGTTTGTTGTACCGCAGCACCAGGCGAATGAGTTGCAGATAGCTAGGACCCAGAGGTCGTAGAATGATAAGATGAGAGGGCTATACACGGCTGCGCCGGCGGCGCTGGTGGGTGCTGAGTTGGTATGCATCTTCGTGTTGTAGTGAAGTTTAGATGGCAAAAAAAGCGATGTAAGACCGATATACTTCATCGTTATATATGTGCCTTTAGAATGGCCCCCTTGTTAGTATGATGGGGGCCAAGTCCTTTTTTACCAGATACAGTAATCGCATGATTCAACTATTTGAGGCCATAGCAACAGAACATATGGGAGGGCGATTACACAGTACAAGTTGAAACGGCGGAGAATTACTTTATAGACTACGCTGTATCCTCGGGTAGCCTAAGCACAGTAAAGTATAGGAGGACCTTGATCTCGTATATAGCAAAGCCGCAGTAGGCCTAGCCCCCACTAAGATCTATGGAAGGGCAAAGTCCGAGCTCCGGGGCTCTTAATTCAAGCAAAGATTCAAGTCCAAAGATATCTCTCAACGCGGAACTACTTACCTCAACTCTAAATACCTCTGTAGAAATTTCGTCACAATTACTCCGTTTGGTTGGCTGGACCCGCTATTCCCAAGGCACTCCCGTCGGGTAGCCATCCAAAAGATAACAAGTGTTGTGGGTCACACGATTCTCTTCGGGACCTTGATGGTTGATGCAAAAACGTAATAAAAACCAGCATGCTACTAAGCTTGGGCACATGTCGCCAAAAAGCGACTGCCGACATGTCTAAAATAAGCATAAGATAGCCTCCACATCAATCTAGAATGCTCGACATCGAGCACATGATTGATCTATTGGGGGCAAGCTTGTCTGCGGCCCCACTGAAAACTCAATTTGCGCACCTTGGCTTCCTAATTGGGTTTAATGCTGGAGCTGCATACAATCCCATGATATCTCGCAATTTTTTCGCATTGTGGGTTGATTGTTCTGGCGATGAGCATTAAGTCTCTGCTTGTTCTCGATTTTCTGATCGTCAACAATCAATTCAATCAGTCCACCATGGCGTCCTTGGGTTTGCAGCTGGTCTGTCCTTCTGAGCATGACATTTACTTTAATCTCAATGGAGATGGTTATTCAGAGCCCCTCGTTGGCGCCGTGGTGCTTCAGCGCCATGCTATCAATTCCGATTTTACTCAACTGCAAGTACATCTCATGCAGACTGTGCTAGGAGAGAGCAATCTTCCTGCTATCAACCCTGAGAAGAACTTCCTGAAGCGAATCCGCACTCCGCTTGGAAAGGTCCCACGACCAGAGACTTCAGCTACCAAGTCATCCTCCATTATTGAACAAGTGACTCTTCCTGCATTGTCGATTGTTCAACTTGAAGCCTCATCCAGTGGACGGGATGCCATCCCGGTTCCATTTTCCGTGCCCATTCCTGTTAATACGCCCGGAACGACACGTACATCTGTGGGGAAAATCTCATACACCCTTATCGTCACTATGACCACATCACAAAGTGAAACAATTATTATCGACAAAACAATTAATATTACACGCCAACTTATTCCAGATCGGCATTGCATTCAGCATGTACGGTCATTCAGCAAGTCACCCGCCATCACCAACATTGCTTTGTCCCAGACCATAGCAACGGACGCAAAGTCCGGAATTTCCGTCTCCGCCAAATTGAATCTACGGAGAGGATTGAAAGCACGCGAGTCCGAATTTAGATGTGCTGCCATTCGAGGAATCCACTGGCGTGTGGAGGAAGTGACCAGATTGATCGATCAATCCCAGAACAACTTTCAAGATGCCCCGGAGGAGTTCCTCTGCATACGTGAATCCATCCGTGAAATCTGTAGCGGGAAACAAAAGGGTTATTGGGCTACACGCGACAATCCATTGTCGAAGCAGCCGAAATCAGAAGATCAAGATTCAGCCGTTGACATTACGATTGATATCTCCATCCCTAAGAATGCAAAGCTCGCTCCTATGATTGACGGGTCTTGCTATGCTTCCGCTACGACTGATTCCATCCCAATGCCACTTGAGCTCCAGGGCCGGTGTCCTGCGAGCCATGAGAGCCTGGCGATCTTGATCGAGCACCGACTCAAGCTTGAATTCGTTACTGGAGAAGACACTTTCGATGTCCGTTCTAAGAATTTGGTTGATCGTAAGCCTTTGAGGCCTACACTGTCTGCACACTTTCCTCTTCTTGTTGGGGAGACATTTAAGTGTGATTTTGAGGCTATCGCGTTTAGCAACCCACCGAGGTATGAGGAAATTCCGTTGTCGCCTCCGGAATATACGCAATTTGTGTGAGAGGGTTCCTCTCTAATGACTTATGATACCATGATAATTAATAATACTACTTATCTTCACGAATTTACGCTTTTGGTATTTAATTTGTCACATGCCGGATACCACATAAAATAATTTTATTCAATTTATGACATTAACAGGTGTGTCATGAGTTGTGTCATACACGCCATGTATGACAGGGCTGTTCATAGTATCGGCGAGGTTCCACTCGCATTGCTCATATGCCAAGAGATCTTGATTACGGTGAGGAAGGGAGGGAGGTATTAAAAAAATAATTATAGACTTTATTTACCCTGCTGAAAAGCAAATATGGATGGCAAAAAAGTATCAAGACAAACAAGGTAATGAAATGGGGCGAGCCGGGATTGAACCGGCGACCTCACGATGACAATGTCAGACTGTAGTGAACTTCAGTCGTGCGCTCTCCCAACTGAGCTATCACCCCAGATTATATAATAGAGCCTCACACTTTGCAATATGTACGGCAAATAGAGTCCGCGGTTGGATTCGACTATAATCTTTGGCTGCTCATCTTTAACTGGTGCAGAGAGTACATGTAAATAGTAACTAACTAACAATTTCTTTGGGCCGGTCTGTGTACGCGAAGCCCACAGGTCTCAGCTTGGGAACATTCAATGTTGTCTTGTTAATTCCAATCGTCCATTCCAAGGTTGTTCACGCACCGAGTACGATGGATCGAGTATGTATATATATACGGTAGCAGGGAACGACTTCTGTTCAATTCCAGGCTTTCTTCAAAGGTTATCTACATCCCACGTACCAGCTCAATATTTCCTACTAGCCCTGGAGATGGACATCCATAATTGTAGATGTACATCCAGAGATAGGTCAATGCCAGGGCCCCGAGATCAATTAATAGGTATTCTTATACATCTTGTACGCTATGCTAACTGATACTAAAAATATTGCAACCTCGCAGAATCACTCTGGGGTAATAAACTCCCAACTCGACAATCCACTACCGGCCTCACAAATTGGTAGTACCCAATCGCCCGTCGGCATGTTATCCGAAAATCCACTTTTTAGTGTTGTAGGGGGTGTCTGGGTCAATTCGGCTTCGGTAGAAGTAGCCTTGCGTGCTGTTGGCTCTGTGCCCTCGATGGTGATCGCGGTACCCTTCATTGCGAACCTGAACTTAGTCAAGAACATGGACTAGAATATATGTCATGTCAGGTAATCAACCAAAGCAGAGAACATCACCGATCGCCTAGATAATGGGGCTCCTTACGTGGTTAGCTTTATCCACCTCGGTCGGCTGAAATTTCCTGTATAGAAAGCGTATCAGCCACAACGACCACACCAATCGTGCCATAGCTGACGACGACAACACTGATAAAAGGCTAAAAAGTCAAAAGGAGGCCTTGGGAAATTTGATCTCACATTTGCCCATCATGTAGGATGCCTCGATAAGCCATCGTCAAAAGTGGTGGATTCCTAGTCCCTTTTGACAGTCCGATCCAGTAGTCTATTAACATCCAAGTCTCCTGTTTATTCTGCACAATGATGCTCATGGCGCGCACGAGGTAGGCTGTCTTTGTCCTTTGATACTCGTCGCCCATCATGCATTTTAAGAAGGTCTTCACAGCCATTGTGCTTCGCTTTCGGAGATCCCCGACAGTATCATCGGTCGGGGCCAGCAAGAAGACGCGAATCGGGCGCTCCAAAAGACGAATGGGGAGATCTGAAAGTGGTATGTGGCTGACAGGGGTGTCATGAATTGCCGGCTCGGGCTGGATCGCTGCCTCGCGGCCGGGATCCGTGCCCGCAATGTTTAGGCGCAGTTTGGCTTCGATCGCCATTTCTAATCGCTGAAGCGACTGGCCCCCTTGGCCACCTTTGCGCCTGGCATCGCGCTCGAGCTGGCTCGTCGCGAGCAATTCGTTTGATTTGCGGGTCACAGCGTTGATCGGTTGCTGAATAACTGTGAGATTGCTCAGTTAAGACTAAGCTCGGCAGCGAGAAAATAGTAGACAGCGAAAGAAGGAAAATAGCAGGACTTACATATCTGTGCTTTCCAGGGGATTCTGTCTGTCTCTGAACGTATTCTTTCAACAATAAAAGATGAAGCTTTCGCCTTCTCGAAGGATCTGGAGAGATATTAATTTCACAAGCAAAGCCTCGGTGCACACAGGAGACTCACAAGCCCCCATTCTTTTGAGAGACAATGTAAATCGCGAGAGGAATAGATTCAGAAGCAGAGCCAGCTGGAATTTTGCCAGTACAGGCATCAACAATCACCCGGCTCCCGAAGATATCCCCAGTGACTGGCAAATGAACATGGGTGCATTCACAATTCAACTTTTGTGGCTTCGTCTGGTCAAAGAAAGCTTTTACAACTGTGTGGATGCTGGCTCGAAGCTTGCTCTCAGAGCCTTTTTGTATGTCAGGCTGGAATTGTAGAATGATCCGAACGGGAGGTTCCATCTTGCAGTCCTCGAGGGCTGACATTTCGATAAATGCCTTGTCCAGGGGCACACAATACAAGGAAGAGCAGCGATAGAAGCAAAAAGGTGGACCTTGGTGTAATCGTTGCAGATGGAAGAGGGGCCAGGCGCGTATCCCAGCTGTTTATTTGTTAGTATTTAGTCACTCAGTCGTGAAAGACTGTCAGCCGGGCCGATCCGCTTGCATACAGCGATGCTTGATATTTTCTTTAATTTGAGACTTACACCACGCAATTCCAAGTGAACATGTACACTTCAGCTTGTGCGTAATGAAATGCTAAAGCAGGGGAACACGCGACTCCTTCCGGCCTTTGTGTACCTACTAGATTCCCGTGCACTTGCATATACTCAAGACTTGACCCCACAATGATTCCTAAGGTGCTTACCATTATTGAGCACAAGACAGCCAATGAAAAGTTGACTCGAAATTTGCGAATGAGAAATGACGAATTCACATGATTATGGAGACGCTATCTCGATGGCGGTGGCATGCTGCTGCCAAACCCAGAAATAAAATATTTTTAATTGGAAGATTGGCTGAAACCTGGATTTATTGTCAGCCCAAGCTGGCAAACAATGAATTCCCTAGCATACACTGAATATTTTATCTCTGGAATCATTTTGGTCACTTGCGCCTTCATTCATTAGTGCGGGAAGCGGGAATCCTTCGGGCCGGCGCGCAACCCGTACTATCATGCTTTATCGATAAGATCAGGTATTGGGCATATTGTCTGTGGTACATTTGAATGTCTTTGTAGATAGGTAATTCCATCTAATATTTCACGTTCATGATCATCTCGCAGTCTTTCTCCAGGGCTGCCTCCCGCTCGGCAAAGTAGACTGCCTATCGCAATCACGCTGGCGCTTAGAAGTAGGGGCCAAAAGTATGCCATTGGCCCAGACCTCAGCAAATGATCCGCTGAGTGGAGGCATTCTAAAATAGCGTGAATAGATGAAACTCCTTGAGTTCCCCGCGGAATTTATTCAACTCCCCGCCCCGATCCTTTCTGTCAATTCAAAATGGCAACATGTTATGATTTACACCTGGGCGCAATCAACATCAACTACTCTGACTTACCATGTGAAGACGTGAGCCAAGTCGGCCACAACGTGACATGTTGTGTACGAGGCTCTGTTTGTATGAGCAATGGCATCTGCCAGAATGCCGACAAGAATGGGTATTACAGCGCAGACTGTACTGATCCAACACTGCAGGATCCTAAATGTCAAAATCGCTGTGGTCGGTATCTGTCCTCTGAAAATAAATTCGGTTGAGTCCATGGAAGCCTGGAGCTAACTTTTGTTTCGTTTGAACAGGAGGTCTCGCTGGCTCACAAATTACGTATAACAAAACGAGCGGTCTTTGGGCCTGCTGCTCTTACAATGGTGGAAAATCCAACTGTTCTGAACCGACTGATCAGCTTTTCCCTGCACCTGGCCCATCCAGTCTTAAAAGCCTTCAATATCTCCCCACAGCCGGATCCGCTACATATTCTACCTTGGCGACATCAACATCTACCTCAAGCAGCACTGCGCTATCTTCTTGTTCATCCTCATCCTCGAACATCGGCTCCGGAGCCGCCGCTGGAATCGGCGTGGGTGCTGGCGTGGGAGTGATTGTTATCGCTACCGCAGTTGCATTTTTGATTTCCAAACGGAGGCGGAATACACAGACAGATGATATACAGCGAGATGTTGTGTTTCCAGCTAGTAGCAAGTCAGACCCAAGGAACAAGCTGCGCGAGTTAGATGATAAACCGTTGGTGCGTGAGCTACATGGCGAAGGCTCCCTGCCTGAATTACCCTCCAACCATTAAGGGACTAAGATTGGTGCATTAAACATTACTGCTGGGGCAATTTGATATAACACTTGTGGGTCATCTTCAATTAATTTATGGAGGGTCTATGCTGTTGAGCGTTCGTGCAATCTATGTAGACTAACTTTTAAAGCTAAAATGAGATACCCGCCATGATGATTTAAAAAGGCTTTGTAACTCTGAATCCCAGCAAAAATTTGAAAATTCGATGGAATGACGAGACTGTTTGTCAGTTCAGCAACTCCACATGAATGTCGTATGGTCTCTTTGTCTCATGAGTTTCAGAACCAACATGAAGGCCTCGGATTTTGGATATAGTTTCCGGTCGCAGAAGCTTTCACCCCAGCCTTCTTGTACGTCAGCCAAGCACTGAGCGCATATTACCTAATGATACATATTGACTCCACACCTGCTATGAACCTTCCTTCAAGGGGAGTTTCAAAAGTCACGCTGAAGATGAGTTGGATGACTTTCCAGTCTGCTACGATACTTCCTTATTATAAATTTTGGCTACAATTGGGAGAAGAGCTTGATAATACTTGCACTGTTGAAGAGAACGAAGACTATAATTAAGATTCCCTCAAGCTGGACTTAAGGCTGAAGCCTCTGATGCACAGGAGGAGGAACAAAGCGGCTATGATTTGCAGAAAGAAATAATTATTCGTAAAGAATTAATTTAGACCACCACATGCGTTTAGTCATTCACGCACCCACATCATTGATACAACAGCTTTTGTTTCAGATGGTCTCAACACAGGGACAGTGACTGTTGTGTGTGTGACGAGTGTGGACGGGCAATTCGATAGTCTGGCCAAGAGCTGAAGCATACGTCGGATTTCGTAGACGTCTCCAATTCTATGCTCAACGAACTTCCTTGTTGGGTAAAAGCGCAATTTGACCAATCCTATGAATGGGGTGAGCCCTTGGGACCTCCATATTATGTCCAGGGCATTCAGAGGGGTTAAAGGAATATTTCACGGACGAACCAAAGAATAAAATTAGAGCAAAAGTCAATAGCATGAAACAAACAATAGATTTGGAAGTAGTGAGCCGGATCTCAGACGAGATGACGTTATCTACAAAATCAAGCCCTGCTTGGCCCCGAGACCGAGACCGAGACCGAGGATGCGCGAAGCAGAAAATAGTTTTGGTCCACTATTCCGAAGTGCTTTCAGATTAAATGGATTTTTGAAGAGTAGACTGGTCTCCTTTCATATTGACATGTCAAGAAAGCCCGTTCACAGCGTGTTTCAGCGGGCCATCAATTAGGACAATGATATGTAATTGAAACAAAAACCGAGATACGCAGATAAAAATATAAGGAAGTGAACGTAAGGAACATATGACATGAATCATTGGGAAGGTTGCGCACAAGAGAATTGATTTCGACCACCTACAGGCGCCATGTCCCGATGAATGCGACTTTTCTTAGCACACAGTGATAAACAGACCCAAACTGGAAAGGTATTAGCATGTGGTAAACGATATAAAAACCCCACTATTCAGACGATGTAACTTACGGAGAAGGGTTGAAATCTTGGAAGAATGTCAGATCAGTACTGCCAGCATTCGATATCTCAAAAGCAATAGCTTTGCCGGCGGGGCACGAGAAACTCTCGATGGCATATGAGTGGCCAGGTGAGACGGTGAATTCACCCAAGTCATTGGAGACAGAAGGAGCGTTATTGAAAGTAGTGGACTTAGTAGCAGTCTCGGAGAGTTGAGCGATGTCAATTTTGCCGTCACCACTGAAGGTAAAGTCTGAGGTCTCGAGGTCGGCCTTGTTGGGGAACAGGAAGACCAGGCTACAGGTCTTACCAGAGTCAGATTGTGGGATATCGAAGTTGAAGATACTTGAAATGCTCGAGGTCACTTCGCCGTTGAATGAGGTACCGGAGGCTTTGTTGGGAGACTGAGAGTCAATCGGGACGATCAAGTGAGGGAACTCAAAGTTGCCTGATGACAGGGTGGTGCTGCAAGTTGTACTAGCTGACGAGGTCCCTGAGGTAGTTGACGTCCCTGACGCCGTGGAGGTCGCTGAGGTCGCTGAGGCCGTCGAGGTCCCTGAACCAGAGTTCGAGCCGGAACACGAGTCGGCCTTCAACTCGATGACCGAACAGTGACTGAGAGCAGAACTTTCCATGGTATAGATATTCATGCCGCCATTCTGGCCAGTCTCACAGGAGAAAAACTGAGTGTTTCCGTTAAACTCCAACAGGCCAGATGAACTGATAGAAAATCCTGAGGTGGGAGTGGCACCAGTATCACACTGAAGCTGAGTCGTAGGCGCTAAAGGCTTGTTTAATATATTTCTTTCATCAATCACATGCATCACTTACGAGTTAAGATACAGCCACGGCCACTGCCATCGGTAATGGAACCATCGGAACTGATACAGAACTCGGCAGGAGACAGGCTGCTATCACCGATACGGTTTTGTCCGTCGCTCAACTGGCCGACATCACCGGAGGCACCACCAGAGGCAGTGAGATGGAAGCAGCAGGTCTGACTGCGGCCAAGAAGGGCATGAGCATTGGCAACAAATGTTGCCAAGGTGATGAATCCTTTCATTTTCACAAGAATAGAGGGTACTTAAAGGCAATTCGAGCTGTCGAGAATTATTGTAAATTCAAAAAAGAAGCTTGAAATAAAATCAAAACAGGCAGTGGGAACCTGGTAGACTTTTATGCTCGGAGGGGTTGGTGACATATTTCTCTTTCGCAGGGCAGAAATTTAGGACAATTCAGGGATCTAGCAGACGTCATGACTTCAAGCTCGAATCATTCTATACCCCTCAATTTCATCAATGCGGCTATACGCGACGATCTAAACTGTAATAGTGCAATGGGCAGTGAGGGTTGAGTGGCGACCTTGTTTACCACGGCTCAGAGTGGAAGTGTGGTTAACTAGGACAAGAGGTGTGACCCCGGATTGACAGGATTATTTGACAAACAACCATGGTTTTCGGGTGGCTTGTTTATTTGTGATCTTGATTCTTGTCGACTCCGGGGGCTACAGTGAGTCGAGACCCCAGGATTGCCAGTTCAACGGAAGGGCCTGTGTCTGTCAAAGCTCAGTGGATGAGATCATCAATCTCTCCCATAGACAGGATCATAAATTTATGACCGCGTTTTGAATGAGCCTTTCAGTGTGTAATGTGGGAGCATTTTCATTATTTTCAAGGACTGGGAACATGCCACTTTCTGTACTTGTCATCGAAATTCACAAAAGTAGGAAATTTGGACCAGATACTGTGATGCCGGAAGTCAATGAGTAAATCATCATTGGTTGGCTAGAACATAGCCATTGAAAGCTGTTCTATTTTTGTTCGCTCGGTACGAACCACCAAACTGCCAGTAGAGTAGAACCGAGGTTTCCTTTGCTATGGAACTTTCGCATATACAGGCCCAGTTTACAGTACCGACAACGATGTATCTTGAGCGAATAAACATTCATTATACTAATTCGATTATTTGTTCCGTTTCACCTTTTAGCCTAGGTTTTGCCACAAATGGGATTTTTTTTGTTAGCTGTAATCTTGGCCAGAGGCAGGTACCACGGAAACATGGAAGGCGGAGTAGGTGTGAACGAGAGAGAGAGCGAGATCTCTGGACAGAAATCTGGGGCGGAGACCTGACCAACAAGGCAAGTAATCCCCCAACAATGTTGTTTTGCCACAGCGTCTGCATAACATGGGGCTTTCTGTCTTGGCTTACTGCAGAGGATGACAATTCCGGTTTTTCTTCTATTTACAACTGGCTATGAATCGACAGGAAAATTTGGGGTATCCACAACTTGGTGCCCATGAACTTCAGGGCCGTGCGAGCGCAACTTGGTGGATCGAGTCCAGGGTGTGAACCACGGACGTGCTGCGCTGGCTGGAATTTGTGAATTTTATAATAAATTGAACCAGGCCTACAAGATACTACCTTTGGCTAGTTTTTCATTTGACCTCCGTTTCGCTAACAAGTCCGTACCACTCAGTAATGCTCAGTAAAGTCTTTTCGTTATTGAGAAGTACTTACACGATGCTAAACGAATACGAGAGTAAACCGGGGTTTACCGTGGATATAAGTAGCCCGCCACATTCGTCGCAAAACAGAGTGTGTATACTCACCAATCAAAGCCAGCCTCGCAACAGTGTAATGATTAGGTATAAGCTCATCATTATATTCTGACTTGGACTAGCGGCTGTGCTTCTGCATCTTTGTTATTAGCACCTTGGGCATAGTGCTTTCATACGTCGACACCACAGTGGTTTGCGCTCTCTTGGTCTCAATTGAGGTTAAAGGGTAGAGGAGCTACACGTTGGGCGAGTTTTAACATGGAGGCTACAGGATGCGTATCAATAGGATGCGTATCAATAGGATCGCTTCTTGTGTCTCGTGCTTACAGGCCCCTGCCGGCCAACCTCAATACCCATGATTTCCCCTCTAAAGCCACTCAGTGGAACCGCAGTGGTTTTGGGGAACAGTATTCAACACACTTTCCCCTGCGCCTACCGTGAAAGGTTCTTAGAGTTCAATGAGAAGTTAAATGTACTTGTTGTGGCATTTTGCTACCCATGCAGACAATAAAATATCCACGCGCCCGAAAATATATTACAGACACAGAGAAACCTGTCATTCATAAGTTGTTTTAACCCTTTCTCTCGTATTCTGTCCAGATTTGACGTTCCCTACGACTTGGTAAGGTCGCTCCCTTCTTGGCCTTAGACATGTAGTATTTACATACTCGGCCTAGGGTATCTATCATCTTCCAGGGACAGAATTCTCACCTTGTTCTCAATTCTATCACTCAAGTGCCCAAGCTTCTCATCCACAGCACTTGGCAAATACATAACAATAAACAGACAGGCAAGTAAAAACCACTAGTGGTAATTTCAATTATCTGCGAACTAATACCATAACTCATGATTCCTCGTAATAGTGTATCCCCCACCGATCACTCGAACACCAAATGTCATTATCATGACGGAATTTCGTTGTTAGTGTATGTAGATCCATTATTTGCAATGCGACAATCGGGTAAAACTCTTGCAGAACGGTCTCCACGGCCACATTAAGATGCCCCTTGAATTCAGCGCCGGCCACATCCTCACCACCTAGGCCTGGCAAATGTGGAAGACGCGGGGCACTCGCTCCCTGGGATACCGAAACAACAAAAGGAATCCTTTGGCGCTCACAGCGCGGCACAGATGAAGGAATTGATGAGGATAGAACAGACTCCATAGAGGCTGGTGTTACCATCAGACAAGCGGAAGTGGCGAGTCCCTGTGGTAAGGCCATTTCATTGAAGCGCCTTCGGATGATATATCAGTCCAGTGTAGATGAATATCGAGAATAAGAATCCAAAGAGACATACCTGGCCACATCCGCTACATCTGCCCCCTCTAATTCGGGCTGTTCCACCCACTGAAACTCCAATAGATCAATCGCTCGGTCCACCCTAGGCAACGAGCCCCGATGCAGGGCCAAACCCTCCTCGATCACCGCATCCCACCGTCTTCGAAATTCCGCCCACTGCGTCTCATACTCACCCCCATAGGGAGTCGTACGAAACACCACAAATCCCCATTTCCCCCAGTCCTTAGTCTCTGCGCTTCGAAAGACAGAATTTAGGGTCTGGACAAAAGGTGCGAGGAGCTCCCGCTCTTGCTGCTTGGTTTCCTCTGACTTAGCGGCCTCAACTCGGGCCCGGTAGCGGCGACTCATTTCCTGCAATATTTCGCGGAAACCATCTTCACCGTGAGTGGCTTTCAGACCGTCGAAGAGAGTGGTGCGTTGAGTTTCTGAGAGAGCCATAAGGTCTTCTCCGCTGGCGTTGAGGAGCCGGCCATGCGTCCAGCCTTCTGGGTAGAAAGACATGATTGTACTGAGGTTAGACTTTTGTTAGGGCGAGGTGGGATATATTCATGCTGGCCAGGTGGGAAGACTACTGCGGTTGTTTAGCACGATAACGTGATTCACTACCGAGCCGCCCACTCCAAAACACCATAGTAAATATGATATTTGACGACTCAATATTCTAACATCCGTTGATTAGCTTGATTAAAATTTCAGGCATGACTATAGACTGCAAGGGGCTTTTGGTCGAATTTTCATCACAGAAAGTCAGAAAATAGTACTGTTGAATGTTGAGCAAACCGTGCCCTTGTAGCCATAGGTGCAGATGTTTCATAACCAATCAACATAACCTCCAGATCACGTGCATTTGCTAATCCTTGATCGACACCAGAAGCGTCATACCTTCTCCACAACCATAAATAATATCTCATTGGGCAACAAAGCTAACATTTGAGAAGATTCGGCACACTCTCTGATCACCATTGTAGAAGAGAAATATTTCCTCTTAATTTCATCTCACCTGGAATTGTCCCCCATGGAAGACATTCCTGATGTTGTTCGCAAAATCGGTCGATAGCAGGACTTCAATGTATACTACCACGTGTGCTAGAGTCGCCGCGCTCTAAAGACCTAATCACGGTGTCGGCGATAGAAATTTAGGTATTGAAGTGTCACAAGCACAGGTGGAATATAATTTCTAGTAACAGAGCCTGCAATTTTCATTGCTATTACCAGGTATCCGAGCTCAAGTCCAACCTAGTAACGAAGAAGTGGTTGGTTTAGCGATGATTAACGTGCGCACTTGACGAAAGTCAAACTTCTATGAGCAAAATCAATATAAGGCTAGCGATAAACTTCTCTGGAGTTTGGATGAGCCCACAAATCAGCCAATGCTTTTGATGCTGTTTAGATATCGTTGCCACTAACGCTGCACAAATCAGATTCCCGTCGTGCCAATCGGGAAGCGATCCTCTTAATTAAGAGTATTACACAGGCCTCTGGCTGTTGGAGACGGCAATCTGCAAGGGAATCGTTTTCCCACGTTTTGTAGATGGCGGGTTGCCGCGGACAGGAACGGATACTCGGAAAGTCCAGCGACCGAAGCCGAAGCGCATGCTCCACTCGTGATAGAGTGAGGCACCCATACCGAAGTTCATTTTTGCGATCGCCAATAGGTCTGGTGAGGCATTTTCTGGGCGTATTGATGTGTCACGGCTATCCAATGCCCACTGGGCCTCCCCAAAAGTGCGAAACCGTGCTGTCGGGGTTAAGCATTTGTTATTGCCGTTTCCGCCGGATTCGTGGATCCATTATCCATTTATCCATTTATCAACTCATATCTGGTAGCGTTCGTCGTGCTTCCATTCTTTATTTCATTACTCAATTACTAAGAGTCGCTGACAAATTCAAAGCACCTGTTTGTCAATTATTCACTACTTTAACATCACATAGACACACCTTATTTTGACTCCTCCAAGATCAGCCAAACTAAGCAAGCCGTTACGCCCGGAACATACGAAATGGCGTCACCAATCCGCAAATATGTCAACAAGTTAAGCGGCCAAAACGTCCTCATTCTTGGAGGCACCTCCGGAATTGGTTTCTGCGTGGCAGAGGCGGCGCTTGAAAATGGCGCCAACGTCATCATCTCTAGCTCAAATCCCGCCAAACTAGAGCGAGCGACTGCGAGACTTCGGGAAGCCTACACTGATCTCATGTCCACACAACGTGTTTCTGGATATTTTTGTGACCTAGCCAATACGAATAACTTGGAAGAGAACGTACGCCGTCTCCTAGATGAAGCGACCGCGGCCGAGGAAGGAAATCTCAAATTGAATCACGTCGTTTTCACTGCGGGGGATGCACTTGCAATTGTCCCCTTGGAAAATACCTCTACCGAAGCCATCCAAGCATCCGGCGTTGTGCGGTTCGTCGCACCACAAATCCTGGCCAAACTGCTACCAAAATACATGGAACCTTCCCCCGCCAACTCGTTCACTTTGACTGGAGGGTCTGTTGCACACCGCCCTACTTCCGGGTGGTCTGTCGTGTCCGGCTACGCATCGGGAGCTGAAGGACTTGCGCGTGGACTGGCACTGGAATTGAAGCCCTTGCGAGTTAACATGGTGATGCCAGGTCTGGTACACACCGAGTTGTTTTCTGGATTCCCAGATGAAGCCATTCAAGCGCTTTTGAAACACTCACGGGAAAAGAACTTGACGGGGACTGTTGGTCGCCCAGAGGATCTTGCAGAGAGCTATATTTATCTCATGAAGGATCAGTATATCACTGGCTCTATTGTGGCATCGAATGGAGGTGCATTGCTGGTGTAAATATCCTCGATGTCAATGCCCAGGCCCATACGACACGATTCCGCAAGTAGCATATTTACTCAAAGTACCAATCCGACCCTCTACAGAAGGAATGCCGATACATATTTGGGGCATCGAATTGGACCGATACTTATATTTTTCATTGTTTACGTCAAGGCGGAAGCAATCAACTGTCCGAGCCGAGTAGCCTTAATTGTAAGTAACGCAAGTCTAGAGTTAGAATGGCGCAACGGAAGTTCGGCGTTTTAAATTGCCGAAATGAGGGGTCGTGCCTGTTAAATTCGGCTGCACACAGATGTGCGTAAGGAATAATTCGTATGACTCTGATCCACTCTTTTAATATAGTTCGCATTTGGGCGATCATAATGACGTCATAATTTATGCTGGTACTATTCACAATCAGAGCTCTATCATACGATAGGTAATGAGATAGATGATGATTAGTCTGTGGAGTCAATTATCAAAATTCAGTAGTCGCTGCCAGGTGATGCATGGTATATTCATTGACTTCGTCTTCGATGGAGTTAATCTTCTGCATTCGGCTCCACCGGAGAGGTCGGCAAAATCAAGAAACACGTTAGAAAGTGCATATTACGCAGACCACCGAAACGATCATCATGCCTCGGATTTATTGTTCAACTTGCGAATCTAACGGTTTTAGGATTGCCGGACTTTGCATAAGTCATTTGTGTTAGGTCAGGTGATCATAGCTACGATATTCCTCCCCTAGGGCAGCTTGTTTTCTTTCTTCCTCATACCACAATTTCATACCACATATCTTCTGTACACTTCAATTGTGCGTCCGTAAGCTTTGCATTGTTTTCCAAAATACCGTTGGCCAGGATACATAAGAGACCAAGTGCACAACCCATTGATATTGACAGTACAAAGTGAGTCCTAGGCCATGACTATCCTGTCCTTCCAATCTTAACTAATAAGTAGATCAAAATATGGCGAACAAATTGAATGTCAGTGTGATATCTGCGATTCACGGAATCATCACCGGTGATAAGGCCCTTGTGCTGGTGTCAGGCGTTAAGAGCAATCGGCCAACACTCAAACTCAATGATAGCGACGAAAGCAATAATTTGCAACCTGTACCTGAAGACACGTCAAAGTGGAAAGGTGTGCTGACAAGGTTCACTGTTGGATTTAATAAGCTCCTTGCAACGGACAGTGGTGTTCAAGCCACTGTCGTTATCCGAGGCTTTCCTATCCAAGGTCCAGTTTTCAGTGGGCCTCATATCCAGCCATGGATGAGCACCACCGAGCAGAATGACCTAGGACCTGCCGTTGACGATCACTGCAACGCTCCTACAATTACCAAGTACTACTACATGGATGCGCAAGCCTCTCGATTCTTGCCGTACGACCAAAGCTGCCCCCCGAATCCGGATCAGTTGGCCTACGCTACGACGGACGCAGGGGTTACGGTTCCTTATATTGTCCGGCATGAAAAAGGGACTGCAAATAGAGGAGTATGGGAACTCACCACATTGTATGACCCACAGAAGCCATGGACTGCTATTCATCCACAGAAGGCATGGAACCGGAAGCTTTACATTGTCGCATTTGGAGGTTGGAACCAACATTACAGCCAGTCGGTCCTTCAGACGGAATTGACTCCGGGGATGAAGTACACGGTATTCCTAGACATGGCACTCCGACGAGGATTTATGGTCGCTCGCTCGACACAAATGCAATCAGCAACAAACTCCGATTCTGTCCGAGCTGCTGAATCTATTCTAATGCTTAAACAGCATGTCATGGTGCATTACGGAGAGATCATATATACCCTTGCCTCGGGGCCATCGGGAGCTTCCATCATGCAACAGATGATTGCCAATCAGTACCCCGGTTTGTTCCAAGGAATCATGCCTCTATCCAGCGTCCATTCTAGTTGGTATATTCCTGGGATCTGTATCGAATCCATGCTTCTGGAGCACTACTGGAGCGAATCATCGCCCGATTTATGGTCAGATTCTAAGGCGCGCCTTGCGGTCGATGGGCATGTGGACCATGATATCAGGAACTTTTGGAATACTGTCTTTGGTTCTGAGAAGACTGGTGGTGTGGATCCGACTCAAGGGACAGGACTGGAGTCGGATGAAACATATAACCCTCGAAGTAATCCAGCCGGCGCACGAGGCACTCTTCAAGACTATCAGGTGAACTACCTTGGCAGACGCTCGCGTTCAGAATGGACCCCCATGGAAGCAGAAATCAACAGAGGATTCGCTAGCCTTCCTTGGGACAATGAAGGAATACAGTATGGCCTGAATGCGCTTCTCAACCACCAGATCAGCGTGGAGCAGTTCTTGGATCTGAACCAGAAAGTGGGTGGAGTTGATATTGATGGCAAATATATCTCTTCTCGAACTGTGGCTAGCCCAGAAGCAATCGAACGTCTCCATCGATGTGGACTGATCAACGACTTTAGGCACTTAGCTGAAGTCGCGATCTTGGATCTACGTTGTCAGGAGAGAGAAGATCCTATCAGAAGCCACACTCAGTTTCATACCTGGGTTTCGAGATTGGGCCTCACTCGGGCTCAAGGCCATGCTGAAAACCAGGCTGTATGGATTTGTCCGGGTTTCAAAACCGTTCAAGGCCCTCCTGAAGCTGCCTTTTTGTTCATGGACAGTTGGCTGTTCGCTGCTCACAAAGACACCGCGGGTCTTCCTTTGGCGGAAAAAATCAGAAAAAATCGGCCCTCTGACCTCAAAGATGGACTTTGGAGTCCAGATGGAAATCCAATCAGTGATGTGGAATATATGAACCGCACTTATCCATATTACGGAGACCCCAGAACTGTGGCTGCTTGCAACAACCTGGGGGCTATGCTCGTGGCAAAGCCACAGCTTAAGCCGATTAATCTAGAGGATTATCCAGGGGTAAATTTCTCTGACAAGCAGTTTCAGCAATTGAAGCGTATCTTTCCTAACGGGGTGGCTGATTGGGAAAAACCCGGTGTTGGAGAAACCCAAAGCATACCATGGCTTTCTTACGAATCAGGTCCTGGGGGACTTCCAATGATGTCTGTTGACAAGCCCTAGTGTCATTCCTTACCAGGGCCACGGGGATATACATACTACCTCCTCGTTACAAGTCTCTATAAGCCTCCCAATGACTTTCACCCGCTTTGTTTTCTTCACACATGTATTGACAGGTAAGATGCATGACTCAAACAATTTTGGACATGGTGGTAGACTATCCTAAATGAATGGCAGTGAGACGGGGTGCTTATCACCAGGATTATGACTTAAAGGCGTTCAGCCATAATCCGGCAGATGGTAGCGTCGCGGCATGAATTAAATTATTGCGCTCCTTGATAATAATCATCTTCGTCCAAACCATCAGATTTCATCGAATCCAGCCCATTCAAAGATTATCCTATCGCGTATACGTTTTTTTTTTCGCATATACTCACTGACTCTGATGATATCCTGTCATAGTCAGCGACATAAAGAAGGCGTAGTTGACTAAACTTGGAAAGCAAAGGATCGTGGTGGGGACTGGGCTTCTCAATATGATTGGTGCGTCCTTACGAACGAACCAATGGCAGCCATTGCTAAAGTCTATGAAGACCCACTCTCGTATGGACTCGGATGATCACAAAGATTTTAAAATGTCAACAGAAAATGAGACTTAAGTCAATGATCCCCCTACAACGTCCAAACAATCGCATCGTTTTATTTTTAATAGACAGACTCTCTACCTTCACCATGAAGAAATGTCAAGGTACAGTGGTCAACGGTTCTGGTGAAAAATACAGAATAGCTCACAATGAATAGCCCTGACGACTCCCGACACAATGTGGAACTTTTGTCCCTCGATTGCCGCTGCATACCTGTTTATCGTTCTATTTGGAATAACGACAATCTCTCACATCGTGCAGGCGGTCCTGCACCGTAAATTCTACTGCTGGGTGATCGTCATGTCCGGCACCATTCAGACGCTGACCTATATCTTTCGCGTGCTGAGCATCCTCAACCCTGCCAGCTATGCAGACTATGCTGCGTGGTTTGTGTTGATTCTTATCGCACCGTTGTGGACCAACGCATTTGTCTATATGGTTATGGGTCGAATGGTGTGGAACTTCACTGATGACGCGCGCATCCTGCGTATGCGGCCGTGGCAGTTTGGATTCATCTTCGTCATGCTTGATATAATGTAGGATCCCCATGCTTTATCTGGAGTTACCTGTTAACATCGAAACAGTGCCTTCATTGTCCAGGTTTACGGAGCAGCACAGGCTGCCGGCAACAATGTCTCGTATAGCGCGGAAATGTCAGGCCTGCACATCTACATGGCCGGTGTGGGTGTGCAGCAGTTCTTCGTTTTGGTATTCGTCGTCTACGCAATTTCCTTCCATATCAAAATCCTTCGGCAGCGTCGCTCGGATGCGCGAAAGGCCTCGATCCTCCTCTATGTGCTTTACTCATGTCTCGCCTTGATCACAGTAAGTAAAAACTCTGAGTATTATGGAATCTTACACTAACAGAAAAGATGCGAATTATTTTCCGCTTATGTGAATACTCTCAGGGTCTCGATAGCAAAATTCCCCTTCATGAGGCTTACCAATATTGCCTCGACTCGCTACCCATGCTGCTGGCGCTTGTGATGCTTAACATTGTAAACCCGGGTCGCATTATGCCAGGTACAGAAAGTGAAGTTCCAAGTCGCAAGGAGCGCAAGAAGATGAGTATAGATACCAAAGCCAGACCATTGGGAGATGAGATGGTATGTCTTGTAGAGGACTCGAGGTCATAACTGTTCCAAGTTTGCTAATTACTATGAACAGGTGTTACAAAGTCATGTTATCGTGTAGTTCAACGCAATATTTAAATCGAGATTATAAACAGTACTGAGAGTGGAATAGATTAAATGCAAACTACATCTCTAGGGTCACGTGGCAGGCATCTAAATACATCTCTTGCAGCACTAATACCTGGGCGTTGAAACAAATTTGCCAAGGAAAATCCCCAAGTATATACTATCATGGAAAAGCACTGTTGATTTTATATCAAACCCTTGATTTGGTATTCGAATTCAACTTTACGACTCGTTAGCTTCAAAACATTTAGGCATCAGGATATCCATGGATCGCTGACAAAGTCCAGCCCCCACGCGATCAAAGTGCTCCACCACGCTGCTTTGTGTCATTCACCACCTCCCAGGATCAGCACTCGTGTCAGCCATGCCCCGTGTTACTCCGGAGAACCGACAACGGGCGTACCGGCCTAAAACAAGCACCGGCTGTATAACCTGCAGGTCCGTCCTCCACATGCTGACAAGACCTCTTGCTGATCTAAATTAGAAGTGAGGAGACCGGCTTACATGGAGATCTTCAATGTTACTCACCAAGTCGCATAGAACGACGCGTTAAGTGCGGCGAGGAACGGCCCGCTTGTATACGATGCACGGCAACTGGTCGCATTTGCGATGGCTACGGGGTACCAGCCACTCCAGTCTCTTCTGGAGAGTCGACCTCGCAATCAAATGTATTCAAAAGAGCACTTATAGCTCGGCCGCTTAACACCCCGTCGTATGACATATTTACCAGTGAGGAGAGGCGGTCATTTGAGTTCTTCCTGCTGAACACAGCCCCGCAGCTGGCTGGCGACTTTGAGTGCGCCTTCTGGGAGCGTCTGCTGCTTCAGACTGTGCATCACGAATCGGCCATTCGCCATGTCACAGTTGCTCTGGGCTCGCTACATGAGCACTTCCAACGCGATGCAGGCGCTCCTTTTAGTTCTCGCGTACTAGCCACCGACAACACCTTCGCCCTACGCCAGTATCTCCGCGCTATACGCTGCCTAATGCCTTCACCCGGCGCATCTCAATCTATCGACGTATGTTTGATATCATGTGTTTTATTCGCTTGCTTTGAGGTGCGTGCGTGTGTCAGATTGTTTTTGGAGCTATGTGTTCTAGCTGGAACTTAGTCTTTACGCGGTCACTACGGTTCAGCCATCACGCATATCACCAGCGGACTGAAGATTCTTGGTGAACTTCGGAATAAGAATTGGAGTCGCTCTGCGGCTTTTAATTTAGGTCGCACCCCGTATGTCTCTGTGGACATACTGTGCGGGCTTTTCACACGTCTCCAGGCCCAGGCTAGTGTTGTATGCACTTCCCTTCTAAGCGAACCCTCACTCACCACTGGAACAATTTCTAAATCCACCTTTTTACAGACCGTCAATGGAATTCCAGCAGCGGGTTTCGACCTCTGGCCTGATTTGGTCATCGACTTTTCCAAACCCGTCGTATTCCATTCACTGGCCGACGCACGCGAGATGCTCGAGATTTATACTTACTACTACCGACAGCACATCACACAGCTACGGAATCTAAGCACACAGGCGAGATCCAACCATGTCACCCCAGCATCCACAGTTCTTCGCGATACTTCGCTCTCCCTTCTAGCACAATGGACCGCCGGTCTGGACGAATTCTTGCACAAGCACGGTGCCTCCTTCACAGCCCGTGAACGGCGTGGCGCTGCTGTTCTCCAGCTGCGCAAACTCGAATGCTTTGTCATGCTAGACTCACTCCGCCCAGAGGATGAGCTGGACCCCAGCGAAAAGATTTGGTTGGACAGGTACTGTTCTTCGTTCGAGCAGATGGTGGCTCTAGGCGACTCGATCGTCGAGCTCTCCTCCTCCCTGCCTTCCTCGTCGCCGAAATCCTTTTCGCTCGATCTGGGCATTATCTCGGCCATGTTCAACGTCGCCTCACAGTGCCGCGACCCACACATCCGGCGGCGTGCTATACGCGTGCTCCGAACTGCTGCTGTTCAGGAAGGGGTATGGAACAGTCATTTTGTAGCCAAGATCGCAGAAAAATGGATCGAGATCGAAGAGGAAGGGCTAGGAGCTGTGACAAGCTGCGGCGATGTGCCCGCCTCAGCCCGACTATTACACTTCCTTCCCGTGTTTGATGTCGATCAGCCCAGTGCCTTGGTCTATTTCAGTCATTCTTCTACCTTGGATTCGATGACCGTACGCAGAGAAGTCATTCAATGGTAAAAGCCACTTTATTTCATTCTTCGCAAATCGTAACATTTATAACTGAGAGGAGACTCGAACGATCCTAGTGGATTAAATTCATTCAAAACACGAATCGAACAAATAATTATTGAGTTGAAATTGATAAAGGCCATTCAAATGACCAACTAAGCCAAAATTGCTACCAGCATGACCATGGCTGTACCGATCATCTTCAGCAAAGAGTACTGAAGGTTCCCGGATGCAGCGCCAGTGTAGACAGCGTACGCCGCACTGCTCGTGCTTGAAGCACCACCTGCATTCACTGCACCGCTCTGGCTACCCTGTTGTCCCACGTGTGCCGAGGCAGAAGGAGTAGGAATGCCGCCAATGCCGGAGCCATACACGGGCTTGACCATGGAGGAGGTAATAGTGGGTTGAGCAACGTTGGTCTGCGTCATCACAACAGTTCTGACGTATTGAGTGCAAGAATTGCTGTTGCCGCATGACTCGACAGTGTAGAGAGTGGTGTATACTGCAGCCGCGCCAGAGCCAGAGCCAGAGCCAGAGCCAGAGCCAGAGCCAGAGCCAGAGCCAGAGCCAGAGCCAGAGCCAGAGCCAGAGCCAGAACCAGAGCCAGAGCCAGATTCAGAGCCAGACTGACCCCCAGTTGCACCAGAAGATTGAGATGAAGCGCCGGCGGTAGCCTCAGGAACGGCCGTGATTGTTTCGGTAGCTTGAGAACCCACAACGCCAGCCTGGGTGACTGTGACGTCCTCGGAGGGAGACGTAGCCTGTGCGGACGCAGCAATTGCAGTAGTTCCGACAGCCACGGTCTCGGTGGTCAAGTAGGTTGTCTTGGAGCGCAGGGGACAGTTGGTCACGGAGGCTGGACAAGCAGTGACAGTCGCGATTCTGGTGGTCCAAATAGTGGAAATAGTCGACTCGGAGCCCCCATTTCCATTGTCCTGGGCACCAGCGCCTTCACCTGTGGATCCAGAAACAGACGGGGTCTGGGTAGCACCCGCAGCCTCGGTGATGGGGCAGATTGTGGTAGAAACCGCAACAGTCTCGGTGGTAATGGAGGTTGTCTTTGATCGCGCAGGGCAGTCAGTAACGGAAGATGGACAGGCGGTGATAGTAGCAGTGCGGGTGCTGAAGATGGTGGAAGTGGTATACCCAAGCTCCTCAGACTTGGTAGGAGCTTCGCCACCCGAAATTGAAGGAGATGTGGTCTGAGTAGCATCGGCGACTGGGCAGACGGTTGTGGTCACCGCAATGGTCTCGGTTGTCAGATATGTCGTCTTGGAGCGCGCAGGGCAGTTGGTCACAGAGGATGGACAGGCAGTGATGGTGGCAGTGCGGGTGCTGAAGACGGTGGAAGTGGTAAACTCAGGTCCCTCAGGCTTCACAGATGCTTGTCCACCTGCAGGGAAAGTTGTAGTCTGAGTAGCATCAGCCACTGGGCAAACTGTCGTCGAAACTACCACAGTCTCGGTGGTCACAAAAGTAGTCTTGGAAGATGGCGGGCAGTTCGGGGTCGCCGACGGACAGGCTGTGATGGTAGCGGTACGAGTGGAGACAATGGTGGAAGTAGTCGACTGAGCCGCGGGACCAGTAGAAGCAGAGCCAGTAGGGATAGGACCATTGGGAGCAGGGCCAGTGGGAGCAGGGCCAGTGGAAGCAGAGCCTTCAGGAACAGAACCTTCAGGGGCGGAGCCTGTAGGAGCAGAGCCTGTAGGTGAAACTGTAGTATCCGGGAGGGGGCTACCTGACTGGTCAGGTGCTCCTCCAGATGGCTGAGGCTTGCCAGAGGCAGCGGGTCCTGGCACAGAAGTCACGGCTGTTGTTTGGTAGAGAGGTGTTGAGGTAGGAGCCGACGACGATGAGATAGCAATGGGCGTGGAAGATGAGCACTGAGTGCGGTGTGGCCGCGAAAGCGGAGTATAAGTCCAATGTTGTTTATGGTGATGATGATGATGATGATGATGCACCGAGTGGGTAGGCACTGGTCTTGAATAAGGTGTAGAAATGCTAATCGCCGGCGAAGACGATGACACTACGATAGCAGATGATGCTGGTGTTGTCTTGGAAGAGGGAACTGATGATGAACGAGCGCTGCAGGGCTTGCGACTGGGCAATTCCCTGGAAATATAAGTCCAATGATTATGGTTGTGGTGGTGGTGAATTGCCTGAGGAGTGGGAGTCGTAGTTGGCTGGACAGTCACAACTGGTTCAGCAGTCGTGGTCGGAGTAATAGTATCCGCCAAAGCATAGCTTTGCATAGCCAATGCGGCGAGGACCCATCCTCGAATCAGCAAGTTGCCCATGTTAAAAGAGTGACTAGGGATGAAACAGCAGAAAAGACAAAAAAGAATGACTGATGAGAAACGTGAATCCAAGAGCGGGACTCCTGTATATAGATCGCTAAGGGTTCAACGTAAACGTGCACACGGACAACGCCGACAAAGTGGAACTTAAGATTATTTCAAATCGACAAGAAAGATCCCATTTCCCTGCTTATTTTTCCTGTTTTGATCGACTATTGACGCCCGATGGGGTGGCTCGGGGATTTCCTAGTGGATCCGTGGGTCAAGGCCAAAATAGCCGGCGAAGTAGTTTCCCCTAACAACAACCCAGAAGTATTTAGAGCTAGCATAGATATCCAGGATATCCTCAAATCCACACACATCTTTATTTACTCTGTGAACGAAAGAAAATGTCGATTCTTCGCTCTACCGTTGGGGCCTTGCTGGCCTCTGGCAACGTCCTCCAGTCTTCTAGCGTGCCTGTCAGCAGTCAAGCTCATGTCCACACGGCTGTCTGCAGTACAAGTCTTGGATTGACTTCAGTCGCTTCCGTACCTACAACCACTATTACTCAGCGCATCCATGACCCGTCGCCCGTCGTGGTCTTTAGCACAATTCATGACACCGTTACCGTGACTCCAACGGAGTCAACCCTGACGGCGACGGACTATGAAACCACCACTGTCACTTCTACCGCAAGCACTGTCACAGATGTGTTCTCAACAACTTCGACTGAGTATGATACTACAACTTTGACTGTCACCCCTGATGACATCACCTCAACTATTTTTGTGACCGCGCCGATCACAGTCACCACCACCTCAACCATTGCAGCCTCTGATGCTTTAACTCCTATCGTGGACACTCTGACCACCACTACCGCCATCGCTTTGAAGCGATCCTTCGAACCCTCCCTGGACAGTGACTGCTCCCCCATCCTGGATGATTACAGGTACGCCCAAGAGGTTGTCTGCCATGAGAAGATCATCCTCAAGACCACGACAATCTCAACTGTGACCGAGGCTCCCGCCACTGCCACCGCTGCTGCTGCTTCTACCACCGTGACAGAGACCAGTACCATCACCACTAGCTCCGTGGTCGTTCCCGATGATGTCTCCACCACACTCAGCTACAGCACTACTTCCACCATTACCGAAACTTCCACCGCAGATGCTGTGACGGATACTGTGACCTCTACTACGACCGTAACGGCTGCCGTTAGCACGACCTCCGCCTACGCTGCATGCGCTACCAACAATATCGCTGGCGCTCCTCTTTCCTCGGACTATGGCGGCTTGGCAGGAGAGTACATCTACTCGTTGTCCTGGGGTACCGTTCCCGGTTACAGCTTGTCCGTGACTGCCTCAACCTCCGCTGAAGCTTGCTGTATCAGCTGCCAGGAAAATTCGGCTTGTGCTTTCACTTTCTATTACGAATTTTCCACCACCGCATACTGCTACATGATCAAGACAACCACCTGCTCCTCGTCTTCTACCTATGGCTATGCTTCTGTGGGCTCCAGTGAATTGACATATTCTTTCCAGGCGTCCAATGGAAACTGTGGCCAGTTGAGAAAAGCTTCCTGATAGGGTGCATAGTTCAGTTTGTGTTGGTATGAATTGAATTTGAATTCGGCGGGGTATCCTCCCTCACGCCGATCTATGTATAGATTTCTTCAAGTTCTTCTTTTATCTAGATAGCGTCTATGTCAGCTTTAATCTATATATGATTATCCAGAATGTGAATCTCAGAACCGGGCAGTTTAATGGAATGCAACCTGCCCCATGGGTCCACTTCTTTTTTAGGTCTAGTGACATCTGCGCTCCTCGACAATTCAAGCTGTTTTAGGCTCAGGGGCTACCAAAGGTCGGAGAAATAACTGCTCCGCCGAGATGTGGCTGAACTTCGGGTCCGATTTAGCTCGATCTAGGCTTCGAACTGTAAATCGATCTGACATTCGCAAAGCCAGAGGGGAAATTATTCCCGAGCACCCACACACTACTCAACTTTCAGGTAAGCCACAAGCCCCTTTGTCTGTGCTCATTTAGGCTAGTCTATCGAGATGCCTATCTCGAAAGGAACCAATTTGAATCTAAACTTTGATCCCCTTTCCACAAACGTCAGCGCCGGCTGAAAAAAACACTTTGGTACCTGACCACCGTGCCTGACTAGTAAAGCTGTCAGCAGCCGCAGACCCACTTGGCATGCGGCACGTAGATCCGGCCAATCGGAGGCTTTTGTCGGTTCTAGAAGCTGGCGCTGGTATGCACCCGCAAAAATTGCCCATAAAGATAGCTCATCGGCTAAATCGCCAGAAATCGCCAGAAACATGGACGAAGATGAGCGAAGGCTAAAAGAGCCACACGCACTTTCATCGCCGCATACGCAGTACGATAGCTCCCCTGAGCTACCAGTGATTCGGATGTAATAGACCTAAGCTAAACATAGATTGAGGAAAAACACAACCAAAAAAAAATGGCGTGAGTCACTAGTAGCCAGTACCCTGTAGTGGTGAGGTGACCTCCTTTTGCTTCTTCCCTCTCTCTACTCTCTCTCTTTATTTCTGGATGTCAATGAGAAGACTAAACTATAAGTTTGAAGGGTTGCAGGACTGGCCCTGTAAAGTTCTGCTCGGCGCCAACTTAATCTGTCCATGAATAAATCGGTAAACACGGAGAAAAAGGGAAAAACAAAAACATACAACAGTCAGGATTCGCATGTGGTCACCCACCATACTACTAACTAACCGGCGTGTGGCTTAAGTACGGCTGAGCGGACGGGAAGCCCTGTTTTCCACACCCTATGGTCGTATGTACTAGAATAAACATAGAAATGGATCATGTAGTCAGGACATAGAGGCCGCTTGAATTACACAGACATGAAAAACTCATGAACCCTATGAAGCAACTGCTAGTACTACAGGAGTCCAAGCTCAAGTTTTCGATCGATAGCCTACTAGAATGTCTACTTGTATCTTCTGGATCTTCATCAAACTAACTCAATTCCCACTCTCGGTACACTTTTAAAGGTCGCTTCCATAAGTGAACAAAACATATGAAGTATATATTACCATCAGATTGGAACGCCGCCATATACAAAAGCCGTGTCGAACAGCTTATCGCGAGCGTGTATGATATACATCCCTCTCATGACTTTCTAAGCCCATTCCACACCACGTTATCAGCGTCACAAACGTCTAGATCTTGGCACCGGCCTTTCTGCGGAGTTCTTTCTCTTGATCCCGAATGAAGCGCCGAAGAATCTTACCACTCGGGCTCTTGGGGATATCATCCACAAACCTAATGCCACCTTTGAGCCACTTGTGACGAGCCTTATTGTCCTGCACAAATTTACTAATGACCCGGATGGCTGCTTCGTCGTCTGAACTGGCGAACGGAGACTTCACAATGATTGCCTTGGGAACTTCGCCTGCGGTGTCATCGGGAATCCCAACAACTGCGCAATCCGCCACGTCTGGATGAGCAAGGAGATGGGCTTCGAGCTCTGCAGGAGCCACTTGCAAACCCTGTCGGGGGTTAGTCAGTTACGCTCCCCGACTAGCAGCAGGGAGCTAGGGACATGACATACCTTGACCTTGATCAGCTCCTTGATCCGATCGACAATGAAAATATGCTCGGTACCACTGGGACTGATGCGGACGATCGCTTCATCTCCCGTGCGCATCCATCCATTTTGGAATGTTTCTTTGGTCGCTTTTTCGTTGCTCAGATAGCCCAAGGCTACGCTTGGACTCCGCACTAGAAGCTCGCCGGGTGTATCATAGGTAATGATTTCCTGGCCATCCGGGGACATGATGCGCGCCTCGACCCCGGGAAACAAAGACCCAGAAGAGCCGAGCCAGATGTCATGAGGATGGCTCGAAGAAACCACGCAGGCAGTTTCCGTCAACCCTACGGATAGAAATGTGAGTGGTGACTGATCATGTAGACTGTAGAAGGATTTGGCTCACCATAGGCCAGTCGGATAGAGACATCGGGATATATTTTCAGGAAGTCGTTCGCTAGCTCCAAAGCCAAAGGAGCCGCGCCAGAGAAAATAGACTTGACAGAACTCAGATCGTACTCAGAGCATAGTTTTTGATTTCGCATCATGTTGATAATGACCGGAGGAACCTGGTTTTAATCAATGAGGATTCTGTTCCTGTTTAGAGAGGCGAACTCACAAGGAAGAGGGAAGTGATCTTGAAACGGTGTATGGAGGCTAGATAAGAATTCATGTCGAACTTGGGAAGTACCACAGTCTGGTCACCACGATAAGTTCCGGAGTGACAGACAACCACCAGGCTGTAAATATGGCTCTGTGGGAGAAGGCACTGCCCAATTTCAGTGTACAAGCCGTTTGCTGGTTGGGGTTGGGCGTCACGATAGTCCTGCTCGAAAGTGGTGGTTTGCAGAATATTAGCTATGACATTGCGATGGGAGATCATCACTCCTTTCTGTGTAAAAAGGTCATCGTGAGTGGTGTGTCATTCTCTAGTCATCATTCATTCGAGATCGGAACTTACCGGCAAACCAGATGTTCCACTCGAATAGCACAAAAATGCGGTCCGGCGAGCTGCCTCTCCTAGACCCCATTGGACAGGCTCAGCTGGTGGCAGTGACTTTCCAGCTTGGGCAATCTGAGAAAGAGATTTAAGCTCTGACGGTGGTTTTGTACCCCCGAGGATTTGTTGCGGCACATCAATCAAGTAAATTCGATCCTTCGAGAAGCCAGCCTTGGCCGCTGCATCCAAGGCGATCGGCAACAAGGGAACACAAGTGAACAAGACCTTTGCCTTGCAGTCTAGCAGCTGGTGCTTCAACTCATTCGCTGAATATGATGAACTAGCTGGCGCCACAACACCCTCGAGCTGGTGAATAGCCCAGATTAACATCATGGTGTCAATCTATCACAAGAAAGATTCAGCTTCGAATTGAGCGTGAAAGCTTCACAAATAGAATGAGGCATACAGTGTTCAAGCTGAAAACAACAACTGTCTTATCCCATTCTGATCCAGAGCTTGGGACCCAGCCCAGCTCTTTACTCAGGCCACGAGTGATAAAGTCGACTCGGTCGACCATCTCTTGCGATGAGTATGTCTTGCCGGTCAGACCACAGGTGTAAGGGTCCCGGGACTGGTCATGCGGAACCCGTCCATATTTCTCGTTGAGCATGAACTCACTGATTGGGATGTTGTCGGGAATGGACCCTAAATGTTTTCGAGGTAGAAATACCATCCTGACAAGCGCTTCAGCCTTCGCAAGAGCTCACCGTTAATCTCGTTTGTCTTGATCTGAGAAGAATCAAAGTAGGGGTGATGGAAACTCTATGAAATCGCGTGGTTCCAAGATAGAGAAGAAGGGGAAGAGGGGAGAAGTCCACGGATGCTCCCGAGAGACGGCAATTCACAGATTATACTATGTAGCACGTAGCAGGCCTGGAGTGAAGGGTACCTTAATATTTTCTGGGACTCTGGGATATGTGGAGTTACAGCCTGTTCATTGCCGCGAGCTTATAGTTCCGGAGCGGGGTACGGTCTAGGGTTCCGGGGAGCATGAGCTTTCTGGTACGCGAAGATCCAAGTATATTTTCTTTTCATTAGGATCATGAACCAGTACAATAATGTAGTCAGCTCGGGTGAAACTTCGGCTTTCCTGAAAAGGTCAGCCGAAAATCGGCATTAGTGATTATGAAAGCATTGGCATTAACTCCTCCCACTTGAATCGACTGCTGATAGCCGAAATATCCACTTTTGGAGAATAAACAGTCAGGAGCATCCTTTTTTTCGCCGCAGATAATGATTGGCTTGCGCATATTTCCTAACTTCATTCCATGACGGTTCCCGGAGGAGCTTCTCTTGCGGAAATGCCTCTCGCACACTCGATAGAATGCATGAACCTAGAATGGACGAGCTAGCAAAGTCCTCCCTAGGCAATCAGTGAGTATACTCGGGCTGTCGCCTCCGGCAAGTACAATTATCTACCCAAGGTGAAAACGGCACCTCGGGCCGCAAAGACACCACTTGTCACACATCCCACCACTATACTTGGTACTAAAGATTTGGCAATCACAGCTGGGCACTGTCAGAAAAGGAAGAAAAGGAAAGACAAGAAGCACACGCAGTAGTAACTTTGGAGCAGAACCTTGTTTGTATAAGTCATACCCAATCGTGAGATATTGCCCTCCGCCAGTCATTTAATCCCATACTGTTCATTGGGGCCACTAAATCCTACTTCATGGAGTGCTTGATAGTGCGGTTCATGGATGGTCCAGAGTAGCAGATTGTGTCTTGTCGATTGTCTATCGAGCATGCCTATGCTTACCGGAGTCATAGGTCTATGACAATACTCCGCTTGCATGAGACCTCGGTCTTTCACGTTCATTATGAAGTCTTTACTGCACCCGGGCAAAGATGTCTTGAAGTCCCGATCTTTAGACGATTAGAAACAAAAAAGCAAAAACATACAACAGTCAGGATTCGCATGTGGTCACCCACCATACTACTAACTAACCGGCGTGTGGCTTAAGTACGGCTGAGCGGACGGGAAGCCCTGTTCTCCACACCCTATGGTCGTATGTATTAAATAAGCTAATGGCAAGGACTATATCCTTCAATTGCGCTGGTTATCCAAGTAGTTCAGCAAACGTGTGAGCACCGCATGCCGCGCCCAAGGGTGAGGAAGGTGAGTGCGCAATAGATAGGGCTAAACTGTGGTGAAAATCTGTACATGAGAATCGATTGACGCGTTCATCCAGCGGATAGCACAGGATCGCGAATGGGGCTTAGAACACACCAAATTGAACTCGTTACGAAAGTGGCACGCCATCTCGTCGATTGGGAGATAATCAATCTCCACACTCAGCTCTGTGTCTCGTAAATTTACTCCGTAGGCATTCTTGATTTGAGACAAGTCGATCTCTTTCTGAAAGAAGTACTCCCAAACTCCTTCCATCTCCACAATTCCAAAGCCACCAAATTTACTACATATGGCGGAGTTCAGCTCTATCTCCATTGAATACAACGACCATGTATTATATCATTTCACGAGTGGATACAGTGGGGTACGTTGACTGCCACCATATTTTGCCAGCCAGATCTCTTGAAACGTAACATGTATCATGGTCGGTAACTATCATATGCGAACTAGACGCGTACTTAATATGCTCAATGGAACGTGTTTCTTGTGTTTGGGTCATCTATGATAGTGCTTAAGAGCGGTCAACTAAACAAGGTGGGCGATAGGAAAAGGCGGTCGAGGGGTCAAACTTTATGCACGCCACTGTAGATCTCGAAAAGCTAGGTTATTATGTGTAGGTAGTGATCGGCATATGCTTTGTATTTGCGTAGGTCATGGACAAGCCTGGAATAATGGCAGCGTATTGTATTGTAACTTACAAGTTTGTACCGGGATTTCGGGATTCATCTTGCGATCGCTCCACTTCCAAGATTTTCAATTGTACCAGGAACATCACCCTTGGCAATGATCTACGATCCAGTTACCACAAAAAATTGGCCTCAGAACCTCATTCACTTTTTCAGGTCCTCTCACGTAAACCCCTCGCTGGACTCCAACGGATAGTCGACGACCATGAAAATGAAGTATATTTTTCTTTTGCTCAGTGCTCTTGTTTACTATGCGAATATCGAGTTCGTGCGCAACAGTGGCATCCGCGTTCTCATTCGAGATGCTATTATATCCAAGAGTCTTCCTGGCTCCAGCTATGCTTTGAAAACAGTATTCACTGGAATTGCGCGAGTTGATCGTGAACTCATGATCCTTACTTCGTTTTTCTATCCTGCGGTAGATGGGCAAAATGCGACGCTGCTGCTGCATACAGTAGGGTTTTCCGGATCATTCGGGTCAGCATGGGCTCTTGTGACTATGGAAGCTTGGAGAAGTGGAAATCGGTGGAAAATAATTACTGTGTAAGTTTATTGTCCCTGTACGGCCTTTTCTCCCCACGTTCTTCACAACCACTGTTCCATTAGACGAAGAAAGAAAAGGGATTGGTCGCTATTGATGATACAGAAACTAACGAATGTAGTCCTATGATATTTGGCGTCATGGCACAGCTCAAGACCTTCGCCCTGTGGGGTCCCCTGTATTGTGGTCTTCATCTAGCGACCTCCATCACCGCCACACAACCCACCGTACAGAACATTCGGATTCCACGCATCATCCGACTGGCTATTCCAATTGCCTATGCAATTGGCTATGTGATTCCTTCAATTCTAATGGTCCTACCCGCACCAAATGTGATCAGTACGGACCAGAAGCAGATTTTCATTGCTGTTTGGCAGGCATGGGCGATATCTGTTGGGACCATGACTACACTGGCCTTCTATCTTCTGGGCCCATGGATTCGAGATGATATTTCCACCGACCATCGCGGTGTCTACGCTTTTGCCTTCGTGTATGCCGCCGTAGCGCATCTTATCTCGTGGACTATTTCCTTAGCAACTGTTGTGGCACCGGCACTATTTCACGATCGGTACGTGCAGGCTTTGCACCCGTCGAAGGTTTTCCTTTTGCCTTCGCCTTGGAACTCCGCGGTTTTCCCAGTCGAGGATGTCAGTGTCGCAGCGCATCATTTCCTGAGGTGGGATTGTCTGATTGGGTCGGCTTGTATGCAGATCTGGGCGGTAACTCTATATGTGAGGGCATGTAAGATTGGTGGTGAACCAGTCAATTGGAGTGTTTTCGGGGCCAAGATTGTTTTGTTGACCATTTTGGCAGGGCCTATTGGGTCAGCAGTGGCATTGATGTGGGAGAGAGATAATCTCGTCTGCTACGGTAGAACGGGCGTTATGGGCCAGGAAAGTGGCCCCAAGAAGATCCAGTAGAAGCCGTAATAGGCACCATAAATTAAATTGAACAGGTTAAAGACCATGACCAGACCGCATTAGATGTAGTGCATCTATGTCCTTATAACAAGTCTCGCGTCCTTGTACCGCCCATTGAGTGCATCCTGAGACAAACGATCTTCCTGACGATGAGAATCTGTATGGTACCGTAGGACTTGAAGAATCACACGTATACTCTCTGTCTCGACAGGAACCCAATGCCCGGTCCTAGGTAGGCTGATCACTTCACTTCCCGGCGCCAAGTATCTATGGACGTTATCAAGGCAGATTTCCGGCATCAGAACGTGGTCCCTGATACCCCAGATTACAGTTGCTGGAACCTGTAGTCTTGACTGATTGGTTTCGGCACCAGGTGGGCTAGCTGTGTGTGGTTGGTTCCTGATTTCTCGCATCGACTCCAGGATCTCTTTTGATTTCAACCAAGTGCCGCGTAGAACGCCATTGCGATAAAGTCCTGTCATCTGCCAGAGAAGAGCTGCAGGTGACCTTGCGCGCTGTTTGACCGTGCTGCCATAACTTTCGGAATGGACCGTCGTCTTCGTCTCGGCATCACACTCAGTTGGACCCAGGGAAGCAGCCATTGCTTGAACAAAGTCAAAATCGAAGTTTCGGTTGTTTGCCATTCGAACAAGCCCTCGAAGAACGGCCATTTCGTTCCAAGCACCGATAAAATGGCCTACAATCTTCTCTGACAGATCAAAAGTGAAGATATATGCCAATTGCCATATCTGGCACACCAGCAATCCAGATACTTGAAACGATCTCCAGAGCCTAAGCTGGGATAGATGCCCGCGGAGCATTTCAACATGCCGAGTAAAGTTTTCAATGGCCAAATCGGTCTATGAATCAAATTAGTGACAGCCTATCGATAGCCTGGACCCATATATACTGACAAAAAGTCCGTTCATTAGCACAAAGTGATCAGCAACACTAGGGGCCTCCGTAGCAAGACGGATCGCCAGATTGCATCCCCAGTCGTGAGCAACAAGAAGGGTTTTCAGCCTTTTGGCGTGGAAAATTCCCTGGATGCTAATGCAAAATTCACAAAGGGTTTCGAGAACGCTTGTATCGTACGTGTCGAAGCTATCACTGCCCCCATAGCCTGGCAGATCCACGCAGATCATAATGCTGTTTTTGGGCATTGTTTTGTGTGAGACAATGTGCCTCCACATCACACAGCTGTCGGGAAATCCATGAAAAAAGATGATCAGGCTCTTGGGTTCGGCGACCGCATGCTGGTTATGAATATAATGCAGCTTTCGTCCATTTCGTAGCTTCATGAATGCATGGTCAAACCCAGGTATTGGCTGCTTGGAGAGGTCCCAGAAGCTTTGTCGTGCTATTACTACGGTTAGCAAAGGTCTCAACAACTCTGTTAGGGATCTCAACCTGTAGCTAGGTGGTCCTTTTGCTGTCTGTTCAGAGGCTTTCCACCATGAATGAGGCCGTTGATGATACAACGAATGAGTCCTAGCGTCGCCAGTGTGTAGAACACAGTCTGTCCGAGCAGGTGAGTAGCATAGTTGGCCATTCTAATCAATCGCTTAGCGGTCACGATAATACCAATTGTTTGGGGTGATGCTACCCGCATGAGTCAGGAATAGGACTGCAGATTTCTTTCTCCCACGTGATTCTAGCATGAAGAAAAGTGATGTCACTGGATAGAAAATAGCCTTCGATCGATCGGCGTTAGATTTCTAGTCTAATGAAATATAATGAATGGTATCGTGTTCGGTGAAAAGCAATGCTATCATACGCTAAAATCATATCTAAGCGTCGCAAAACTCAAAAATCTAACATTCCGCACCAAACGTCATAACATTAACAATATTCCCAGTAAAAATTACGAAACATTGTCAGAGCCATATCCCGAGTCTATAGATTTATCGAATTCCATCTTGCCCTTCATCGACACAACAGCACCATGCTTGCTCTGTAATGTGGCACCGCAATTTTCTTGCCATGGTCGTCCTCCAGAAGCATCGCAGATGTATGGAAAATGCTGAATCAACCGCACTGTGGCATATCGCACCGTTTCAAGTGCAATTTGTCGCCCAGGGCATGCGCGTTTCCCAATACTGAAAGGGAGGTAATTTTCAGACTGTTTGGACCAGCTCTCAGAGGATTTATCATCGTCGGAAGACAACCATCTCTCCGGCACAAATTCTTCAGCATCGTCTCCGAAGATATCCTTTCGTCGATAAAGGGGATAATGCGGAAGGGATATTTCCGAGCCAGCTGGAACGACTATGGGGGATAAGCCATCCGGGCCTCCGCCCCTAGGGAGGACGGTATCCTGAAGAGCGACGCGATTGTTGAAAGGTACCGTCGGGTAGAGTCGCAAAACCTCTTTCACGCAAGCATTCATGTATTCCAATTTACTATTGAGGTGAGAAGCTGTTGGTATAGTGCCATTCGGGAGCTGGGACGTGATTTCGGCGCGTAGGTTGTCAAGTACGCGTGGATGGCGAGATAGAAGAAGGAAAAGATGCGTTAATGTTTCGGCCGTAGTGCCTTCTGCCGCCATGAACATCTGTCTTATTTGGATATGGGCCGTATCGAAGCCATGGGCGCCAAACTGATCATAGAATAGCCCTGATACCGTCTTATCGTGAGCGATGTGCTGCGTCGCAGGATGGTTTTTCAATGTGAACGCAGCATTCGAATTATCAAATATGAAGTCGTAGACGAGCTTGATAGCTTTCTCTGTTGACGAGGACTGAAGCAACTTTGCCATAGGACCGAAAACCATCACTTCCTGAGTGTGCTCGAACGCCTTACAGATGGCGGCATTGATTCGCCGGGAGAGTGATTGCTGCTGAGCATCCAGCATTTTGACCGCATCTTGACCCCAGAAGATCGAGGTGGCGTTGTACAGAGTCAAGTCATGAAAAAGCGGTTGTAGGTCAACGGGTGAGCCATCACTGGGAATTTGAGACACCAGGCTTTGGATGTGAGGTTCGAGACTGACATGGGACGCTGAGAACCCAGGCTTACTCATACGTCGCAAGAACTTCCACTCGTTTCCCTCCGAAGTGAATATGCCGTGGTCGAGTGTTGTCCCCAAGACCGAGCTTCTCGTTCTCCCCAGCCCATATAATTGGGAATCGGTCACAAGGATGGTTTTGATATTTTCGATATCGATCGTAGACACGCTCGTTCGCCCCATGCTCGTACATGCCCATGTATGTCCACACGAATCAAATCGCTCCTTTAACATCTCCAGGTATGAGTTGCTGCGAAAATTGCAGTATTCCTCGAATGAAACGTCAGTTCCGAGGATTTTATCCTTTTGAGGCAGAGATGGAGGAGCTTGGCATCCATGTTGTTGAGCTAGCCTCCTGCGGTGGCGGATGGCGGCAATTGATCGTGAGACTTGCCATGTCCCAGCGCTAATACCGAGGACCAAAACAACAAGAAGGCTGAGATACATTGAGAAAGCCCGATGAAGTTCATCTGCTGCTGTCTGTTGAATATGAGAATCGATCGACGAGGGAAGAATTTCCGAGTGAATGTGATGATTGACCTTGACCCACTAGGGTACCGGCCTCATGGGTTGATATATGGTAATTTTCCGACCACAGTAAGCTTGGAGATCTGCATAGCTTGTGTATCTCACATGGAAGGTTCCAATTGCCTAGGCGTGTGATCTTACTGGTATCTACTATGTGGGCCCAATCTTAGATCCACATAGATACTCATCATGGTGAACAGGTTTCAATACCATGTAAGGTGGCGCAAGTCAAATTTGAGGCCCCTCCTTCCCCCTAGGAAATTGATGAGTGCGTATCAGGGTAACATGACACCACGATTCGTAACAGTAAATACCTACAATTTCAGCGAGAGATCGCTGTGGTTCGTCTTGGCAATCCTGATTAAATTGGGGATTCGTGTGCTCACAAATCATATTTGGTGAACGAGTCAAAAATTTAAAGTGGGATTTTAGCTGCACGCTTAGTCTATAGCTCCGGTGGTAACCCGGAGATTTTCTCTGAGCTAAATTGACAATCCTCATTTCTGGCGCACCCCTGAATATCCATTTCTTGGTTCGTTGTTTGTTTGTTTTTTGTTCCAAATTTCTTTTTCTTTTCACTGTACAATACAATTTTGATCACTGCAGAACTGACTGAGGATGATCATTCAGCTGACGGTCGATTAAGTTCGACTAGTATGACCTTCAGATTGTTTGCCCCCTAATAAGAGCCTTAGAAGAGCTCACGCTTCCTTGATCAGATCGATCTTGATCCACTATTTTCTCCCTTATCAAGGTTGAGAGGTCCAATGGCGTGATAAGTGGGTCAGCCACATTGTCGATCTTGTACCCAAAAGCCCTTCGTGGGGCTTGTAATCGTCCCACGAGCCTGGTCACAGTCTTAGCCTACGCCATTTTCATTTCTATTTAGTATTTTGACCTTATCGTACTCCGAACTCTGTGTGCGCGATTGTAGCGGAAAATTCATTAGAAGAAATTCAAACACAAAATCGCGTCATTGATACGGGGTATCCAGCCTTTCGATGACACGCTTTCACGACTGGAAAAAAATGGCCATTCCATGTTTGGAGATTCAGACTCTACGGAGGTGAACGAGGTGGATATATCTTGCTTGGGGGATCAAATCGTAGACAAACATCCAGGGGCCCCCAAAATAGGATGTATCATAGGACCCTCTGGACCGAAGTCTGAGTCTCCGATCGCCCCGAAGTCTCGCCATTAGACTCATCCAGCCACTGACTCGGCTTCTAAATCAGCTACTGAATAAGCCACTACAGCTTGGACAAGATTTTTTTGGCCCACGGACCCATAGGCGTCGCTTTGAGCGCGTCCTTCCACTCATCTGGAAAAACCGCCTTCTCCCTGGCAGAAAGCCCATCCCATCCAGCAGCAATTCGCCTCTCGTTGTCCCTCCACCTCTCCACTTCTTGTGCGATCCACAAAGCCATCGCGTCAGCAGTCTCGGTAATTTTTTGCAAGGGTACATCGTGCCCCGCGTTTTCTACCGTAATGTGCTTTACCCGATCATATTCCATACCACCACTTCCTCCCCACCGTGTACCTGTCCGCTTTGCCCCTCTAAGCAACGTTCCTGACTTCTCCATGGTGCCCTTGGACCCTCCAATATAGAGAACACTTGGTCTCAGATGTGGCAGCATTCTCCACGCTAAAATGGACTCATATCGATAGAATTGATACCCCTTGGGCAATTTACCCAGGATGTCCGGGAAGAACAGAGGATCATGGGGCGGGGGACGCTCATCGTCCTCACCTGTTTGAGGCAAACCAAGCTCTTGGTGCCGATCAAGATTGGGCCGCGTGTACATGAGAACTTCCTGGTGTTTAGTCGTCGACAAAGTCACTGCGGTACCCGAGGTTCCATTTTCTGTCTCCGGGTAGAGAAGAGTTGGAAGATCACGATAACCGTATTGAACCCAGCGACTAAAGACGCGCGGGTCCCAGTGAGGAAAGACCTTGCGAGCCTTCTCCGCAGCCACTTGACGTGATGGCCAGACATCCTTTTTACTTAGAGCCAACAAGACGAGAAGCGGGGAGTCGTTCTTGTCCATATTGGGGGCGAAAAATGGCTCGATGATGATGAGACCAGTAAAAAGGCGCGGATGCAACATGGACAGGAATATTCTGTAAATGTTAGTTACGAATCAACACTTGTGTACTATTCGCGTGGATCTAGTCTCACAATTGTGTAGTCCCAAGGCTATGCCCGACACCCATTATGGGCTGCGGCATCTCTTTGCGAAAGTGGTTGATCATGAGCAGCATGTCACGGCTATGATCCATCCAGCCGGCTGTTTCATGAGCATACGAAGTCAGTGGCTGGCTTCTCCCGCAAGACATTGCGTAGGTAGACTCACGATCATTTCCTAGGTATTTCTCGTTATAGATCCCACTGGCCCCTTTATTGGCAGCATCGGCGAACCAGATGGCGCGGACCCCAATTTTGTCGCGCTTGCATCTGGCTAGTATTTCCTCCCATAATGGTTCATATAGCTCCTTTGTAAATAGGTTTAGCCTATAGACACGATGAATCTTGTCAAAACTGGTGCTTCCATACCTTGGGTATTCCAGCCCCGTGGAATCCAACAAGTGTCACGTCCCCAGGTTGGGGATCGAGATTATCAACTGGGGTATATTTCTTGACAATCAGCTTTAGTGGAGCGTCTTGAGTCGTCGTAGCTCGAGGATATTCGCGTATATATTGGGTATCGACGGTGTGCTCCGTCACAATGAAAGGCGATGAAGACATATTACATGGAATAAAAGAGCTGTCTTTCTTTCAGATTAGCCTTGCTAGTATGATTCCCGATGAATAAAGATCGTATGCTTTTGAGAGAGATTGGGGGTTGTCTCGTAAAGTCACTAGACAGCCGAGTTTACACCGGGAAACAATCGCAAGAATAAAGGAGAATTGAAAGTTGAGGCGTTCGAAGTGGAGACATGAGATCATATATGTTCCATGAAGACTCGGGAGGGTGAAGGGCTTTTGTTCTCCAGTCCCACTCTGTTCGACGATAATGGTAATACGCGTACAATACACTGTCGTAATATACAAAGTAACTGTAGTCGTAAATCCGTAACCTGACATCGAATATGGAATGATCGACATCCCTTTCTCACTTAGCCAGCCATCGACTGAGTGCCCAGTGTCGAGTCTTGAAAGTGGGACAGTGGGGCCCAAATACCCTAATACTTGGTCTAGTCATCCAAGGTCCTAGGACTATTGACGAAGAGACAAGATCGACAATCTGATTGTTGCGAACCAAAATCACCTGAGCGGAGGCTTGATTGGTTGATAATCATGTAATCAGGATCTCGATGTATTTTCATTCGTTAGATCTGAGACATCAAGATCCACACATAGTCGATCAATGCCAGATCGCGCACTTTGTTTCCTTTCGTCAAAAAGGTTGATCGGGCTAGTCCTGATCGGGACACTTTACGCCATCCCGATGACATAAGTGGGCGAGTCACCTCTTCACTAGTCTTAAAAATGGGTTTCTCACCAAGTGGGTTCGAGTGCTTCAGAAATTGACCAACTAGTAGTTCGCTCTATAAACCAACCATACTCAATACTTTGACGTTCCCCTATCCCTTCTCACGCCCTTAGGTTCGTGTAGGACGAACTTGCTACTGTTCTTGCTACTGTTGTGCCTTAGTACTCACCATTTCAGGAGACGAGGAATTGGACGAAGAGAAAGGAATAGGTCTTCTTTAGAAAGATTGGCATTATTCTCGTCAACTTTGTATTGGAATGCTCTGATGCAAAGCCCCATTATGATACACCTAATTTCAAAATCAGTTACTGGCTAGTATCTCAGATTTGACACGGTGTGAACTTGATTTCAATTCTGCTATAAGTCCTACTCACTGGGTGACGAATTCAATCTGCCACTATACTAGCTGAACCCGCACGTCAGTTCAAAGTAGTGGCGACGTTATTTAATTTGAAAAACAATATATCAAATCTTGTCCTTACTGTACCCTACGACCACGAGTCGGGACCGAAATATCCCTTAACAGGTAGGTCGGTAATAAAAGCCTGCTGGCCAATACCGCCGTCAATTGTCGCGTCAAGCACGTTGTTACCCCACCAGCTGATCGATTCTGGATGATACTGTACGGCGAAGAAAATAATAATGCCGGAGAATGCGACACCGCCAGTGAGAGCCGCCGCGAGGACATAGTTGTACTTTTCCCACCATGGAGTCTGGTACCTCTTTATGTAGAACATAAAAGTAGCAGAAATGTAGAGACCACCCATGAAGTAAGTAAGGTTGACGGGGGCCCACCACAAGAATCCATTGAAGATGAGTGATGGATGGACGTGCTTGAGCCACGAGATTGGTGTGAAAACCAACGCATTGATCGGCTTGAAAATACCGTCAGGCAATTTAGACCTGCACGCGTCCCGGAAATACGATCCAAATCGTTTCGCGACCCACCACACAATCGCAAGGAGGAATCCCAGCAGAAAAGTATATTTCATAGTTGGGTAGAATTGGTTGAAGATTCTCGTCGGACCTATAGCACCCTGAAGTGATATTAGCTTCATGATCTGGCCTCTGAGGAATACAAGCAATATCTTACCCAGATGACCGATGATGAATAGTAAATTTCTGAGCCATCTTCACAGTTGAATTCAGAAGGCTGGTCCGAAGTACAAATGCCCGGAATATCGTTATCGGCGAATTGCACAACCCCATAGGCGACAAGGGCCGTGATGATGGCGCTCGTTACTTGACCACGGTACATGGCTCGAGGAGGCACTTTGGCATAGAAACCCATCTTCTGATCAGAAATGTAATTATCCGCTTGGCCGTTGATGTTGTATCCAAAGGCTTTCACGAACATCAGTGCCTCTGGATGTCCAGGCAGAGCATATCCAACGATAAGCTCTGTAACGACGTTCAGCCCTTCTGTTGTACCTGAGATTGCGTAGAGGTACGACATCGGGATCAGGAAGACCAAATTGAGACCAATTACAAAAAAGATAGTCCAGATAGGAGCCCCAAGCTGAGGCCAGCTAGTTAAAATGATGATGGCAAAGATGAAAGCGATCAAAGCGATAATCAAGAACCACCAGTCAGGGACTTCAGGATAATTGCGCATCAGCTTGGTGAATGGGTCATCAAAACCGTCATAAATCGAGCTGCCCTCATTCAAACTTTTGTGCAAATGTCGACTTGCCTTACGCACATTGCCCTTGACAAGAGATTTAGTTGCATTCTTGAGACCGATGACGAGGCTCCTAGTGGATGAGATAGCAGCCCCCGTCATGGACTTGTAAGCTCTGAGAAGTGGTCGCCAGGAGTCCAGGACTATGAAGACCATCGTAAGTGGGTAGAAAGCAAAGAATGCGCCATACACCAGGAGATTTCCCGCGCTGTAGAAAGCAGGAGAGTATGCCTGGTAGGCCTCTTCATTGAGAGCTCCGGTTTTGCTATTGATCACCCTTGTAACATTATAAGAGTTACCAGTGTTGTCGAAAATATCAGACGAGTTTGGAGGGAGATACGCTGTCCAGTTGGTGTTGGACCAGTACAATGCGATGATGATGAAACCACCCAAAAGTGTGCCCAGAAACTGCTGGGTGTATGCAAAGAACGGATAGGTGAGCGGGTATGAATACACGGCTATGACATTCCAGTCAAATGACGAGATAGGATTGAACCCGAGGCCGTTAATGGAGCCCGTTATCATGTTTAAGTTGAAGTTGTTTGGTGCGATCCAGGTCATCCATCCGAAGTAGCTCAGAGCTTGGAAAATATAGTCTGGGAACCAGAAGTAGACGAACATGCTGCAAAAGACCAAGAAGAAGAATTTATACCGTGAGATACTCCACCCGCTGATGAATTCCTTCTTCTCAGGGACCAGTAGCGCTCTGTTCAGGGCCAAAGTGGGCAGGATGTTGGGCCACAAAGCTTCGATTGGGTAAACCACAAAGCGACGAAGCAGTCCAGAAAACCCAAGTCCCATGAGCTGGGTTGACAGCAAGAGTAGAATTTCGTATCCCGGGGTAAGCCAAGTGTCCTTGTAGTAGACGGTCTGGGTCTGAATATTCCAGAAGCAATAGGCAGAAGTCAAACCAACGTCGATGATGATTGTGGAAAGCACCTGTTCCTTGTACGTCCAGGGACCAGGATTGAGAGAAACTCTTTTGCCACCCAACATGAATCCCCAGTCTGGGAGAACCTTTGCAAGGAATAGACCACATGGATATAGCAGGATTTGCGCCACAGAAGATCCTAGAGTGATGATAGGATAGCGCGAATTGAAAAGAGAATTGGTGAATTGAGCAATAACGGCCCACATGTAGCCAAGCAAGTGAGCACGGATGGTCTCGCAAGGAATGTTCGGATCATCCGTGGGCGTAGAAACGGCTCGCACCTCTGGGTATGGCGAGTAGAAGTGATTCAACGCAGTCTCAGTCTTCAGCTGCAGCTCCCATTCCTCGGGATCTTGCCCCTCAGAAGGTCCCTCAATCAGGCGGGAAAGCTTCTCTCGCAAGGCATTACCGAAATTGTAGTCATACTCATGGTCCTTGAGAAGATTTTCGATGATAGTCTTGCACTCATCAATGGTCAGAGTGTTGATCTTGTCCATCACGTACTCGATATCTTCAATCGGTGCCATTTCATCACCACTGGCCACAAGTTTCTCGGCTAGATCGTGCACTTTTTCATCGAAATTGTGCACAGTGACCGGCATGACGTTTTTCTCATAGACGATTTGCTCTGGTGAGCCATCGTCCATTTTGTCAACAGAGGACATGGTGTTGCCTTCTCAGCTGGGGCAAAGTATGGTCTGGCGGAGGATGAAGGTAATGGCTAATTTGCTCCCAATATTTGCAATGATGCAAAAATGATTTACTTCTGACTCAAGGGAAAGCAGAGGCCGCACGAAAAGAAATTAGGGTAAGGCAGGCTACGCAAATGCAGTATATATAGGCAATTTATAGACCATGTTGCAGGAGCTTCGGTGGGTTACTACGTATATCTGGATTATAATTACAGATTGTACCATTCTCTTAGAGTATGAAAGCATGATAAGGGGATTTATCAGTAGCCTATCAAGGGGCTTTTCTCTCCCAGAATCATCGCGCCACGAAAACTATCTGAGCGTTTACCATCCGAAGGCTAGCTTCCCTGATAACCAAGTGCGTGTCGCCTTAGCTGGCTTGAAGTCAAGCTAGTGTGCAGGCGCTATTGTTAAAGCCAAAAATTGATGAGCACCTTCTGAGAATTTTTAGCAAGTCTCATCTGATAACTTCCCAAGTTGAGTGGACTCCCGGGTAGTAATGTGGTGGCAGTCAAAGAGGTAGATGTAAGTTGGGCCGTATCAAATGATAACGATATTTTTCTAAGCCACGAGCCTAGTACAAGTCAAAGGCCAAAGCGGAGCTAAGGTGCACGTACGTGCATATTTACAAGATCCCACTTTACGGTCCTGATCATGCAATCAGTTGGATTGTTTATCCAAGCCTGAATATTCATATGACGTATTTCACTGCCGAAAAGGCCACCCAAAACAACAGAGGATTTGATAAATTACAACTTGATCTTTCAACACCCATGAATTCTCTAGAATCCTCCTGATAGATATATATTCTTTACACTATTCTAAGTGTACCCCTGTATTTTTATTATTTTTGTTAGGTTTATAGGTGGTTATGTCCAAGACATATATTTCAAGCATTAATGAGTGTATATATCGGTAACATTAGGACCTTTTTCTTTTTTTTTTCAAACCAAGCTTCATACTCCAGCTATATTCATTCTAAAGAAATATCGTTGAGAACTGATACGCTTGATATACGTGGTTGTTGGTTAAAAGTCTTATTTCCTAAGTAGTTTGGGGTAGCCCCTCTCGGTAATTAAATCCGCTACTCCCCCCGTCGATTCTCCGCCATGCCGGCACTTGCAGCCTCCTTGGGGTACGCGTCGTACGTTTATGGACCTGCAAAGAGCATAGTAAACGTCCAATCAGCCAGATTTAGCTTATCAAGCCTAAGGCTTCATACAGACCTCCAGTCGGATCTCCGCCAGTGCATTGCTGAGGGGAAGCCCGAAATGGACCATTGATTGTGGAAACTACTGGTCAATTTTAGGCTACGTATTTTCTAGGAGTTCAATCCAGTGGGCAATCGGATCACGGAATAGATAAGCTACTCGATCGAAATACTTGATATTGCAATTTCACCCGGCATTTATCCGACCTCGACTCGCTTCATACACTACCAAGGCTATGCAGGAAGGGCTCAGGACTTAGCCCTCGTCATCTTTTTAGTTTAAGATAAGCCCAAATCACGACTGATAAGGGTAGAAAGGGGGGAAGATAACACATGGTGTGCAGGGCGTTCGGGTCAAAAAGATAGCTCAAGGGTACGGACTGAAGAGGTTTGCTTGACGTATCAATAAACGAGGTGAGCAAAAACATACAACAGTTAGGATTCGCATGTGGTCACCCACCATACTACTAACTAACCGGCGTGTGGCTTAAGTACGGCTGAGCGGACGGGAAGCCCTGTTCTCCACACCCTATGGTCGTATGTACCTATTTAAAGTTAAACAAGCTTATATATCTCACCAAATTAATGGGGTCCTTAGGAGATAACAGCCATCTACATGCAGCAATAGGCAGACCTTTGATCGACACAGAAAACCCTGTGTTTCATGTTTCTTTATGTGGTCACGAAAGCTCATTCTAAACAAATCTTTAACAAGGAATCAAGTGCTTATTTGAAGATAGATAAGAAATGGTCTACTATTTCAATCGAAATATGGTTTCCGGCGGTAAGGCTACTATCTATATGCGGACATAGCGCTCCTAATATAAGAAGTGGCACGACAACACCACTAATCATAATGATTGCGATTATGGCGATAGCAAAATCGTGATTCGCCTTACTAAGGATATAAATTTAGACTAGACTATTAGATTAGCGCCTCCCCCTCTGACTTCGTTCTTCTCTCCAATAATCACCCATAATATAAGATCATCTCTACCGATCTCGCTCCCTTAGTTCTATTACTATGATCACCATCCGGGCCACGGGCTTTGATGATCTTGTTTGATAGATGAGAAGAGGCATTGGGTGGAAAAATAGTCTTCTTTTCTATATCCTGCTACCTATAGTGGTCATTAGTACCAATTATTTGGATTAAATCTTTATACATACATGGTTGCTCGCGTTTCTAGTACCTCTAGTAGCACACTTTAAATGTCTGTTTGGATGATTGAGGTTACATCCTTCAAGCTCACCTTGGCTGTGAGCCTCGGGACCTATGAGGGTAAAATCTACGGTAGAAGGTACTGAGTTTGGAATCATTCAAAAACGCAGATTAAATCTTTTTGATTTCTGTGACGGAAGTTTGAGGAAGTGACTCAACGACATGGCTCAACGACACAGCTAGAGATTCTGTATATGAGCAAGTGTAGGACCGACTCAACCTTCGTAATGGGGAAAGCTTGTATGACTTTTGGACTTGGGTTATCTCACACGCTGAGGACTTGTCCTGTCTTCTCTTCTTTCATTTAGAGTGTTTTAACGAACCTATATGCTCTGACCATACATACCTCAAGGTAGGTAATTGTGAGGTCCCAGTAACCCGAAGATGTGAATCTTCGCTCAACCAAGTTCAGGTACTTGTGAGTCAAAGGGGCCAGCGCATTGAATTATAACGAAAATAACATCATGGTACTTATGGAAGAGGTTAAGTGGGGATGGCAAGTTCTCAAGTGGGTCAAGTAAAGTGATCTTCAGGAAGAATCGACACACTGCCGCTGGCGTACGTAATTTCGGCCCCCGTGGCCCCATGATCAGCGTTAAGTTAGAAGCTCGCACTTTACGCAATACATATTCCGATCAATGCATTCACCTGCATCATCAGTGGCCCCAACCCCACAACTCTCTTGCCGCGATCCCTCTTTTCCACTTCGCCATTCATTTTTGACTGATACATCCAAGCGCAGACTTGAGTGGCCTCTGTGAGACACTTTCATTCAAACAACATGGATGCGAAACTTCATGGTCCGCCCTCGCCAGTCTCCTTGCTAGATGGTTACATAACTGAGCAAGAGACTGTCCTGTGGGTACGAACTTTTGACCGCCATCTTCAGAATACTACGATCGCCACAGATGATGGTGAGAAGGTCTTCTACGTTGAAGGTCCAGGGGCGTACCAGTCAATGAGCCTCCGACGACCTCTTAAGAATGCCTCAGGAAATCGTGTCTTCGACTTGCGACGCTATCCATCAGATCCCAGGATGCGATGGTTCGTACAAGACCCAGTTGGCAATAAACTCGCCGAGTTAGGCCATGAGAGGTTTTTCACCTCCAAACACACTGCTATTGATGCCAAAATCCTCAGCACTGGGACGGATGTTGAGATGCGACCACGCGATGCGACAGGTTCAACAAATTACGTCAATATAGGCAATGTCACTATTGCGGAAATCACACTTCACACAAATAATACCACGAAGCGCTTCGTCCGGGATCGAGATCTATCAGTGTTTCGAGTTCGAGTGGCTAAGGGGGCAGATATGAGCTTAGTGAGTTTAAAAAAAAATTAGATTATAGTAGCTCTGGCTAACAATGGAAAAAGATCGTTCTCATGACATTGGTCCGGGCAGAAATGGCGCACGTGTGGCGGAAATAAGCCCTACCCCGAGAAACTCTGGATGTCAGTCTTGACAGGTACGCCAAGTGCTTATGCGGCGCCTTAAAAGATAGGATAGACCTGAGGGCGGCTAAGATGTCAAAAGTCTCTCATTTCCAGCTGTTGTACACAGTTTGGGGCCTAGGAAGAATGAAATTTATTATGAAGGACGATACCCGCATCATTTAAGTCCAAACCCAACCAGCTTCCCTGATATCAGCCTCACGGTCGCGAAAGGAGCTGGTTACCACAACCGATCTAAGAATTAGGAGAGAAGCCGCACGAGATTATGGTAGAAACGCTCCTCTTAGCCCTACTCGCTCTTTGCGCTCATGGAGATAGCACCGAAAGTCGTTACCACGATCCCAATGATGCAGGCCCCAAGGATAAGCATATTTCGGATAGCTCTTTCGTTATGGGCTTTCATGGTATGGGAGATTCGTTCTGCCCAAGCTCTGGGCGGATTGCCATCAGGGAAATCTTGCTGCGGAATGCTTTTGCCCAAGAATTTGCAGAGTGGCTCCCAGCCATCCTCCACAGACCACTCAAGCAGCCTGTCTTCAGATAAGCCTAATCCCTTCACTAGAGCAACATGTTGCTTGTAGACCCATTTGCCGTTTGAATGGAAACTACCGCGAAAGAAGCGGGGCATCATCGTACGACACATCGTTTGTCGAACCCAGAACAGCTCAGCACTAAACCAACTTTTGAACCAGTCCCAGTCGATTGGGTTTTTGTCAAAATAGCCCATTGTTTGTTGCATGCTAGAAAACCAGCTGTCAAGGTCTCGACGAGTGTTGAGAATGACTTTGGCATTTGGATACGCCGCAATGAGTTCGGGCGCGAACTCTGCAGCCATAAGATCGCTAACGCCGACGCAGTCACTCAAAACAGTGTCAAAGTCCTCAGCGGACAGTTTGTATTTCTGACCAATGGTGGATTCTGTGTTGTATTTCTTCTGCAGAAGGCGATAAATACCCTCTAGAGACGAAGGAGGAAGAATGGTGTCAAATCCATGGTGGGTATGCTCGAATCCTAGTATGTGTAGTGCCTGGCGTAGTGATTCTGTTCCAGACCTAGATATCCCCACAGCCAGAACCTGCATATGCTCCTTGCGTTTGCCCAATGCTGGAGGAGGGAGACCGTAGAGGTAATGAATGACTGGGTCAGGGATGAGGATCATCTTCGCGGGCGAGAGGGGCTGATCAAATAGATAAATTGTACTATAGGTAGTTGTCTAAATAACTAGAATGCTGACCAGTGTAGACGGAAGCCTTATAAGACGAGAAGGTATCTAGAGTGGATGGATGATCTTGGTAGTAGGCCTCGCCAAGCCCCCCGCCTACCGCCAAGACCAAGCCACGGAAACCTAACCTAACTAGTTATGGGTTAGGTCTCAGTCAGCATACCCGCTAACGTAATGCACTGCCGAGTAGGTCATACGGCCGGGTCACCCCAACAGGCGTTTTTTCGATGTGACAAGGTAAAGTGGTCAGGTACCTCCTCTAGTTTATCTGTCCGACTGCATTAACCCTTTCAGAGCATAAAGTCTATACGAAGAATAAGTCACATACTCGCGGCTTCTATCTGTAAGAACGATTTGTATTTTCTTCAATTAACTTCCTGCTGCTCTGAAATGACTTGGATAGATTATTAATCGTGCACGCCGAACATCCGAACCCCGTAATTGTTGACTTTATGAGCATCTGCTCTGATCTGTGTTTAATTTACCTTGTTCCTCCCCCAACGATTCTACACAGAAATGTGGAGGGTCTTATATACGGGTAACACCCTGAGTTCAACTGGGCCTCCTTCTTTGGCAAGGAGATCATGCAATGCTTGTCAAGGTCAGAAAAGAAAATGCGACAGACTGCTCCCACAATGCACTAGGTGTCGAAGGTAAAGCAACAATCTAACATACAAAAAAAAGGAGAGTGCTCCCCAGTTATCAAGTATGAGGCCATTGTGTGGCGGTGCGGATTGCGCAGTTTACTCAGTTTTATGCTATGTTGAAGACGAGATGGGGTATACTAAGGTAAGCTAGAGGTGCAGCAGCGAAGTATTTATGGCTGCCGAGTCTCCCAGGCCATACAGACCGTCAAGGTACATAATAGACGATTTGCAATCAAGCCCACGTGCCTTCATTCAAAACCTTTGTTGATACAAGCCCGCTAAATGCACACAATTAACGTCATATTCGATAAGCTTTATCTCGGGGATTTTCCTGCCACCGTGACTTCCCAAAGGGGCCTTATATGCAGGCGTTCCGCACAAAGGTTAGCGGAGGCTAGCGGAAGCTAGCGGCCCCACACACACTTCATTTGGTGTGTGCGGTCTGATTGTAGACGACCATAGCGCGGTGAACCAGTAAAGCCTGCGCAAAGATGGCCGTGTTCCGCTAGCGTCCGCGCTAGGAGGCTATCTTTTCAATATAGACTAGTAGTCAACGTTCTAGACTTCGAATTTAACATTAACCGCCAGCCTATCTCTAGGGTCTACGTCTGCGAAACCATCCTCTCCCCCGCAAAAGAGTTGTGGTTCTTGAATAGCGATTGAGGGGATGAGAAGATGAAGTACACTATATTCGGGCTGCCATTGTAATCGGCAGCTGGAACAAAAATTGGGATAGGGTCCTTCTGCAGAAAACTTGGCCGTCATTGTAAGGTCAGGTCCCAAGTCATTACTTTGATCTTTAGTAAACGATCTAAATCGAGCTACTCTATGTCAAACCACCCGCCTTTTTCCCAATCCCTGGCCTCGGCAGGGCCTTCGCGAGCCTTTACGTCATATATGCCTGCCAGGATTGTGTTTAGTCTTGCAAAGTTGATCGGTTTCATGACCCAGCCATCGAATCCCGTGTCAATGTAAGCCTTCTCGTCCCTCTCAACAAGAGAAGCCGACACTGCAAAAATTGGAATCCTTTTGGGCGAAGTAGAGGTATCTGCGACCGAAGACTTTGAGCTGTTGGATTCGGCCTCACGAATCTCTTTTGTGGCAGTCATTCCGTCAACGATGGGCATCTGTGAGGCTCAGTCAGTCAAAACCATGGGGGTTCACATCCAGCTTGAACGAACCTGAATGTCCATCAAGATCACATCGGGAATTTCGCTGCCTGACAAGAATGCATTCACGCATGCTTGTCCATTACTAGTCAATTGAACTGTGTGGCCAATTTTACTTAATCGCTTTTGCAGAATCTTGCTATTGACCGGATTGTCCTCTGCAACGAGAACATTCAAACTCATGTTGCTGGAAGACGAAGCTGATGCATGTGCTTGGGAAGGGGTGGGGCTCTCCTGAGAGTGTTCCTTGACTTGTTGTTGCTCGGGACTTGGCTGAGAGATATGTGATTGCTGGAATTCGTCATGTCCAGGTCCTAAGGGTAGGCGTAGGGGTATATTTTGCTTTTGATCAATACCGTCCTCGCTATGAGGTAGGGCGTTCTGAGATGGCAAAGACTCGTGTTGATCAGGTTGATCCTTCCCAGGTACACAGTCGACACTAGTGGGATTGGTGTCGGCGCCCTGTTGTGTGGCTTCGTTTTGATTTTTATCATCATCAACCACCAAAATGAATTCCCCGTCCAGAATTGAAGGTGATTTTGGCATATCGAGATAATTGGTTCCTGTCAGGTTCTGCGAGGACTGCGAGGGCGGTTCTCCGGGGATTTGGAATTGGAGTATAATCTTGAGCCGACTGCCTTTACCCTCTTCAGACTTCACAATGAGCTGACCATGCATCGTGTGCACGATACGAGCGGTCAATGCAAGACCAATACCCAGAACGCTTTGCCTCTGACCACCTGCATTCTTTGTGCTATTCAGTTTATCTCCAACCCAATGCTCATCTGCATAAACCTCTTCAAGCTCCTGAAAGAGCTGTTCGAGTCTAGCTTTCGACATTCCTGCACCTGTGTCGACAACTGACAGTTCAAGCGACGCGTGATCGTCTTGAACACTAGAAAGCGAAGCCTCAACGCTCACGCCACCTTTAGTTGTATTTTCGACGGCATTCGAGATGAGATTAACAAAGATTTGGCGCAAGCGACGCTGATCTCCTAATACTGCCCCTGGGAGTCCGGTGCGCATATTAAACGTGTAGGAAATGCCCTTCCGCTTGGCTTCCCCAGCCAGCATATCAAAAGCATCTTGTAGCGTGGGTGCTAAGTCGAACGCCTCGTTCTTGATAAGCTGTTGTCCGCTTTCAGTAGCAAGGTCAAGAAGGTCATTGACAATGTAGACAAGAGATTTGGAAGCCGAGTAGGATCGGATCAAGCTTTCACGTGTTTCCTCGTCTAAAGTGCTTTCCATGGCAATCTCCAAATAGTTGATGACTGCGTTTAACGGGGTGCGAACCTCATGAGCCGAATTGGCTAACAGTAGACGAGTAAGCTGAGAGTTCTGCTTGAGAACTTCTTTCTGCCGCCAGACTCGAATGAACTTCCCGTATACAGATCCAAGGACACCGGCCATCGAAACGTCAAATGCAGACCAATGTTTTGACTCGCTCAGGGTTATCTCGCGCCATTCTTTGAAGCTTTGGCGTGGTGTTAAAGGTCCGATGCCACCGTCTGCAGGTTTGTGCGGATTTCCAGCCCAGGTGATCGTTGTTAGTTCACCGACGCGGAAGAAAACGATGAAGTCGGCCCCGTCAGGAGCCATCGGAATACACAATAAGCCCGATATTCGTTTAAAACCCGGACGGAAACTAAAATCTGGATAATCTTTTCCAATATCATGCGACGCAAGGACCGATGTCACCTTTCTTAGACGAATATATTGAAACAGAGCGAGAGCTTCTTGTGAATTCGACTCCCTACCAAAAAGCTTGGCTTCGTTTCCAATGGAAAGTACACCATAATCGGCTTGAAAGAGGCGTAACAAGTCATCCGAGGATCCGACGATGTACTTTGATGGATCTGCTTCTTTCGGAACGGAGTTCATCATCACACGCGCCTGGATATCGGAGGCATCGGTGATGCGTTCAATGTTTCGAGCCACAGTGTCGCCGACCAAACGGCACAGTTTCCGTATCGGAAAAGAAACGCGCATGCCATCATCGCCGTATGAATGGCAAGATATCAGACCCCAAAGGTTGTCATAAGCGTTAATGCTAATCGACATCGATGAGCGCACTTCCATGTTCGCGAGGTATTTGGCGTGGATTGGTGACATCGCTCGAAGATAGGCATGGCTCATATCAAGCGGGGTTTCTAGATCCTCCAAGGTTCGACAGACTAGTCGCGCAGTGATGTGGTCTCGATTGTATAATAACCGGACTTTGTTGACCTTGTAGAGCTCTCGAGCCTGAGCTGGGATGTCCGAAGCAGGAAAATGAAGGCCTCGATACAAGTCCACGGTCACATTAGGGTCCATCAATTCAGCAACTACCCGACCATTCGATTTGTGATCAAATTGGTAAACCAGGACTCGGTGGAATCCAACTAATTCCTTGACTAGTCCCGCAGTGACTTGGAGTAGTGTGTCTTGGTCCGTCACTTGTGCAAGCTGGGCCTGGATCTGAGATAGTGTGCCGAAGACTTGCATTGCAGCAGCTTCACCCTTCTTCCGTCGTGCATCACGTATGGAGCGCACCGAACTACTTGCACTGGTCGTGCTTTTGAAATATTGTTCTTCAGTGGGGGGCGGGTTGGTTTGTAAAGTATTCGTGGGAGTTTCCGGGAGTTTTTGATCCTCAATACCTAAGGGGTTGAGCTGGTCGTCCTCCAGTTCAAGCTCGCAAATGATGATATCCTTGTTTTCTTGGCTAACATGTGTCGCGCACCAAAACCGAGTGAAACCGCCGGATGTTCCTCGTATTGCCAGGAGAAAAACCTCAGGGCCATCGATAATTAAGTCATATGAATCGTCTCGAACGTAGTCAAGATGTTCCAAAAAAGTAGCCAGTTGCTCTTCTTTCAATATATCAGTGAAACTTTCCAAGTCAAACAGATCTTGTGGCGAAAACCCCATAATTTGTTTTGAGTTTTCACTCACGGCACGCACAACAAACTGATTAGGAGATTCCTCTCTCAGTGCGATCATCACTCCGAAGCTTTGTATTGCACCTGGTGTCCGGATCGGCTCATCCTCGCAACGTTTGAGAGACTGTTTGCTATCCCCAAGTATCACCGTGTGCCCATCTTCCGAAAATGCGTGTTCGAATCGGGAGGTCATGTAGGTATGATTCTCTTGAGGTGCAGTCTCTCTAGGTGCAGTTTCTAGAGAGCCCAATGCATATTCTGTGTGTTCGAGATCTCCTGTAGCGGGCGTGTTTGAAGAAACTTCATCGTTGACAGAGACACTGCTATGCGAGACCGGCGGGATAAGATTGTTCGAATAAGGAATCCTAGCCTGAGGCATTGTATCTATCGGAGATTTCGGCGGCTCTACTGAGTGGCTCGAGGAATCCTCCACATCCTCTTCCGCTGGCGATGGGGACGCATTGACTGGGTTCATGGAAACAAGTGATCGAATTGGATAAATTCGGTCGGAGCCGCTGAGGGCTGTGCTGGACACGCGGCCATCATTCTGGCTCGTAGATCCGTTCCGGTCGCTGTTGGAAAGCGTCTGATTCGAAGTATTTAAGCTCGTTTGTGAGGTTTGCGAGTTTTCAGGGCCGCATCCATAGAAGTTTTGCGAGCTCATGTTCGTAGACGAGTTGGGATGTCAAGAAAAAAAAATCAAGGACAGATCCGACGGCGGGGTTGTCTTCGGGACAAAACCTTTCAGAACGTCCACTGTATTTCATCGTCGTTGGATTAAATATGTGTTTTGCTATCAAGTTAGTCACATGAGGCTATTCGAGGTCAAGTTTTCGAGCACTCGGGTGCAACAGAGCAGTAAATAGTAATGATAATCTACCGCAGTGCACGTTGCTTTTCTTAAATGTGCCGAGCGAATGGGCTTTGCTCCACCCTATCGGACGCGATGACGTAACCCACATCAGAAAATTGCCAGGGAATTTCACCTCCAGACTTGGAACTAACGTATCTTACACTTTCTCTCCGATTCGCAACTTTGGCCATAGAAAATGTGCAGCTTATTTATATCACTTGTTAAGATACCAAACTCAAACGTCAGTAGTAAAGCATCCTTCCAGAAATATTACCATTACTCTATTTAACATACTTAATAATCTCCTACATTTTTAATAGAATCGAATCATATAGTAAATAAAAGCTATAGGTTACCTAAAAATGTCAAAGTTTGGCTTATAAGACGTAGTCTTTACGAGCTAATATAAGTACATAGACGTTCAACTAGTAGTGATCCTAAGCGATCATCGCGCGATCTAGGGTAATTTTAGCCAAAATCTTGAGCACTTATATTTCTTACCTAGTGTCGCGCAACCGAAAACCGGCAATCATCCGTTGCCCTACTAGGCTAGGCTAATCGATGTACTAAAGTGCTTCTTCAGCATATGGCTTAAGTATAGCTAAGCGGACGGGAAGCCCTATTCTCCAGAATTCCCACCCTCTGGTGCTATATGCTTGTAGTCATTTTATAGCGAAATATATCTGTAGGGAAGTAAAAGGCCAAATAAGAAGATAGTAGAGAAGATACGAATTGAATATTAAATAGTACTAAAATTGGTATGGATTTAGAGTCCAAGGCAATATGGTTCATATTAATTGCAAAACCGATTCTTCATTCAGGAAGGAAAGAATCTAAAAGATAGACATTCTCCTTCTCCCTTGATATACAGAGATTCAATGCTCAGAGAACTGCTCATTATGAGCTCACATCTCGCGAATCACTTTGTCATGGACTTGCTCTAGACGAGTTCAGAGCTCACTCTTGATCTAGACGCTGAATCAGAAGTGATTCAGCACCGTTTCGGGATATGTTATTATTCATACCTTAGAAAATTGGGAATCGCCTTTCTTTCTTTCATGTGATAAAAAGGCGAGAGCCGCTGTAGCGTCGCGTGGCCGGACTGGGAGCGAGTGAGAAAACATCCTCCGTCATGTTCTGGCCTCGAGGCTCGAATGTAGTAGATTTCACCTTAAAAAGAGATGACTTGACTTTATCTTTATGTTGCATTATAATCTTCCAGTGTTATACTTTCCAGTAGAGTAGTAAATAGAAGTACTTACTCGAGTGCGCCTAGTAGAGGTTCACTTTCCCTATCTGCTACAGCCATCTTCACCGACCCCCAATTCCTCACCAAACAGAGCAACGATATCTGCACTAGGGCAAACACCGCATTATTCACCGCTGCCCACCCCACCATCTGATACCAGCTCACGAACGTCAAGAACCCATACGCGATTACATCCCTAAATGACAGATCCAGGAACCTCACTCGCATCGTCCACGAAATCGCCATCACACTGAAAATGACGCCCTGGGCTAGGAGCCCTAGGAGACTGAGGGATTTCAAGTCCCCTATGGGCAGGGCACGAATAGCTCGCGCTTGGCAAGGGAGTGCAGCGAGAGCCAGGATCGTGACGATAGGATTCATGAACATCGCGTGGTAGCCGCTGAAGAGAGCCTCGCCCCCATTGCGCCATTCCGGGGGGCCAAAGAAATCATGATCGATAGCATCAATAAAAAGTGGTATAATAGAAATGAGGGCGAAGAGCATATAGACCGTCAGCAGCACAAATTTATACATGGTGCGATTATCGGATGGGAACCATAGACATAGGAGAAAGCTATTCTTGTTAGGATTTTACTGGGAAAACTTTGGTACAAGAGGGGTTAGAGAAAATTTACAGGAGGAAATGTAGGGCCCAAACTAGGGTGAGCTGGGCTAGGTTTAGCCAGTCACCGGTCGTTACAGGGGTTTCGACGAAGAGATCCGTCCCGCCTTTGTGATTCACTAGGATGAAGAAACCTATTGTGAATTGCTCGGTCGCACTGATGAGGTTCAGCAGCAGGTAGCTGAGCGAGATGCCCTGGCAGTTCCCGTGAACCCAGATGCGGTGCAGCTGGGGCAAGTAGGAAGCCCCGCTGAGCAAGATGAGAATTCTAAATAGGAGTGAGCCTCTTGCCTTGAATAGTATTCTAGTAACGCACATTCTCAGCCAGTCCGGGACGGATTTTGCCATCTTTTGCAAGATTGGATAAGGGTAAAATGGGATTTTCAAAAATGCGGGGAAATGAAGAAAGCTACTGTCAGTCGATTCATTGGTCGATTTATCGGGCCGGGCTTCTTATCCTTATACCCTCAAAGACAGGCGAATCGCTGTAATTGATATCCACCCTGGCTAAATAAGCCCCACTCAGTACTTAACCTAGCCAGAAGACGGACAGGACCTCAACAATAGTATAGATAACCATCTGGTTCTTGCGCCTGACGCCAGTTGGCGGTCTCCCCGCCGGGCTGTACGACTAGGGTCTTTTGACCACTTAGCGTTCCTGGTGTCATGTAGGCCCACGCCTTTGGGAATCACTATGTAATGCCACCTAGACAGCCAGGAGCGGATGATGTGAACAACGACTCCTACTCAGGAAAACCTTTTGTGGGCTACAATACATTTGTCTAGCTGAGTCTCGCGCTAGATGTCGCTACATACTATTCAACGCACTTAAGCCACACGTCGGTCACTTATTATTTTTATTGGTAAATATACGCCAATCCTGACTGTTGTATGTAAAGGCTGTACTAATTTTAGCGGCCATAATAGCAGAGTGCAACGCCGAACGTTAGGTTTCAAAAAACTATAGAACACCAATCATAGAGCCTGATTAGAGCCGTGTTACTAGCAGCCAAGATCAGGAATCATTGCCAAGTAACATAGACATTCCGCACTAAGCCACAAAACGTGCTAAAGAAGGTCTTGATAATCAACAAGTGCAGGATGGATGTAAAAAAACCGCTTTCTGTCGCATCAATGCAAGAACGTGGCAGAGTATCCTTTGCCAAGGGAGCCTTGACCCTATCTAGCTACGCAGCCTCCAAAGGAAGTCGAGTCGCTCTTTGTGAGTAGCCAGTCGAATTTTATTGTGATTAGGTAGCTAATCGAAGCAAAAAAAAGATATACATACAACAGTCAGGATTCGCATGTGGTCACCCACCATACTACTAACTAACCGGCGTGTGGCTTAAGTACGGCTGAGCGGACGGGAAGCCCTGTTCTCCACACCCTATGGTCGTATGTACCAGGATGAGTATGGAAATGAAATATATAGTCTTAAATATATGGAATGTGCTAGCATACTGTAAAGCGCGAGTGACGGTGCAGATCATCGCCGGCCGTATAATTAGCGCTTCGTAGTTATCAAACAACCAGTTGTGCTAAAATATGGGAAGCAAGAAGTGAGGCATGAGACTGCCTTCTAAAATCTCCTACCAATCAATTATCATAGAGCAGGTGATTAGGTAGGATATTTAAGATACATATAATGTGAGACCCGCAACCCAATTTCAGATCTTGGCCATGGATGCAAAGTTGAGAAATGCTGCACAAGTTCGCGACGACTTTACAAAGCCGCAGAGGAACACGCTAGAGCTTTACTACGTAGAAGGATACTTTTTCAAATTCCAGAAACTCTTTTTCGGCAATGTCTTCCGGTATTTCCTCGCCGCGGAAGATTGCTATGCAGAGCTTGAGTGTGATCTCATACCCACTTCCAGCATACCCGATCATGTTGTAACCATAGACCATATTCGCAAGGGAATCTAATATATGCGCTTCGAAGGAAGTCTGTTGGTCGGGCGTGAGCTGGGTTTGAAGGATGGCACATAGTTGGTTTCCGAGTATAATGATCTCAGCGAAGGTGGTCTCAGGGTCGAATCCGTTTGTGACAATTCTTTAGTCGTAAACATCATCCATCGCAACGTTTAAATGAGCCTGAACGCCGTGTACACTGGTAGTGACAAATCTGCGGTCTTCTCGAAGCTTCGACTTCACCTACTGGGATAGATTTTTGAAGGAGAAAATTCGTACTCTGACTACTTGGTTCGAGAAGGCATTTTGGTTTCCAATAAATTGAAGCAGGGTGATTTGGCTCGGATTGAGAGAAGTTAGAGGGTGGAAGTATATCTGCAGACCATCCACCATATTGACGTTCCGAAGCACGCTTAGTACCTTCAAGGTAACCCAAAGAGGACCACCAGCCAAGGGTAGGCGCGAATTCGAAAACCGGGAGCAGTGATAATAGCAAGTACATTACCAGGTACCTACTTGCTCATTAAGATGTACTTGCAGGTCATAAGTAGGGGCTGATTCACTTGGAGTTGAGTGTCAATTAAATTGAACCCGAGATAACTTAGGCTAAAGTCTTGCTTCACCAGTGTTGCGATATATTTTGACTTGCTAATATAATTCAAGTCATATGAGATGTCATTCAATACCCGAGAAACCTGGTATAATTATACTCAAATTATAATCACTGCTTTACACCATTGTGGGCAGGGAGGTGTCTACCCTGTGAAGTTCTAAAGACACTTTCTTATCAGTATGAAAGGTTTAGATATTGGAGATAAAGTACAGCACAGGCGCCTTCTGTCATGTTGTTTACGTAGGCTGCGCTGGCAGGCCCATCGTGTTCGTCATACTTCAAGACCGAGGCCAACGGACAGGCCCCGAGCAATGGGCAGCCCCATAATGCCTAATACATTACGAGTTACGTGAACTGATTCCCTAATAAATCCCAGAAGTGCGCGCCAAGAATAAGGTTGCCACTAATCTACAACATGCGACCGACCTAGTCCGAAAGAAGATTACCACGATCGTAGAGAAAATTTAGTTCCCCGCCAAGCAGCCTAACAATTTAAGGAACCATGAACTGTTCTCTTTTGAGGAGAGTGGTTACCCTATGAACGTTCATACCCAGGCCACCATGAACGCCATCGGTCATTTTCGCTACGGTTTCCAAGTCGCCGAGACCAATGAATCCATGCCCATGTACCTATAGGACCTGCAGGACCCAAATATCCACACCGATTACAATACAAACCTTTCTTACAAAAAATCTCAAAGTTGCGACCGGGTGGGAAGGAATATCCAGAAGAAAGTAGCAGCGGGAAAGCGAATTTCCATGCCTCTGCGGCCCTTTGTGATCGCCGTATGGAGTACAGTCGGAGTACAACGGAGATGATCAGGTACACTGAGTAGTGACCCCCACCACCGTAGGGTTAAAGAGCCCTAAGCCCAGGCCCAGCGAATGGGAATAGATGGGGCACCGTTTGCCGGCGTCGCAGTGCGGTGAGGCTTATTCCACCTGCGGGGAGGGACGCGAAAGCAAAGACCAGGGGAAATGCTGGTGTTTCAGGTGATGGGGCTTATAGGCTTCGTCAGAAGCAAGGAGAGTTGACGCTAAAGGGGTTCTAGAAGCAAGGTTCTGGGCATGAAACATGGCGATCGGGGGCTATCGGGCAGGATCGAGCGGGGTTGGCCGGCATTGTTCCGACGCGTTCATTTCGGCAGTTTTGCGATGTGTCAGATTTTGAGCAATGAAGGAGAACATAGGATATTGGCATTGTGTGTCTAAGTCTCTAACGTACAAAAATTGAGTCTCACCACAGACAGGGGTATAATTTCCAGTTTCTTTTGTTTTTTTCTGTGTAGTTTCATTTCCATAAGCCCATGTGGCACGGGTGTCCTATCAGGGCGGTTGCCCTGACGTCGATCCATGGATGGCGTAGTCAGCGCCACCGGATCTCCAATCCTGTCGAGTGCCTACGCAACCTTGTCCACGGTACATCAAATCACGTCTCCACTTTTCTTTGCTTCCCACAAATGGAGCTAATCAAACATGTGAGCTGTCCTTTGGCAGAATTCTCCAATTCCGAGCTCTCCATTGCCCTCATTGAGCTCATCTTGACGTGTTTAATATATCACCGGCGCTAGCATACTTCGCCATAGACGCAGAGAAAGGACCACCCCGAAATTCAATACAGTCAACGCAGCCCGCGACTGATTGTCTGGGCATGTCAACAGGAGCCCCGTGTCACCGGTCCAGCCCTTTGTGGAGCAGTAATAGATCTTCCTTGTGGAGCGGATACATAACCCGATTAAGGAGGAGAAGACAATTGAAAAGAATTAAACGACACTAGGCTCCACTTTAGGTGAATGTGAATTGTAAGAGCAATGCTCAAGGTAATCCACAGGCCAATCACATCTTCTCTAGTGACTGTCAGTCGGGTCTCCGTTCCCCATGTCCAGTCATACACTTTCCCTGGTTTCTCTGTGCGATGTGGTCTCTGGTAACCTATAGAGAAGGATCACAAGAAAAATGATCTAAAACAGACCCAGAAAAGGTCCTTTCAATCCAATCATGAAGCTTTTCTTTTGTCCCGCCACTCCACTCCAGCAAAAAGTAAATAAGCAGAGACGGGCCTGGTCCCAGTGAAGTACCGTGCGTGGTTTGACGCACATTTGACGCGCCGGTGATTTAACCTCTCGCATCCCCCTTCGTTTCGTCCTCTTCCCTTCCTTTTGCAGTGCATCTCATTCATTCCTTCGGGTCTTTTTCCAGTCCCTTTTTGCCATCTAGTTACCTGTGCCGTGCACGGTCTAGAGCGCCCTTCCTTTCTCTATCCACTCCTTTCAATTCGAGAACAGGTTTCTCCATTTATTCGGTCTCATCCACTCCTTCGGTGACCAAAACAAATCAGCACTCAAAATGGTTTCCTTCACCAGCATTCTCACTGCAGGCCTGTTGGCCACCACTGCCCTCGCTGTGCCCCACAACATGCACATGCACCGGGATCTGCACAAGATGCAGAAGCGCACCTCCACCAAGCGTGGAGCTGCTTACAACGACGTTTCTACCGTCACCACTCTCGCCGAGACCGGCACTATCAGCTGGGCCTACAACTGGGTTTTCACCACTGACACCGGTCTCCCCTCTGGCGTCGAATACGTCCCCATGCTTTGGGGCACCAGCTTCTTCAGTGGCTGGCTCTCGGCCATCGAGACCATCCTGTCCAGCGGAAGTGACTACATCATGGGTTTCAACGAGCCGGACATGGCCTCCCAGGCTGACATGACCCCCTCCGAGGCTGCTGGTTACTACATGCAGTACATCACCCCGTTCTCCGGATCCGCCAAGCTGATCTCCCCCGCCGTGACCTCTTCGTCTACCGATGGTCAGGGTCTGAGCTGGTTCGAGGAGTTCATGACCGACTGCTCCTCTTGCAACATTACCGGCCTGGCTGTTCACTGGTACGGTGACTCGATTGACGACCTCAAGACTTTCGTCGAGGACGCCGTCAGCACTGCCACCAACTACGGCTTGGAGGAGGTGTGGGTCACTGAGTTTGCCCTGAACGCTGATGTTTCTGGTGTTGTCGATCAGTCCACCACTGCGGAATTCGTAACCGAGGCTGTTGCTTGGCTGGATGCGCAGTCTGGCGTTACTCGCTACTCGTACTTCATGTGTGCTGACAACTACCTGCTCACCGATGGTGCGCTGAACTCCGTGGGCTCTGCTTACACCTCGAGTTCCGTTTAAGGGCGTTATATGCTGTATGATGGGGTGGGGATGAGGGGATGAGGGGATGTTGAACGAACACAGAATGGGAGTTATCGGCGTCATTATCGGACGGGACTACGGTCTCGACTTCTTTCGGCGCAAAGGATGGGTCTCATCTGGGTTCTTTGTTCTTTTTTTGTTTTTTTTTTCTCTCAACCTTGTTGTCCTGATTTTCATGTGAATATCATAGAGAAAAGAAGCAAATATGAGATGAAAAGAAATATCAGTGAAAAAGACCTCTAATCTTAGTACCAAGGCAGTGAACCTTCTAAAGAGAAGCCCGAGATATATATTGAGGAGTGGAGATCGTATTCGTCCCACAACAGTATGAACTTTTGAAGTATTCAGAAACTTTACTCCCCGAACCAAGCTACTAGGTTACCTTGAATTAGACATGGACCAATTTTTTTTATTTTTATTTTTTTAACATAATATCGCACTCCAAACCTGAGTTACGTGCAAGCAAAAGGCTTGATTGTCCAGGCCGTTTTAAACCAGACTTTGACTACATGTACTATTTCCATACTCTCCCAAATACATACGACCATAGGGTGTGGAGAACAGGGCTTCCCGTCCGCTCAGCCGTACTTAAGCCACACGCCGGTTAGTTAGTAGTATGGTGGGTGACCACATGCGAATCCTAACTGTTGTATGTTTTTGTTTTTGTTCTTTGCTTGGCCTGGAATAGTGCCATTGCAGCCTTACTCTTCAGTTCATTCGGGCCCCTTTACCTAAGCGCTCGGAAGCCCTCTATTCTTCACTTGAATGCCCTGAACAACCCTCAATCATGAACGTATGCATCTCGCTAATATTGCGGTTTCTCTTGCTCTCTTCTTAGCGCCTTTTACCACCTGATTGGCTACCGCTGAAGAAACAGATACGTTGTGGCTATCGCCACTCTGATCTAGTCTTCTTGATGTCTTTATTACGGCGCAATCAGTATACTGACAGCGAATATAATACGCGAAGGAACGTAAGGAACATATAAATCACTACTTCTACGGTTTGAATGGTGAATGGATCAACTAGATCGTCGATTGCCCTGCTGATAGTAATCAATATATGGGAAAGGGTGTGACCCGTAGCGGACCCATCATATCAATCTTAGGTAAATAAAGTGAACTAGCACCTGCTGTTTGGAATAACACACTCTCCAATACCAATCGAATTTTCATAATGAAGGCTTCTATTCTTCTTCTTGCCGCCTCCGCTGGCGTTGTCCTGGCCCAGCCTGCTTCCCTCGCCGAGCGTGGCTACTCTACAGGTGTCTGCCCTACCTATGGCAACCCTTTCGAGCCTACTGCTGCGTGCTGTTACTATACGAATCGGCCTGACACAGGCTATTCTGCTGTTGTCTGCTTAAAGGGTAAGATACCCCCAGCCGCCATGAATATACTCAATAGGGACCAATTCTTGCTGACTTACATCGAATAAATAGCTACCAGTACAAATACTACCGCCGACTTTACAGAGAACTGCCGCCAAACCAATCCTACTGCCCGACCCCGGTGCTGCCCCAAGGCTGCGGTTGCCAAGGATGCGAGCGACATGGACCATAAAGATTTGCTCTGCCAAGACCCTAAGGTTGTTAACTAGAGCTTTTGATTCATAGCTCCCGCGAAAATGGCTGTATGTACAATAAATGCAATGGAATATTTAGTAATTTAATACAAAGTCTTTTCCTACACCCTCTTTTTTATGTAGTAATCCATGAAAAAGGCCAACTTGTACAGGAACTCTATGGGGACCTCCCTTCGCTTTTGCTTCTCGTACGCCTAGAAATATTGGAGAGTTGGAAAAATTGTGTAAACATCTAGGGGTACCACTCCTATTCGCGTAGCGAGACGAAGAGGACCTCTGAGTCAAAGGTGTCCCACGGGGATCGGCTAGTTCGACGAATATGTAATAAATACCTTAATATCACTTTATTTGACCAATTTGGGAACTTGCCATCCCATGTAACGAATCATGATGTCAACCTATCCTAGTTCAACGCGCTGGCGATGTGGTTGACTATTTGATTCCAATGACGGAAGACCTGCATCTCTGTGTTACTAGGACCTTAAAATTACTACCCTTGGGCCGCGGGGGGGGGGGGGGTATTAATAGCCAGGGCATATAGATCCCCCAGAAGCCCTTGGGAACACTGAATCGATATAGGGTTCATGTGAATCTTTATTTTCATCTTCATAGATTAGGAATACAAAACATCGACGGCATAGTCGCCTTAGGTATCAGGATGCATCTCACTCCACTCAGCATAGCTAAGACTCTGATTCAAAGCCAGAGAGGGGTCCAACACAAAGTCATCTGAGATACCTTCAGTGATGCTGCCATCCCAGCAGTGCTCCTGGAAGCATTTCTCACAAGCTTGAGGCCTCTTAATATCCATACGTTGTAAGCTCCGATCGATTGCTGCACACCCGAGACAATCCACCCAGGATTTGCTGAGAGTTCCATTCCCCTGAGTCAGCAGGTTGAAGCTGTTCTCCAAGATACCGTCAAACTCCGTGTATGACATATTGCCAGTTGCCCAGGAGTAGTTGCTGTACCAGCTATAGGGTGAATTAGCAAAATAAGCGACAATTGGAGAGGTAGCATCGCGAGTTGTTGTGAGGTTCGTGTCGCAGCCGAATAAAACAGGCTTCAATGTGTAGTTCCGTGCTAGCATCTCTGAGACCGGTGGCACTTCTGGGAAGGGCAGACCATTTTCCTTAGCACGGTTGTAAGTATCCCAGATGTTGGTGCCGTTGTTCCAGCTGTATGGGGCAGAGTCGGCGTCGTCATCCCAGGCCATGCTAGGTGATGGTAAGTTATAAAGAATTCATAGAGGGGAGGACGGTTGTAATGGCTTACATGAAGTCAACCTTTCGCTCAGGTTGAATAAAAGGCCAGAATGGTACTGATTGCCCCACTTCGGAGCCGTCGGCAAAGGTGATGTTCTCCTCACTGTTGAAAGGATTGGGGATTGAAGGGTTGCTGATTTGTGCTAGCGTGTAACCATAAGCCTCCTTGAAATAGTTGTTCAGATAGGACAGCGACGAAATTCCGGTCAAAAAGCTATCGGAATCTCGTTTTTCAAGATCATGACGTTTTGAAAATTGCCCAAGGGTCCCGTTCGTAGTCGCTCCTAACCACCAGCTGTTCCATGCACTCGCTGCGGAGCCCATCACGAAACTTGAAACCTTAATTAGCTTTGGGTAAATCCGGTAAATCACTCGTAGTTCATGTCACGAACCTAGCTTGATCGAGATTTCTCACGCATTTCTCAGCGGTGTTGTTTTCATTGGGAACCGTGCCAATATATTCCATGGGCACAAATCCAAAGTCCCAGGACCCAAACTCGAAGGGATTCCATTCAAACTGTTTAAAGTCAACCACTTCGAAAAGAATACCACGATACTGACGTCACTTACCCATGGGGAAGTTGGGGAAGGAGAGTAAAGGCCATCTAGGACCTCTGAACTCTTGTTAATGCTGCTGCAGATAAGCATTGGCATTGGCCCAGAGAAATTCTTAAAGCCCGGCTGTTCAGCAATAGACGACCACGTGCGATTGACTCCAGGGACAAATTGATAAGCAAAGCCGCGACCGAGAAAGTCGGCAGTAGACACATTGAACCCAACTTCAACCTTTTCGGCTATCGTTTCGAGATATGCAGTGACGGGGGCAGCGTACTCCGTGAAGTTGGCCGCGTCGAACCGATTAATATCTACATGCCACTCCTTGACATGTTCGTAAATTGGGGCATAATCACTGAATGCCGTGGAGGCAGTAGGCCAAGATCCACCGGAAAGTCCCGCCATATAAGTCAAGCTTTGAAAAAGACCGCCAACCTTGGCCTCTTTGGAACCTGGAGTCCGCTCATCAATGGCTTGGAGGCCACCAATGCCGGTGTATGCTGAGCGCCAGCCACCACCGCTGGTGGCCCAGGCAATCACTGGCACATTGTAGTCAGGATCCTCATGAATTCTTTGCGCATACTCTATCAAATTGAAATCTGACAGATTCAATCGACCTAAATAGGCACTGAGTGAATCGGCAACGATTGCTTTACGACCGTGAACCCATTCAGACTCGGCTTGAGATATTTGGCGAGGCTGACGAACAAGCTGTATGTCTGGGGGGCAGTCAACGTAGTACGGTGCGTAACTCTTTGCATGATTGCTGCTGCTAAGCGGAGCATCACTAGCTGTCGCTGCGACAACAGTGAGGGAAGCTGGTATTGATTAGCACTTATCATGTAAGACCAGAGCTTCAGTCTCACCTGCAAGGGCGATAGGAAATATCATTGTGTGATTTTCAGTTGTTGGAAATCATTCAACTGTCAAAGATTTGACGGGTATTTATACACAGCAAGCCTTGATGCATATAACCTGGCCTGCTGCCTGGGAAATGCAGACGAATACTACATTCCTTAATTGGGGTCTATTCGCGCATTCTACGTCAATACTATTACTCCAGGATCCACCCGAGGCTGAGCAAAATGATGCGCTCGTAATCTGAGATCATCGTATGACTCTATGGTAAGCTTCGAAGTGATTTTCGGTCGCTTGGCGCATTAGAGTTGGGTCCTCGGATCACTCGCCTTATTCGGGAAATCATCGTCGGTCAAGGTCAGCGAACCTTGAAGGCAATACGGAACAGGTACAGCAATGTCACAACGCAAATTCAAAATATTCATTCGATATCATTTGATAGCCTTTTCTCTCAATTTGGAAATGGGTTTGCCTACTTTCGGGGTTCTTTGTTGTCAAATCCGTACTAAGAGAGCAAGAATATTTGTCAAATTCTTTTCAATGATTCTTAGCCTTCAGCCCAGCGTGCTGCGAGGGGCCAAACCCAAATTAAGATCGAAATAACCAAGGACCGGTTCGAAAGTCTTGTTCTGAAGAGCATGCCCAAAAAGGTTAGCAGTTCGCACAAGCGGTGGGCGTTCCCAGTGGCAGTAATGGCCGACCGATCCGGTGGCCAAATCAGGCTTAGTGTGCCTATTTGGAGTGTTTGCTTGTTTCATCGCCAACGAATCTATAGGACTCTTCCATGCCCGTGTTCATCTCCAAGTCCATAGCTCTGTGCTCATTACTAAGGAGGTAAACCTTACTGAGATTTTGGCAACCATGCTAACTTAAAGCGATTCCTGAGCAGGAGCTTCATCAAAGATGTGAGAAAAGCCTTTTGTTCTGCGCTGTACACATTGTGAATTCGAGGTATTATTATGCTATAGGAACAGAACATTTGCCCATAGATGATCTTTGATATGAAGATTGTCGAGAACTAAGTCTTGGGTAACTACAGGTAGGCAGTCTCTACCATTCGTCAGAGCCATGTTCAATCGATGCTTTATAACCGGTGCTTGGATTAAATTTTAGGCAGGCACTGCGATACCTCTTAGTCTGTTAGCAAATTCTTTATCATCTCTCAGAAGACCGCCAAGCAAAATTGATAATCAAAATAACACCACCTCTTTCCCTAGGTGCGAAAAATACACATCCCACGGCAAGGAGGTTTCAGAAGCCCAGAAATTAAGCAAGTATTCCCGAGCTCGTGTATAATTGCCCATTCCAAAGCATTGCATATTGTTCATCCGATTTTGGATGTATTGGCGTTCGCTAATGATCTCAGTTTCGCAACCGGCGGTGAATATTGGCCACAAGATTAAAATGTTTGCCGGGGAGAAGGACCCTATCCGTCGAATGGAGTCGATGATACTCATGACATCCTCCCTGACCTTGACGTGGTTCCGCGAAAGGTTCTGAACTCGGCGGTGGAGGTATAGCAAAGCGGAGTGGACAAAAGCAAGGTGGGTATAGTGAAGCTCTATAGCCAGATCTCCCATGCTGTCTAGCTTTGCTTCCGAGACAGTCGCACCAATGAGACGAGAGATCTTGGCCTCAAGTATCTCTAATTCTGAAGTCATTGACAATTGCTCCTGGCACTTCGCTAGCTGTGGCAACTGTGCAAGAAATGGCGCCAACTCTAAGGAATAGCCACAAATATCATCGATCTCATCAACGGATTGATTTGAGACTTGGGTCAAAAACTCACTTTGGACCGTGCGAAGTCCCGAAAACCCCGCCAGAACATCCATAGTTATGCACCACTTCACCAAACATTGGGCGTAAGGATCGATGCGGGAATTTTCCTTCTGGTGCTCCATAAATGCAGTAAGTAATCGAATGACACCATCAAGATGGACATTCCATATTTCCATATTTCCGTTGCAGACATCATTCGTGCACAGTGTCATTGCCGTAGTAACAGTTTCCGGTCGCAGCATCTCATTGTCATCTGCGAGAGCGGAACGTAAATTGGAGATGGCTAGATTGGTATATTTCAGACCGGCTACCATTGACCTTTGGTGCGTTTCTTTGGGGATGAGACGGCTGTGGTGACTGCAGGCTGCTGCCAGCAGTGCATAAAGAAGATGGGGTTTTTCTAGAGCGCCAGTGATCATTCTTTCGAGGAACATTGGTGGAGCCGCTGGGAACAATCTGGTAGCAGTCTCGGTTCGGAAAAGGTGCATAAAAAATCGAGATTCTGTGGTTGACAAGTATGGCGACAAATACATGAGCGGCTGCTGGATCACATTCCCGGCAGTTGTTATTGCATCCTGCAAAGGGACAATAGATCCATCCACGGATATGTGAGCATTGTCTTGGGAATATTGGGCAATGTTATGATTTCCGGGGCTGTTCTTGTCTGGTCTCTGGCTGATTATACCCAGTTTGTATATGCACCCTTTCGGATATCGTGTGCAACGTGAACATATGGGCTTACCCAAGTCGCACTTGAGATCAGGTTAGTAACATTCCTTGTCCATTAGGGATAGAAGGAAATTACTTTGACTTTTTTTCTGCGACATTCTGTACAGCCATCTCGTCTCCTTTGTAACCTATCGCCGCTAGACATTGATTGGTACCATTGGAAGAATGTGCGTTAAGACGGTGATCACGCGACCATAAGCATACAGGAAATGAACAGTCATCAAGCGTTAATCGTTAATCTTCAGCCATCGGGGTTAATTCCGCGAAGAGGGTCTTTATCGAGCCGGTGATCGTGGATTTTTAAAAAACCAATAAGCTCAACTTTCAGGTTACATAATATTTGCCGCATATTGAACTAAGTAATTAACGCTTGAAAAACGACCATCGGCTATATGACTAAGCTGAAGATTCATTCTCGATTACATCTCACGTCAGACTCATTCACCAGCCCAATGATGATGTCTGATCAGTCTTGGACCTATCCACAGACCCTTGGCATGCGGACTTCAGTCTATGTGAGTCATGGTGGCAGCTGTTCCGTACCCTCTCTTCTATGAATTGCCGTCTTTGATTCGTCAGATCGGTTATCTATCCCAAAAGGGCCTAGAGCCATGGGAATAGACATAATCTCTAATCTATGGACGTGCAGACGAAAAATTATAAAGAAACCTGTTTCTTCCACCGTAGTTTTCCTCTTGTGTTCGTATATTGGATGTCACCGAGACCGCCTTCTCAGGGGACACGGTAAGATGATAACTACGGCGACATCAACCACAGAGGCGAGATCAAACGACATATCGCTGGCGCTCATACCCGGCCCGATATCTGTGGGTCCAGACCATGACAACGATGGGACTCGTAACAGTGAGAGCATTGCATATGAATATCCTGAGGGTGGACTCGCAGCATGGATCGTGGTGGCTGGGTCCTGTATGATGCTGATGTGTACATTTGGTATGATGAGCACGGTAGGAGTTCTCCAGTCCCACTGGGAGACGCACCAGCTCCAGGGATACTCATCGAGTACAATTGGATGGATATCATCGGTCTTTGTGTTCCTCAATCTGTCACTCAGTGTTCAAGTTGGTCCACTGTTTGATCGTTATGGTCCAAGGTGGATGATGCTTATCGGTTCCGTGCTTTACGCTCTGTCCATCTTCATGTTAGGATCTTGTGAAAAGTACTATCAGTTCCTATTGTGTCTAGGGATGTTGGGTGGAGTGAGTAGCGCGTTAGTCTCCACACCGTGCATGGTTGTTCTTTCGCATTGGTTTCATCGACGCCGAGGGACTGCCACTGGCATCGCAATGGCTGGCTCGAGTCTTGGTGGAGTAGCCTTCCCTATGATTTTGAGACCGGCTCTGAAGCAGCTTGGCTGGGCATGGGCACTTAGACTTTTGGGATTCATTTTCGTGGTCTTCCTCGCTATTGGCAATATCTGCATCCGGAGCAGATTGCCGATCAAAACAGGAAAAGGAAATATTAATCTGCGATGCTTTACAGACTCCCGACTGATATGGGCCACTGTTGGAGCATTTTGTATGTTTTGAATGCCCCATCTCTAATTTTCACCCAATGAGTCAATTAAACTTACGCCATAAAGTCAGTGAAATCGTTCTCTTCGCCTCGCTGAGCATGATACCCTCTTATGCAATAGCCCAGGGCTTTGATTCGCAGACAGGTTTCTATTTACTGGCTGTATTCAATGCGTAGGTAATCCCATTTCCATCGAATATTTATATTCTTCATAAGACTGATAAGAAGCTCAGTGGTTCGGGATTCGGGCGGTGGCTTTCAGGAACTGCGTCTGATCACCTTGGACGTTTCAACACGATCTCAGTCATGATGGCAGTGACCACAATGCTCATTTTCATTTTGTGGTATCCATTTGGCCATCATATTGGCGTACTATACCCCTTTGTCGGTCTACTGGGATTTGGGACCGGAAGCATTCTCAGCCTGACCCCTGTATGCATCGGCCAAATCTGTACAACAGAAGAATTCGGGCAGTGGTATGGAACATGTTACTTATTCGCAAGTTTTGGGTGGGTTTAGTTTCCAAACTGATATCATGACCTTGCATGCTAACTCTCTGGACAAGGACTCTGATTGGAATACCCATAGGTGGACAGTTGCTCCAGGTGGCCGGTCCAACTCGCTTGGTAGCATGTATTGGTGGGTTACTTGGGATTTCCTTCATGAGCTTTGTTGTTGCCCGCTGGGCATGTCTAGGCTATGACTGGAAGTGGCAAGTAAAAGTATAAGTGAGCTATACTCCAGCGGCGTCTACTTCTCTTCGGATGTAACAAACAAAGGTAGAAGAATGCAATGATTGAACATACTTCAGAAAAAAATAGACAAAAAAAACAAGAACTGAGGCCAGGTTCTCATTTCTTCATGTCACCAGCAAAAGACGTGAATTATTGTCCATCTTGATGTTTCAAGCCTAGATCGCTTGACTGAACATATTGCGAAGCTAATCTCGTCCCTCGTATCCCAGCAGCTTCTTCAAAACAAGACTCAGTCGAACAACTCCACTTATTAAGCTCTCCTCTTCAACGCAGGAAAAGCACAGCCTTATCATATCCTCGAATTTATTACAACTAATATTCCCCTCTGGAAGGCTAAATGAGGGCCCAAATCCGAAAATGACGTTTTCCTCTCTTTCTGCGCAGTCGGCCACCTTCATTGCCGTCAGCGGTGAAGGAAGTTTGAGCCAAAAGAAGATTCCACCTGCTGTGGGACTAGGTTTTGAAACAGTGTTGAAAGAAACGCCTAGGGAAAGAAGGTGTTCCTCTATAGCCGAAAGCATTGTGAAGTAACGGCGTCTGTATGCTAAAAGCGTTGAGGCCATGTGATTCTTCAAGGAGTCGCCAATCATTAGCTCGTTGATGAAAGTCGACATGAGATGTGATGGCGCTCCACCGGAGCGAGTTGATCCACTGTGGCTTTATTAGCATGGAAGAGTGGGGTTATTTGTCCCTGTGCGGTGGAGAAAACAAAATCAGATAAGGGAAATTCGCGTCTCACCTCTGAGAAAGGCCATGGATGAATTTTTCAGTACCCTCTGTCCATCCAACACGACAGCCTGGGCCGACAATCTTGCTAAAGCTGCCGTTGCTGACAGCATTTCCGAAGTCATCCTGTGGTCCTCCGTTCAAGGTTTTCTCAAGGTCGACGATTCGTGGCAAGATAGCCGTGATTGGTTCAGATCGCACTTGGGTTCCCGGATCCGAACTCCAATGTAAAAAGTCATACACATCATCACTGATAATTAGAGCATCGTACTTCCGAGCCAAAAGAAGTAGAGATTCTCGTCGGGAGCGAGACATGATGCTTCCGGACGGATTGGCGAATGTTGGAACACAGTAGATAACATGAGAATATAGCTTTCGATATGCACATGAGGCTTTAATTGGCTGCACACATCCTTGGATGGGTACAGAAGCCTTGAATTCTTTCAGTTCTGCTGCTAGTGCCTGTTCTAGACAGGCAATATCAACACCCTCCGCGTCCTCGGGAATACCATGCAACTTGCCGTCAAATCCAGCGTCTTTGAAGATTCGAAAAGCGAGAAAGTAGGCTGGTTCAATGATCCAGATTTTTCGTGTCTTGATTGGATCGGTGAAAACCTGCAAGATACTGGCCAAATTTTGACTGGCGCCGCCGGTAATGCAGATCCGATCTGCACTTATCGGTTGAACAGACTCGTAAAATCCAGTCAACCACTTGGCAATATTCACTCGGAAGGGAAAGTGACCTTCATCAGGGCCATAGATCATTCCCGGCTGCCATACTGATGGGTTCGAAAGTACCGAGTTTGCTGCCTCTTTCAAACGGTCGGCTGGCAAAAGACTTGTGGCGGGGACCCCGCTGGCAAAATTTATCAAAGATTTCGAAGGCATCACTGGTCTAAACAGGGGGAATAGGATCTTTGGGCAGGTGGATACCCTTAAATAGCCGTACGCCGACTGGAAGTATGATGAAGGGCTTAGCGGGGTCGACCCGATTAGGAGATGTATGCGATTCGACCAATCAGCGTCTTGGGCCTCGTCTTATCAACTAAATCACAATTTTAGAACCACCCCGTTTCCTAGTCTTTTTTCCCGAAAAATCTTTTCACCGATCTCTGCCTTTGCAACCCCTTGGCAATTTATCTCCAACATGGTCAAAATCGACGAATTCGCCGTTGAGCGGGTAAGGCTTTCCTACTAAAATCGCTTTCTTCCATGCTAACAGATGTGGTAGTGGATGGATGACTATGAAAACGATGCTAAGTTCAATTTGGCAGAGACATGCTGCGCGTCAATCTCCCTGACCGATCTGCTTGCTCTCTCGGGGAACTCAGATCAGAAGGATAAGGTCTTAGATTATTCGAAGAAGCAGGTCTATGGAGCAATCCGGGGATCGACAGCTCTACGCACCAATATTGCGCGGCTGTACTATAGCGACTCGTCGACTCAACTACCCACAGATCAAGTTCTGATCACGAACGGGGCAATTCAGGCGAACTTCTTGGCTCTCTATACGAGTGTTGGCCCAGGGGACCACGTTATCTGTCATTATCCAACATATCAGCAGCTATACTCAGTTCCAAAGTCGTTTGGAGCCGAGGTCAGCCTATGGAGGTCCAGAGAAAATGAAGGGTGGCGACTGGACCTTGATGAGTTAAGATCTTTGATTCGTCCAAACACGAAGTACATCGTTATCAAGTAAGGGAAACTCCAATTATCATTAGATTGAATAGACACTGACGGCCATTAGCAATCCCCAAAATCCTACTGGAGCGGTCTTGACTCGCGCAAACCTGCAAGGCATTGTGGATATCGCACGAGAACATGGAATCATCCTCCACAGTGATGAGGTATATCGGCCTCTATTTCATTCTTTGGACGCAGACAGCCAAGATCCACCATCTGTACTCTCATTTGGATACGAGAAGGCCATTGTCACTGGTTCTATGTCCAAGGCTTTCAGTCTGGCTGGTATCAGACTTGGTTGGATCACGTCGTTGAGCCCTAAATTAATTGAAGCCTGTGCGTCTACCAGGGATTACACCGTGATCTCGGTAAGTCAGGTTGATGACCAAATTGCCACGTTTGCTCTCGATAGCCCGACTGTGCATAATCTTCTGGCACGCAATATCGATTTGGCTCGGCGAAATCTCGCCGCTCTGGACGGCTTTGTCAAGGAGTTCAAGTGGGCCTGCCAATGGACTCGCCCTCAAGCGGGCACGACCGCTTTTATCAAATTTTCTGACAAAGGTGGAAGGCCCGTTGATGAGGTGGAATTTTGCAAGCGTCTGCAGCAGAATACCGGAGTGATGTTCGTGCCTGGAAGCCAGTGCTTTGGAGGCGGAGTTGATTTCAAGGGCTTCGTTCGGGTGGGTTATGTCAATGAGCACCAAGCCATCATCGACGGTCTCAACGCCCTTCGAGTTTTCATGGATGATGGCTATTCCGAGTTGCCCTTGGCATAGAACCAGTATCATACGCCCCTTTCCGAGTGTTTGCAAATAGAGCATTGCTTGAAAACATTGACAATAACCAAAAACCAACACACATACAACAATTCGCGTGAGCCCAGCGGCATCTCTAGTCATGTACTGAATCATATACTTTGATGACTATTATTTGTTGATAGTGTAATCGTTCTTTGGCAGCTAAATGTCCTATTTTCAATTGTTCTATATTATTCTTTCTGAGCTCGGCAAAACATAGCTCAGTTAAATGTACGATGTCATACTCTGTATGCGAGAGAAAGTGGAAGCAATATAATATGGTACGTGTTGTAATATTGGGTAGCGACGAGGAGAAGAAGAAGATCTACGAGAGGTGAAGCCTAAGTGGTGGGATGGAAGGCACTAGTCCCAAAGGGGACATTAACACCCTCCATGCCTGACATACCAGTCACAGGCACCTCTCCTCGAAAGTTACGTACATGTAAAGAAGCTCGGAAAATAAGTGCGAAAAACCGAGTACACAAAAGGGCGGTCCAGGCCGTCATGAAGTTACTAGAATAGGCAAGAACGAGCCATAAAAATGAGGCAAAAGGGGTATTAAAGGGGTATCATGGTAGCGCTGTAGAACGCTGCAAAAACAGTGAAAAATCTAGGAAATAGTTAGATGGGTGTAGAAGTGTAGAAATAGAGATTAAATCAAGCTAACTAAGTAAGTTGACTAAGCTATGAAGCTCGTTAAACCTGCTAGCTTGATAAAGCGACGGAATGAGGTAGTTAGCAGCGGCTTAGTAAGGCCGTCTATAGGCATATTCTCCGTTGGTATGTATGTGAAGCGGTAGTTACTAGCTTTAACCTGAGCTCGCTGAAAGTGGAACTTGATATCTACGTGCTTAGAGCGTGCATGATTCTCTGGATTGGAGGTAAGCGCTATAGCACCTTGATTATTAGCGAAGATATTGACTGGCTTGCTGAATAAGCGAAGATTAGATATGCTAGAGAGCTCTGTGAGCTCTGTGAGAAGTAAAATAAGCCATATAAGCTCTTATATAGTATGACTTTGACCTATATATTCCGCCTTTGTGGATGATAAAGTAACGGACGTCTACTTCTTTAACTGCTAGTTGATAGTAGCGCTAGCGAGCTTAAAGAGATATCCTAAGGTAGAAAGGCGGGTCTTAGTATATGGACCTGCCTAGTTAGAGTCTATAAAACTATGTAGAAAAGCGGCGTGTTCTGATAGTAGCGAGGTAGGTGAGTAGGATATAACTAGGTCCTTAGACCTAGAGAGATATCTCTATATTTTCTATATCGCTATATTATACTATGGACCTGGATTCTAAGTGTATCTCGCGAGCTTAGTTACTATATAAGCTATATTAATATATGTGTTAATGAGTAGCTAGATAAGGTAACCTATACGCTCTTGGAAAGCTCTGATCTTAAGTAGTGTAGCTTGTAATTTATGCTTGGTTAATATAACCTTATTATTATATGGCTTAGTATATAACTTAATTATATTATATCTAAAGTAGTGGAGGTAAGCTTTAATATATATACGCTAACTTAGGTGGATTCTCCTATTAGAACCACGTAGAATCTATACGCCTAGGAATTCTATGGCTGGACCTTTGTCTATGATATTAAAGTGACGTAGTAGTATGGTTTTAAAGGCCTTGATAGTAGCTTCTAATAGAGATAATACTAGTATATTGTCCATGTATATGAGTAGAAAGACGTTATTCTTGATGAATAAGTAGTGGTCTAATATGGCCTATATAAAGCCTTTAGCGAGTAGAACGTCTTATATAAGGTTGAACCACTCTCTTGGTGATTGCTTAAGGCTATATAGAGTCTTCTATAGTAGACCACATATATCTAGGTGATTAATATTAAAGGGCTTAGGAAGCTCTATATAGAGGGCCTCCTTAAGCTTAGCGTGTAGAAAAGCAGCTATGATATCCACGTGGTGGAGATACCACTAGCGGTGAGCTATAATAGCGACGAAGACCTTAAATGTTATGGACTTAGTAATAGAGGCATAGATATCTCTAAATTTAGTGATTCTCTACCTAAAACCTTTAACCATAAGGCGTGCCTTATATGTGCTATCTAACTTGATCTTAAACACCTATTTTATAGGTAAAAGCTTTATATATACCTTTTTATGCACCATACGCTATATGCCGTTGCGGATATGGTTCTAAAACTCTCTATGTGCGGTAGCCCTCTATTTTTCCTGCTCTAGATAGCTTATAGCTTCTTTCTAGATAGAAGGTTCAAAACCGCGTCCTAATATAGTGGTTATAGTGGTAAAAAGTATAGGAAGATGCTCTATAGTAGTAAGTATATATACTAGATCTATATTAAGAGGCGCTAATAGCATATATGTATATATAGTAGTTAGGTAAGCTTAGAATTCTGAGTTAAGCGGACGATTTAGAGGTCTCCGAGCTCTACCTAAGTGATGTGGTGGCACGATCTTATTGAGTAGTATATTCTCGTTAACTATATCCTCTATTGATCTAATATCCTAAGCGTTATCATAAGCGACCGCCTTACCACTACTTTATGCCTCTATAGTAGTATCCCCTATATTACCCTAGAACTCCCGGTTACTGTCTATAAGCTATTTTAGTAGCGTAAAGAAGGGGTTGATTAGTGGAACCAGTTCTAGCGTGATAGCCGGGCCCCTCAGGGGCAGGAATAGAGGAGGTATAGGGCGTGAGTTCTCGACGAACTTAAGTGGTACGTATCGCTCGGGGGTAGGTATATCAATAATGGTGTCCTATAAGCTATCTTAGTGAGAAGTATAAGGTATTATATCGCTTAACTATAGGATATTATAGAGAGTATTCTCATTAAAAATCATATATCGTGAGCGGACGAGAGATCTAGTCTCCACGTTATATAGCGAGTAATTTCCACGCTTGTTATAACTAAGCAGACGTGCTTCGTGTATATAAGAGTATAGCTTAGTGGGGTGGAGAGACTTATTAAGCAGATACTAATACTAGTAGCCAAGCGCTTGAAGCGTGGAAATATTAGGTTTTCGGCTAAATAAAGCTTTATATAGTATACGCTCGATCTTACTATACTAGAGACGGTTATAGGTGTAGTTTATACCCTAAATAACCTTACCCTAAAGATGCTTAGGTAACTAGTGCTCTATCATAACCGCTATAAGCGGCTCCACGAGCCACTAGTTCTTAATCTCTATTATGCCATTAAGCTATAGGGTATATAGAGGTATGGGATCCTATATAATACCCCGCTTAGCTAGATATTTTACTAGTAGCGTGTGTTCTAGAGCGTTATCTCTACACACGCGACGCACTATTATATTAAGCTATATATAGAGAAAGGCTTTAACTTACTTATAGCACTTAAGAACCTTATCTCATAACGTTAGTAGATATAGCTAGGTAAAGCGAGAAGCGTCATCTATAATAGTCAGGAAGTAGCGTTAATAACATATACTTCTAATAGATATAGGGCCCTAGACGTCTATATATAGCAGCTCGCTAGGGATAGATTTAACACGCTTATTCTTCCCAAATAGAAGCGTATATCCCTTACCTTTAATATAGGGCACATAGTGGTCTAGTATAGTAGTTCTAGGCTTTAGAGTGATGCCATTAGCGTATTTAACTATGTTTTTAACTTAACGTTCACCTACGTGCACTATTCTATAGTGAGCGAGCTCGAGAGGGATAGGTATCGCTCTATCTATTAGTTTTATAGTGCTATGATATACGCCTATAGACAGGGAGAGAGATAGGGGGTCCTCTATGGTCATATATAATAAGATAGCATTCAAGGAACCAACATTTAACCAGAAATAGGCGCTATTAAGTTATACATATCCTATAGGTTCTAGCGAACCCTTAAGCGCTAGAATAGCGTGTGGGATATTAAATTACATAGTAATTCCCTAACTCAGCAAGCTAGAGATAGAGATTAGAGACGCTATAAGAGCGGGGGCATAGTATACCTTATATAAGATGATAGAACCCATAACAGACCTATCTTTAGTAGCTAGATCTAGCATAATATCTCCGTATCCTTCCGCCTAGAACACGTCACCCATAGCTATCTATATAGGCATACGCTAGTGCGTGTAATTAATATACAAAGATCGGTATAGCGTCATATATACTATGGTGCCCGAGTCTAGTATCCACCTAAGCGGATTTTCAGCTACGTTAGTAGCAGCTAACTACTCTTAAGGTATGACTATAGCGTTCGTCTACTAATATCTAGTAGTTAAATTAGAGGTTACTAGCGTAGTAGGGGTCTCCTCGGCGGTGGAGGTTATAACAATAGTAGTAGTAGCAGCTCGCTGCTTTATAGCAGTTACTTTCTTAACGTCTTTTAGTAGCTTATACTATAAAGAGTAGTAATCACTAAATTTACTATAGTAGGGGCACTAGACCACTTAACAGTCTACCTCTAGAATATTATCCTTTTTAGCGTTAGAAGTTATATGATCTAACCCTCCACAACCACGGCCTTTATCTCTACGTACTTAGTGACTACCTCTAGCGCCTCGTAGAGTTCCATAACCGCGTGAAGCTATATCGGACGTGGTAGAAGTAGTGGATATAGTAGTAGCGGCGGTATAGTTAAGTTTAAAGAGATTAGAGCTATAGAAGGCTCGGAGACGCGAGTATACGTCATCTATAGTGGTTAAATCAATCTCTATATATATTAGCGACTCGATAAAGTAAGTACCGTTAGGATTAGCTAAAACTACCACTAAGAATAGTTAAAAAACGATCTCTAGTGACACGCGCTTAGAGGACGACTTATAAAGACTCTAAGCCGCTTAGAATTTACTTAGAAACGTTATACCAGACTCTCCCTTACTAAAGCTAACTTTTAACTACTTATTAAATAAGTAACACTTTACACAGAAATCACTTATAGCGTACTACTTTTATAGAGAGTCGAAGACCTTACGGAAACCCTTAACGCCACGGACATACTATTTAGCGGAGTTTAAGAGCGACTTTATAAGATAGGTAGAACTAATACGCAAGAGTATATAGTAATCGAGGATATGCTCTAAAATCTCTACCTTATATTATGTAATCTCTTCTAGCGTGACCTTATTATATAGGGTACCGTACGCTAGGTAGACTACTATATAGAGTTATTTATTAGTCATGTTTTTGCTTAGAGGGCATAAGCGGCCATCTAGCACGTATAGGAGACGCTTATTAACGGCGTTAAGCCCATTTTTAAGGCCTATATACCACTAATCCTAGTCCGCTTCCTTTAAAAGCTTAATCTTACACCAAGTATTAAAGAGAGACGAGTCTAAGCGTGAGTTACGCTTATTAGATGCGAAAGAAGATATCTTAACTAGAAGAGCGGTCTATATATATAGAGACGGTGGCGGAGACGGGGATGGCGGAGGGGATGCTAACTATAGGGATGGAGTCTATATTAGAGTAGGCTTGTATGCTAATAGGTTAACGCCCTTAGCGAGGTAATATTGTTTAGCTATATCGTTAGCTACGTGGTATAGGGACGCACTAGGCAGCTATTTATATAGCTACTACGCTTATAGGGTCAGCTTAGCGGAGAGTCAACCTAGTCAATCTACGAGCTCGTCGTCTAACGACTCAGGATCCTTATATAAACCATTAAAGTCCTTCTTATAAGGGGACCAACGCGGCGCGCTTATTAAGCGTGTATATAAGCCGGGGTTACCGAGCTTACGCGAGGGGAGGAAGAGTAGGCGAGCTCAACTAGGTATAGATCTACTTGATCCACACGTGTGAAAACTATCGATATCGAAGGCAGCAAGCGCTTATACTACGTTAACTAGAGGGATCGACGAGTTATAGATTTATCGGTAGAATCCAACGGAAAAGACGAATAACGTGCACAGAAAGAGGAAATATCAGGTTGACCCGACACATAGATGCACGTGAAATTCGACTTAGAGGGGTAACTAGGTGCAACGTAGTTACGGGTGGGGTGCTATGGGGAAGCAGCTGCAGAGCGTGTAAACAAGACTCGTGCAGCAAGCTTCAGCGACAGCGAGGTCAGAATAGAAGCAACAAGTTACTCGGTGGGAGTGCTCGTAAGCTCCGGGCTCATAACCTATGCGAGAGAAAGTGGAAGCAATACAATATGGTACGTGTTGTAATATTGGGTAGCGACGAGGAGAAGAAGAAGATCTACGAGAGGTGAAGCCTAAGTGGTGGGATAGAAGGCACTAGTCCCAAAGGGGACATCAACACTCTGCTTCACGACCCTGTGCTTCTAAGGAGAGATATCTAGGAGCATAATGCTCCAATAGCATCATGACTTTACTAGGCTCTATCAGAAGACAGAGCAGGGTAAACTTAGTGACCCACTTTGTTTGCCTCTTAGTGATATAGTAATTTCGTTGCCTTGAAGCTGCGGTTGCCATAACGCCGTGTATTCTAGCCCTCTGTGGGGTATTTCAACCTGCCCCATAATATTCGATTTTTCTTTAATCAATCAACCTTCTAGTCTGAGATTAGTTCCGCATGACCCTTTCCTCTACCCTATCCGCCGATAGAGGTTACTTTTCCATATTGCCATAGCTTGGTCTGATAATATGGGACGAGACGGTAATTCATAGGGCGCCACTATACCACGTCTATACATGAAATCTAATTTTGCCACAAAATTGTCTCAGACAAGGTCACTCGGCCGGATACCCGGCCTCTTTCATCGCAGAAGAAAATGAGAAATCCAAGCAACAAAAGAGAATTCTAATCATGGTCCGTCCAACTGGTCCAAAAGTGGGCACTCCTATGTAGAGAAATAACGCATATATAAAGCACAGCCCCCGTTGCTAAACCTACCTTTCATATTTAGTACTGAGCTATTGAGTCTCCGTATTTCCTTAAACTATAGCGATGTGTGGTGCAGGAGCAATTGCGCCACCCGGCCTAACGGGCTGCACTGGCTGGGAGACTGTATCTGCGCGGGCCCAGGAGGAACGCAGCAGTCGAGCTACATTTGGTTCTACAACGCCTACACATCTTACGCGAACGTTTTACATTCCCCGACACGATGAGACCACATCGAATATTTCCATCTTCGATATCAGCTCTCAATATACAGAAACTGTTGGGCGCCAAAAGATAGGGTCAGCGTCATATATTGTGTCTTTGGCCACGATGCCAAAACCGCAAGAAAACGGCACTGGGCTTATGGCCGCGTATGATGGTACATGTATGTACAAAGTGAGCTTTAGGAACACGGTGGGCGGCAGTGATGTGGCAATCTTGAAATCGATATCCGTGGCCTCGCAGTCAAGTTCAGCTACCCAGCCACCAACAGAGGCATTCATGTATGTTCATCACTTCCTATCACTCCAGGTTGATACAGCCGGCTAATTACGTCACATTAATACTCTTGAGTCTACTGAAGATAGTGCTGCTATAATTATCATGAGCAACCACGACGGAAATGCAGCTACAGCGGGAAAAGAGACCACAGTGTCTATATCATACCCAATATCGCCAACAAGATTCCAGAGAACGCTTTATGTGCATCCTTATTTTGCGTTCCAAAGTCCCGAAGATATAAGTATATCTTTTGAATGGCAAATGCACCCACTCTCACATGGACGGTTACGGTATACTCTTGCTCGTATCTCGCGGGCGCGACCGGTCGATGAGTCAGCAAAACCTGTCACCCCCTCGGACGATGATATTCTTGCTATCTACCACGATATCGGGAAAGGAATCTCTCTTCCACTATCACAAAACGAGGGCGTTCTTCTCATATCATCTGTTGTGGGCCCAGAACTTGAGAATATCGTCGTGCTAAGTGCCTTGGGAATGCTTTGGCAGCTACGTCGGTTGATCAAGATCGGGAAAGGTGGTGGAATATTGAGCAAGATTTCGAAGAACAGACCATTCGACTTACTAAAGTGATTTTCTTAAGGGACATGAATGGGCGAGCTTAGCATCGGGAAGATGATCAGAGGGACAGGGTCCTACTACCAGCCTTATGTCTACTACCCACGTTATAATGGACTGGTTTTGTGGCAGTTATCGAAATCCACAGGAGACAATGTTAAGACATGGGAGTGGTAAGTTGGCGCTAGGACAGGGGCTATACCAAGTAACTCACTTTCTTTTGTGTTTTGTACAGTAATTCAGGTTAGGATTGCGGTTATTTTAACACCGTGTATCTTTGCCATCTATGGGGTATTTCAACCTGCCCCATAATATTCGTTTTTTCTCTAATCAATCAACTTTTAGTCCGAGATTGGTTCCGAAGTCAAAGAGTAAAGGGCCATAATGGAGCAAAAGCTACCATTCCTAACAATCAAATTCTGCATTTCCTTCGATAGTCAAAGCCAGGCTTGCAACGAGATCGTCCTGGAAATTCTTCTTTGGTGGCATATTTTAAGCGGTTGAAACTTCATGGTAGACCGATTAAATGGCCCTGGGCTGTTTATATACTCTTTGGACTTTGAGTGTACTAAGATACAGAATAAGAATTCTCTGGATGTGTATATGTGTATATTGCAGGACATGGTGTGTCACGTCATGGAACATTAAGAGGGTGTCAGCATGTGGTGCTGCCCGACTAGAGGAGACAGAAAGGAAGGAAAGACGGAACATTGTGTTGGGGATTGGTTCGGAGGAAAAGGAAGACCTAGAGAGACAGGTGCTGGGATATCTACGGAGTCTGGTTACTTGAACTTTGATAAATGGTTACTTAAGCCTTAGATACCAGCTAAACTACTAAATTATAAAAGGCCCTGTTGGACTGAGATATCAGATGAATTATAGTGCAAATATCCCCAAAAATCTTGTTACTTTCCTGCCAAGTCTTCTTTCACTTTTCTCCTAGGTTTTTTGCTCCTTATCCAGGACTTATCAATATAGCAGGATATGGAGCCTTAAAATTTTGAAACAGAGGATGAGTAGGTTTCCCATGCCGAGTCAAATTCTGGTTTTACCTATTTATAAACCTGCTCATGCCCAGGTGTACCTACACACGTATATTCTCACACATGGAGCTCCTCGATACAGACAATTTTAGCGCTACTTCTGTCTGAAGAATATGAAACCAAAAAATATAAAAAAAAGTCCTACGCGGAGGGAAAGCGAGAGATAGAAGTCTAGAAGAGAAGTGAATAATAAGTGTATACTTGCCTATATGATTTCTTGCAAAGCGGCGACCAAAAGGACTAGGGAACCATTATAATGGGGAGATCATGACTCGAAGCATTTTATGTTTAGGCGTTCTATTGGCGTGATGAGGATTTCCATTCAGGCAGATTCATAGGCACCAAAGTTTGCGAATCGCCTACTAGTTTCGTAAATGAACGTTAACAATGATTGGTCTCTTGACATTTTTAGATTCAAGATTGGCGTTTCCTTTCCAAAGGGTGAATTTGGTGTCATAGCGGAAGATACCGCCATGTAAGCCCCCTAGTCAGTCTAGTCAGGTGACATTTCTTTATCTGAACAAGCCTCCTAATTAGAATATTAGATCCTCATCTATCTTGCACACATATTATTCTTCGTAACAGAGTACTCAATACCAGTCAGGGGCGTTTGGCGTTGGGGTAATTCATTAAGCTTAGCCTATAATAGGCGAGATGGCGCCATAAACCGCTTTTAGCAGATCATCGAAGATCATCGAATCTGTAGGCGTCGGTTTCATATCTAGTACTGATTCAGCTCTTAGTTGAAGTAGTTTGGCAACGTGATTTCTGTCAGATAGGGCTTAGGGCTCATGTAACGTATGGTGCGGGGGTCGGCCGAAAGTATACGCAATGGAGCGCGGCGATTAGAGAGGAGGCTCGAGCGTTTTTACTATAACACTCCGTTGACTCGCACTTGCCCACCAAAGTTCAGCTTATCATTTCTCCTCAAGACATATTTCGTTCCCGTTCCATTTAACGACCTGCTCCCTTCACTTTTCGGTCCTTTTTCTGCAACCGTTCCACGTCGTTTGTAATAGTCCTACGCCAGCAACCATGCCCCCCAAGCCTGGCCGCTTTGATTCCTTTTTCCGTCCATGGGGTCTGATATGGTTATCTATTTGCCGTGTGTCTTGGTAATCCCCGCCCCAAAATCTCACAAATTTACTAATCATACCTCCCTCACAGTACACTGGGAAGCTTTGAAACAAGCGATTCGTCGAGACGGCCTCGCAGCACTTGGCCGCCCGCGACAGATTCGGGATGCCGCTTCGGCAAAGTTGCTCAATCTAACCTGTAAGCTACATTACTCGCTTGATATTCCTTGAGTTATCTTGTGTGGATAATAGACTGACCATCACCCGCAGCTGGCAATTTCATCGCCTACGAAGACACAACCATTGTTCCCTTGCTCGTACGAGCCGCTAGCGGCATTGTTCTTGAATTGGGCCCTGGGCCAGGCAATCAGATTCATCGTTTTGATACCTCTATTATCAAACATATCTATGGTGTCGAACCTAACCCCCACTTTGAAGACGCCATAAATGCCAAGTTAGAGAAGCATAATCTACGAGAGAAGTATAGTTTTATGGCTTGTGGCGTTGAGGATAGCGATGTTCTGAGAGAAGAAGGAATCATGGAGGGGAGTTTGGATTCCGTTTTGTGCATCCAGGTGCTGTGTGCAGTAAAGGATCCAAAGAACGTGATGAAGGAAGTGTGGAAACTGCTCAAACCTGGGGGCAAGTTCATATTCTGGGAGCACGGATCGAGTAGAAACCGTTTAACGAATGTAGCGCAAGGTATGTCTGTCTCCACCAACCATTCCCCTTTCTGAGCGATCTCTAGGCCTTCGCTTTTAGTCCGAGAAGCCGGCCAGATGTGCAGACTGGCTAACATGAAGAAACCTTAGTTTGTTGGAATCCTACCTGGAGCAAATTTGTCGGATGCAATTTGACTCGGAATGTCTTGGGAGATATTCTGGACAGTGGAGAGTGGGAAAATCCACATGAGATCGAAGAGCCTGATGAACCTTTCAGTTTGTTGCCTAGGATTCAGGGTGTTCTGGTTAAGAAGAAGGCTTAATTTAACACCTTGGTCGGATATCAGATCGCACAACAGCCACCCACGCCTGAACCATGGCCGCACATACACACTACATCAGACATGTTCTGTCATGTTTTTTTGCTCTACATAATATATCTCAATGACATGATCACATACGACCATAGGGTGTGGAGAACAGGGCTTCCCGTCCGCTCAGCCGTACTTAAGCCACACGCCGGTTAGTTAGTAGTATGGTGGGTGACCACATGCGAATCCTGACTGTTGTATGTTTTTTGTTTTTGATTTTTACTCTATCTTTTCGTTCACGGAATGTTATGGATGGAAATTTGGTGATTAGGCGGGAAAAAGTCACAACGGGATGGGAATCGTTACTTGGGAGGCCATCACCGATCGGGCCATCAACTATCTTTCTTGATCACTATCGTCTAGCCAGTACTCAATACTTTATATATCTGACGGTCACATCCCGAACCTCGATCGCAATCTGCGATTTTGACTCTTCTATCCTTGCCGGAACCGTCGAGAACTGCAATTTACTCACTTGCCCCCCTCATTCATGGTGTACATATCTTGGCTTTGCGGCGATTAAACGCATTAAGATGGCTTTCAACGAAAATGATTTTAAAAGCCCATATAAGATCAGCAGATACATAATGAATTTTGGATCTCAAGTATAGAGCCCGGCGGCAAAGCGAAGCCCCAGTAGTTGGAGGGTTGGACGCCCCTGCCATTTTCTTGGTGGAGCTAATTCGTGACAAAGAGTGAATATCGAGTAAGAAAGCTACGATTCCAGCACGAGACACTTCTGACTCGCATGGTCTTGGTGGCTTTTCGATGGGAGCCGGCAGTCAAACCCCCAAATAGGCTTAAGCCTAACTTGCAAAGGAGCTCACTAGTTGAACCCCACATCATTTCCATATCTGATATGGCGCCGTAATTGTAATTCAGAAAAAATGCTATCATAAACATCGAAGGACATCGCATCACCTTCGCTTATTCCACCTCAACATACGAGATTAAGCTACATTAGAGTCATGTATTAAGTGAGCTTCGTGGGTATCACTCTTTGATCATCTTCACATTCCAGCGTAGTCTACAGAGCAACGTGAGCAAATTGGTACTTGGATGTGTACTCAATAATTTGACTTTCTGGAATACATATACTACGCTATCCCTAATGTGGCTAGCGGTGGTGTTCTTCTAGCAAGCTCCCTTTTTAATGAACGGCCTCTAATTCTTCACCCTGATCGGCCGAAAGACGAAGAACATCGAAGCCTTAGAAGATCAAGCTAAAGGAGGGCCTTTTCGCGTAATGTATACCGATTGCCAAAGTGGCGACGGCCTTTTCCCTGGCTGCATCTAGCGAGCAACACCGTATCGACTGCCGCGTCGATGATTTTTCAAGCGCTGAAGCCACCTGAAGAGTGATGAACCTAATCAATCCATCACCGCGGAGATGATTTCTCGTCCCAATGCGACACTTGATGAAGCCATTGCTTGCAAGGAGGAGCTGGCAGGCCTACTGGGGCGGGTAAATGGGGTGATTGCAGCACTTCCAGCCACATATATCCTTGGCGGTTGGAGTAAAGGCCGAAATGGGTTGTCAATTATCTTTGGCAATAGAATCGATCCTTGAAATCGACGTGAAGTGAATGAAACCAATTGCTCTATGTCTTGATAGCCACGTACACGTGTCGCTTCTATAAGTGAGAAACAAGTGAATTTTTTCCCTTTCCTCTAGACTCGTTCTTCTTCCCCCCCCCCCCCCCACGACGTTTTCCCTTTCCTCGCAACCACCGTTCTCCAACAAGCCTGTCTTTCTTCCGTTCTCTCGACAATATCTCTTCAACCATTTCCCCACTCTTATCTCCCCCCGATCATCTCAGAACCATCGATTTGGTCGCACTACCTCTCAATCAGTCAGACATGGCGTAAGTCAAACTTTTCTCTTACATACTCAACATCAGATACTGACGTGAGCAGGAACTCAAATCGATCTGGCACCGGTGTGCCCCAGCTGTAATAGCACTCACTATATCATGAATGAGCTTGAGTACTGATTTAAATAGTAACCGCCGTTGGGAGGCTTCTGCTGAGATTGGCACGTCAGAGACTCTCCCTCCGCTGGCTCACGATACGGTCTTGACCCCGGCCGGACCTTGGGCAACAGTGATCAAACGCTACCAGTTCTCAGTCGCCGTCCAAGGGGAACGATTCAAGACTCCGCTACTTGAGCAGTTGGCTCAAAGACCTTCTCGATACGAACCGATCTTGAGATCTCACTACGCCGGGAATTGGACACCGATCGGCTTCATGCAAGAGATCAATGTCAGCAAGGCACGGGTGGAGGCCGTGAGCATTCAAGTTGTTGGTTTTTTGCAAGAGGTACCATGTGCTTGTTGCAAATCCAACTGGGGGGTCTTCGCCCATTGCATCCGCGATACCACTGGGAAATGTGGTAATTGCCACTGGCGCCAGAGAGCCTGCTCTCTTGATGCGGAGACACAGACGCAGACCACACCCAAGAAAATCAAGCGGAAAACGCTCACTCAGGAGCAACTTCAGAATGCCAAGCTTGAGATGCTGACCCTCATCGATTTACAAGGAGAACTGAATGAGCGGGCTCGACAGCTCGAGGCATCTATGAAGACAATCACGGAACGAGTCATAAGTGTGCAGGACCAGAAGCTCAGAACCAACATTGCCATTCGTGCACAGAATTCTGATGAGATCGCCGAAAGATTTGTTGCTCAAGACGTCGATCTCGCGAATTGGGAACAAGCGCTAAGGGATTTAATGCAAGAACATTCAGTGGAAAGTGCCTTGAATTCAGAAGCCCGGGAACGGTGGGCAGCCTTGGTTCGCAATTTCATCTGAATGTTCAATGATCTGTTCTGTTCAAAGTCTTTCAAAAACACCTTCCACATGAAGCACCCTCCTATTCAAGTAAATGTGAGTGCTTAGTGGTTGCGCTTTAATGGATTCGATTACAGCTTCAGTGAGCTTTTCAGTGTGTAATGCTTATAATGATGTCCCCGAGGCCTGGGAGTGGTATCTCTGCGCTCGTGCATGATCCAGGAATTATCCCGTTCTTAAGACTCCTAGTCCTGGGCCATCAGGCAGCCTAGATACAAATCACACGTTCCAATCAGCCATGCATCTCTTTTTATACTTGGGTGCATGGCAAGTGCTCCATAGCAGAGCACGTTCGATGTAGTACGTTGGTCAGACCCCTAATTTATACAGAGTGCGATTAAAGTATTGTTAAATGAGCATGAGAATGAAAGCATACAAGGCTACAATAGTGAATAATTTTTATTTCTGCCGGTCAAAGATGCATGAATAAGAGTCCGTGCAAATAAAGCAGGTAATATGTCAAGGTATGTGCCCCAGATACGGCCCAGATCACCCTTGCCACCTAGGCATCGACATGATCTACTAGATGCTTGGTTTAAGCCGAGGAGCGAGTATTATTCCGGTACCATCCACTGCGACCAGAATGTATGTTCCTCTTGGAATTGGGGTGCCTCAATCATTCTTCCCGACCTTGGATTTAAAGCAGGAGATGGTTTCACTCCTGCTTTTTTTTTTATGTCAGAGTCAGAGCCGCTTTCGCCACCAATGCTCTCCTTATCGGTGATGCCTTCTAGATCCTGATGTGTTCTTCATATAAGCTATCACAAGTACTGCCGGTTGACAGCTGACTGCTCCTGAGTTACACTGAAGCCGTATCGGAGTGGTGATTTAAGCTTCATATCCCGGGCAAATCCCGCTACTAGTAGTACATAATCTTGGACTGACCTTTTCGAGTCGAAGCTGTGAGATGTGAGATCTTCACTTGATATGAGGCATGCGGAGAGGCAGAAATCGTAATATATGACGTCCTTTGATGTGAGTGAGGATGGTTGTGGTATTTTGCGAGACTGGATATAGAAAGTAGATGCTCAATGTGTAGCTGACTGGTTCCAAGGTTTATATGTGTTTTCCAAATGTTCCAAGGTTTCTGGCTATACGCTATAGGGCACATATGCATATTGTCACTATGTTCCGGCTGGCAGGCTCATAGCTATATAGTAGTATAGTACGCTTCATCTGAGTACCAAGAACATTGAGAAGGGGAGAGAAGCAGAATGGCCCATACCGCTCCCTATATCAGCTTAATTCATAGCAAGCCCTAGCTGATATATGGTATGTTCACGGCCCAGGTTCCCATGTATGCGTCAGAGGGCTGGTAAGCCAGAGTTCTGAACATCTCCACTAGGAGATACAGCCTTGCCACAACATATGCAAGTGTAGATAAGCAATGCACCAAGTTTGTCAGAAGAACAAGCAAGAAAAGGGTCTTTACAGTGCGAGAGTGACCTTTGTTTATGGCCTTAATTTCGAAAAAGAGTAAGGCCATGCTCAGATAGTTCAAGAAGACGAAGCAAGGTGGGAAGCCACTGCAATAGATGGATGCCGCTCTCCAGAGAACCCGTTCAATCTGAGTGGGAAAAGTGAGGTTCCACGCGGCGAGATGAACGGTCCCAAATACGATGCCGACAATAACGAGACCCCAGTGGCTGGAGAGGCTGTTTGGTACAATCCAACCTAGGTTCCTCTCTCGCTCTTGCTGATCTGGGTGGCTGAGAGGATCATCTTCCTTTACCTCTTTTTTCAGCAGCGCATGTACTTCCTCGCCGTCGTCGTGAACCTGCAAGATGGTGACGGGAATTTGCACTCCTTTCGTCTTATCCCAGCTGAATACGTACATAAATACAGCACATATGGCAAATGCGACAGTCGCGAGCTCCAGCTGGGTCACTGATAGGTCCTCCGCAGCACGGCCAATGACCTGTATGCACAGCCAGAGAATTTGGGCCACGGTGATGGCTCGCATCAACCCATCCGCTTTAGATCGATCTTGGATTTCCTGCTGCGTGATACGAGGAAGATGGGTTAGGACTCCTTTCTGACGGAGGGTCAAGATGTCATATGGTTGTAAGAAGTAGGGATTTGGTTTTTCTGTTGTCTGGCCATGGGTTCCGCGGCCTTTTTCGGTGTCAATATCCTGGTTAGCCTGACCCCGAACCTTCTCCTTTCCAGTTTGGGCGGGAAAGGGTGGCGGGTCTTGGACAGACGGAAGTCCACCTTCGTCATGCTGGGGTGGAGATGGTGACGGATTCTGACTGATCCCACCAACATCACCCTCGCTGGCGGTTGCCTCAGTCTGGACTGATCGATCACAGGATTGCGGCCTTCGATTCTCGATATGCGTCCTCATCACAAACGCACCCATCCGGGCAAAGTGGTAGTGACTCGCTGTCCATTGGACTTTATCCTCCTCGGCATACTTCTGACAGTCCCTCACATATTTTCTTGCTTCCAAATAGTCACCGAGGTATTTCATGAGAAGCCATTCCGGTGCAACGATAGTAGTAAAGAACCACCCGACCAAGCCCGCATACTTCGTCATAGTCCATTTCCACCAGCCCCTACGTCCTGTGCTGTAATGCTCACGCTGCCAAGGAGCATTGGGATTCTGCACTGTCCAGGTACAGGCGATGATAGTAAAAACACACGACCAGGCAATATTTAGAGTGCCGCGGATATCCGGTGAAGAGACATAATTGACTTGAGCTGAGTTCGAGGGGAGGGTACAATTTGTCTTGAAGGAGGTGAATGCCTCGGTCAAGATTGGCAGACAGAGGAGGATAGCCAGTGTCAGCATTATGACCTATGGGACATGCAAAGGTAAAGGTGTCATGACTAATGACCACAGGAGAGGCAAGACGGACGTCTATTTAAGGGCCCCGCTGCAATGCCGATCAAAGAGAGTATGAAGTGCAGCGACTTTACTTACGTATGCCCGGTTTCAGCTGAAAAGCAATAGTTCATGCTTTAGGTCGGATCTGGAAGATCTCTAGTTAGTATGTCTGGAAACCGCTAACTTCTTAAAGTTAGCCTTGCATATGTATGGAGCGTATTTGACATGTACACTGTACTTTTGTACTTACATCCACTGGGATTGTTTGCCTGTGGTATGAAATTTGCGCTAAAAAAGGAAACGAAAGGAACGTAGCAGAGGCCATCTTCTGTTGTTTCTTCCCGGGAAGGACCCAACAAAGGCTAAAAACAGTTGAAATTGACTAAGTCTGTAATGAGCGAAGAGATAGGATCAAAAAGCACCCGCCGGTGAACTATGAATTTCAGATATAAACTTTAACCTTCGAAGCATTGTAATTTCTGAGAAGTTTGTGATTAGGTATAGGGCCTAAACCCGGAGATGGTCGAATTGAAATTTGTATTTCCTACATCAATGTGGGTCATTTTCGATTTGCCTCGATGACTTCGGAGCTCGGAGTGGTCAAGGTCTTTCTGACTCCGTAAATATGTATCGTGGCGTTCTGCTGGCCCACTGTGGACATGCCAGCCCATTTATGGTCCATTGACACGTCAGTCCTTCATCAAGTCAAGTGTAGTTTCAGCCTAACTTTTGTGATAAGAAGTATGATCAGCCCTGCAGCTGGCACGTCGTTCCCGAGTTCCATGAATCGCAATCTCGATCGCAACGAACATGGAGCCGTTCCCAGCGGCCGCCCGATCAAACATGCAGCCCTTTGCAACTGTTCCACGTATAAAATAAAAGCCATCACATCTGCTGTAAATACTGTAGTATTTGGAATTCACCCTAGTCAAGTAGCGATGTGCAGATGCCAAGAGACAAAAGTTCCAGAGCCTGCAGCCATACCCAATGATAAGGCTCTATAGTCTATTTAGGCGGTATGTGCGGTCAACGTGCAGAGCCGAAGGATTCTCACCCGGTCTCACCCAGTGTTCTCACCCTATTTATTGCGCACTCACCTTTCTCACCCTCGGTCGCGTGACGCTAAAGCGGCTGTCACCCCTACCGAACTACTAGCTGCATGTAAGCCACACGCCGGTTAGTTCGTAGTATGGTGAGTGGCCACATGCGAATCCTGACTCTTGTATGTTTTTGTTGTGAAGTTTTTTTTTGATTCGTCGCGGAAGATCCCTTGCCGCCCAACCACTCGGCCAATTCAGGCCATTCACCTGAATGCCCTTGACACCACTATTTTGTAACTGAATATCCTATAAGCCCCTGAAGTGCTGATGTGTCCTTCGATTCCCCACCAACGACATCAATGACAACATCGAACGTACCTTGATGCTTCTCTAGTATGCTACACACGACCACTTCATCTGCCTTCAGACCTAGCTGGGGCTCACAATTGTGGGAACTCGAGCTGCTTGCGGCGACTACCGTTACGCCCGCACCGAAGCCATCTGCACGGGATATAGGCTGAGGGCTCCGCCTGCTCCGGTGATCAGCACGCGGTGGTCTTTCATCTATGCTGACCGCGCGCCGAGCTGGTCCCCAGTGGGCCGGGGAAGGTAAGCATGCTCGAATCGGGCCTCAAACGCTGTCAAAGCACGGAGTGGCATGGCTGCAGCCTCGGCGAAGGTCAAGGCAGTCAGCTTCAGCGCGACTCATTTTCTTTGACAAGCGTGTGTTCATTCTTTTCACCTTGAGAATCAATAATTATGGAGAAATAGTTGGTTTCAAATCAACAGTAAAGAATGATCAATTTTAGATACTTCATATACTAACACAACAAGTTGAACAAGATATTCAAGCCGCTTTACGGAGCCAAAGTCGCATAAATCGTTGTATAAGTAGAGGTTGTATAGACACACAAGGTCTCACACTCTGCCTGTGCCCTCTCAAAGACTTGCTCTTCACACTTCTTCTCAGTCGAGGGTAGCTTGGGACAAGATGCCATACCAAAATCTTCGATTTCTTCAACGCATTTGTAATAACTGCCACCCTCGCACAAGTCACTCAGCGCAGAGGTAGTGACTACCTCAGTGACGGTGATAGTGGGTTGAACTTCAATAGTCGACGAGCCAGCACACTCAGTTAGCTTGTAACCTGCGATATTTAGGAAGGACTCGGACTCGCAAGCAACGACAACGCCATACAGATCAGTGAATGTGTACGGGTAGGGGTTGCTATTGGCGGTTGTCGCGGCAGCCTTGGTTGTCGATGTTGGGAGGGCTGTGTAGCCACAGAGATCGGATCCCGAGAGTGTAGGGAGGAGACCCTCGTAGCCAGGGCATTCGCAGTAGGTATCAGTGCTGCCAGAATCGGGATCTTGATAGATGTAGCAACCCAGAGTGCTGCTGCTGCCGCTGCCGCTGCTGGTAGTTGTGGCTGTTGCCGTAACGGCAGTACCGGTGGCCTTGGTGGTAGCTGTGGCTTCGTTGGAGGCTGGTGCAGTGCCGAAAAAGCTTGCCATAAAGGCGGATTGAGAGCTAGCCAATGCCTCCAGAGCAGTGAGTGCGTCGGTGGTTGTTGGGAACGCGTCTTCTGCGATTTCGGTTGCTAGGGCTGGCGCATCGCCATAGGTACCCGTTTCAGTGCTGGTGGAAGTTGTGGTGCCATCGTCGTTGTCACTACTGCTGCTGCCGCTGCCACTGCCGCCTCCCCCGCTTGAGGTGCCGTCGTAATCAGGGGGGCACAGAGGACAACCTCGAATGCAGAAAAGACCGCCTATTGATAGTTTTTGCAATCAGTTCTCATTTATTCTCAATCAAGGAAAGAACAATAAAGTAGTAGTGGAGGGCTGATGAGACTTACAACTGGTTCCACATTTCTTCAACAGACTCGGGACACATGTCGGTCCTGAAGTATCACCAGAGCTCGTAGATGAAGACCGATGAGTCGTTTTTGTGTTGAGGATTGGATCAGTTGTAGAACCGGTGGTTGTCGGGTAAGGATGAGGAGTGATGGTTGTGGTTGTAGGCGCAAGAATGGTCCCATTTACCACGGACGTGGTCCCACCAAAGGTACCTATCCAGGATGCAGTGGCATAAGTGATATTGCCGGAGGAAAATGTGTATCCAGGAACAGTGCTAGTAGTCCCCCCAATGACAGTTGTTGTGCCCCCGACAGTACTGTGTAGCGTTAGTGTCTGTCACGGTAGACATGGTTGTATTTTATTGCACTTACGGGGTCAAAACAAGAGGGAAAGGTGTGGGAAGCACTGAGCTCGTCTGGTAGAGAACAGTCTGACCAGCTGAAGGAACTTGATCCCATACTGGAATGGCATCGGTTGTAACTGCAGATGAGGATTAGCGCCGGGCTCCAGGCTGCAGTATGGAAATTTAGGCCTTACGAGGGGCGATAGACAGGATGGTTGGCACCGAGATGTGAGAGTACGAATGGTACTCTACGGTTGAACTATCCGCAAATGTCAATGTGGAGGTAGCAGTTGAGCGGTAGGTGATGTGTGTTGCCCATGCAGGAAAAGAGATAGTCGTCGCGCTGCTTAGTGGCATAGGAGGCCAGATAAGCGTGCAGCCTGCTTCTGCTGTCACCACCGGACTGTCTTCGCTCCACACACTCGGATCAATGGAGATTTCGCAAGCTGTAGTACTCGACGAGTTTGATCCAGTGGTGTCATTATCGGTTTGTAGGTCAATTGCCCAATCGGCCGATCCTAGGAAATTGATGCTGGCATATAGCTCTTTTCGGGTGGCTTTGATGTCATCGTCCATCCATGCAGCCCACTGAGTCTCATCCCAAACCATGATGTTTGAGTTGGAAACATCATCGATGAACATGTAAACGTCTTCATCTGCAATCACCGAAGCGAGCTCAGCATTTGAGATATAGCCAGCAGTTTCTGTGCATGCGCCTGGAGTGGCGCCAGAGTCGGGACCGACAAACGTGCAATCAGCGGTATAGCATCCTGCCTCTGTCATTTCGAAGGAGCGAGCGTAACTGGCGACACCGACTGTAATCATATTGGATGGAACACCAGCCTTGGTGATCATCGACAGTGAGTTAAGCGTCTCCGTAAGGTTGACATGCGATCGTAAACAACTGCCATCAGGACATCCGGCATCACTATATGTGCTATTCCAATCCCATTGGCCATGCATATCATAGGTCATGAGCACGATGTAGTCTACTACTGCACTGATAGCCTCGATAGGGAAAGCCTTAAGATACCAGAATGACGATGGAGCAGTTGTGCTAATCGTCTTATCTGGGGCCTGCTCTGCCATCGCAGCGTTCAGCTCCAACAGGAAGAGGAAGAAATCAGTAGCAGATTCTGTGGTATCTGCAGGGATCCCCGCGATATCCGGCTCTCCTGGGTACTCCCAGTCCCAATCGACACCATCCAAGTCGTACTCATCTAGGAAGGCAATGGTATTTGACACCAAAGTTTCACGATTAGCATCACTGGCGACGGCCTCACGGAAGATATCATAAGTGCTAGCATCCGTTGAAAAGTCCCATCCACCAACAGTAATGATACGCTTAACATCACTCAAGGCAACGAACTCACTCATCTGCTCTTCAATCGTCGAAATGTTAAACGAGTAATCGCTATTCAACGTAGCAAATGACATATGGATATGAGTGTATGAACTAAGGTCCATATCTGTGATCCAGGTACGCATGCAGGGGCGGGATAGATCAAAGCCCTCAAAGTAGCCGATATTGAAAGTTTCAGCTGGTGCATCACTTTGAATGATATCCGTTCCACAGTTGGAAATACAACCGTTAGTACCATTGGCCGCCGTTCCAGGGGCTCCAGTGGTAGAGTTGGTTGCGGTGCAGAAATCTGAAGTAGTTCCACACTGTCCCCAGATATCGCAACAGGCGTTCAGTGGGCAAGGGTTCAATGTAGAGAGGTCGGTACCATGAGGTGCTGTAGCAGTACCATTAACTTGGGGACCGCAAACTGCATTTGATATAACGGCAGGCATAGGGGGCCATCCGGAGCTTAGACATATGTTTTCTCCAGCAAGAAGGTCATCGCAACCCATCCAGCCCCAAGTGTCGTTGTTGTAGGTCTCAATCTCGGTAGAAGTGAGATCATACGCAGCGGCAAGAGAATCGCAGGTATCGCCGGTTTGAACGAGGTAGCTATAACAGTTGTCGTCGGAATCAGGCTGAGGAGAGTAGTCTGGCAAGGTACCAGAGGAACAACAGACATACTGACCAGCTGCGAGATTGCTGCAGAGGGTTGAGCTGGGGTTATATGTCGTGAAATCTGCAGCGCTTATCCCGCACTCGGCTGCGAGAGTGGTGCAGGTATCTCCAGACACAACCTGGATGGTGGTACAATTGGTATCTCGCTTCTGCAACTGGCTGTCACGCATCCGAAGTCTTTGCAGAGAGACTGCGGTCGAATTGTGACGACCTTGAGCCGCAACAGAGTAATTGATGTCGGTCCAAGCCTTCTTCTGTCCCAATGACGCTACACAGCCACTATCGCGCCAGCTCTGAACAGCCGTTTGTGTCTCATCAAGATCTCCTGTCGTGCTGATATATACACCCATTGTGTATCGTGAACTTTGGTTGCTGCAGAGCTGAGCCGCTAGGACTTCTGGCATGCCGTCATCTAAGACATACTGCATAAGCTCTTTAAGAATGGGAGCAAGTAGGCTTTGCCCGTGCAAGCCAGAGCCCATGTAGAGACCAACTGTCACGCCCTCTGAAAAGGCAAAGTTGATGGTCTCATTGCATGGTGCAGGGTTGACAAGCTCGTACGCGTACAGCTGCTCTAGTGCAGCAACCACATCATATGAGTTGCCATTGTTGCCAGTTGAATCCCATGTTAGCTGTAGCGGGGATGTGACGTTGGAGGTGATGTTGGATGGGGAGCAGGAGCCGGAAGTAGTCCACGTATTATATGTGTCCAATTCAGCCACACATGCGCGCACACTAATATGGCCAGTTGACTTGTCAATCGGAGTATAAAGGGCAAAATCAAGAAACATAGGCTCATCACACTGACTTAGTCGGTCTAGCTGTGTATAAACCGGCCAAGCACTGGAATTCAAGCCGAGGTCTGAACAACTGCCAGGACAATTCTGATGGAGAGTGTGCCATGTTGGGGAAAGAGTAAAATTCCCCGCAAGAGCTGCGGCTTTTAGACTCTCCAGATCTGGTGTACTCTGTGACTGAGCCGCTGAACGAGTACTGATGGGATATTTGCTTAGGAACGAGTCTATCGCCTCTTGAGCGCTGGTCGTATCAGCCATAGCTTCATTCACGAGGGAGCCCAGGACAACAAGGGCCCCAGCCACCGTGTTGAGCTGCATGGTAAAGAATCGAGAAAAAATAAATATTGAAAAATGAATGAGAGTCTTCTGCAGGGAGAAAGAAGTGAAAAATATGCAAAGCAGAAAAGAATGAAGAGGCACAAGGTGAATTGATTTTCACTCAAGGCCAAGGCCTTTCTAGTCGGCCAGGTGAAGACACAAGAGAGTGAAAGGAAAGTTGTTTTGAGGGGAAAGCAAGAGAATAATCTCGGTTTATCTATGAAGGAAAGCCAATGCGCCTGGTCTATCTCATGTTACCGGTCCATCAGATGTAGCGACAGAGCATTGCAGGGCTAATACCAACTGATACCAACTGATGCCGAACTATCAAGTTTTGTGGATCATCTACTTGACACCCCACGCCACTCATTCGGGACTGCTTCTTGCCCTGGATTAGTGCTGATTGAGGGATAATACTTCCTGCGCTAAGTCAGCCAAAAGGTCTCTAGTGCTTGGGGGCCACTCTCCATGCAATTTCCCCTGGTGGCCCCACTTTCAAGCAAATCGTTAGTGCTTAGGTAAGTCCACCTGTGCTAACCTATTGGAGGTTACAGACGGCTGTACCTTACATACATCCGAAGGGTCTAACTCATTAGCCATGCAGCCCGCTTGACTCTGCCAATGAGGCTAATCTCTACCGTGAGTTACTGTGGGAGGAAATCGGTCATATATCGGTCCCGTTCGTCAATTTGTCTCGTGCCTGGAAACTGCCATTCTTTTGTCAATTGTTCGTCTCTGCTTTGGGATCTAATTCACTCCATCAATAACCATGTTTCCACGCGGACTGCTCCCATTATTCCTTTTACTAAGCCTGGGTACTGTCCAGACTGCAGCTGTTTCAATAAGTTCCTTGTTCAATGTCCTGTCTGGCGGTGGAGCGTGCAGTGACGACTACGTTACTCTGATGAACAGCTATCTTAGCGATGTGCAGGAACTGTCAACAGCCTTTGCCAATGCCATTACACATGCAAGCGACCTTCCTGATACGGAAGAAGGTTGGGTTGCGCGAGGACTTTTTTGGAGTTGGTTTGGCATCCAAATCGATGTGGACGGAGTTGTAACATCAGAAACAGAGGCTCAGTGGGAGGTGGTCAAGGGTATGACAACTTTAAACAAAGTCCTGTATGGTTACACGAAGCTCGATCTAACACTTTTCAACCGTCTTAGACATCAGCTCAAAGATGACAACCTTTTTAGACGGATCTGGGATGACCGCCCCTCAAACACCTCCTGAGATTCTCTGCGATGGCAACGGCTTCGCTAAATACTCATGGGAAGCTTCCATTCTTAAATGGGATTCCGAGACCAGTTCATACTACACATACGAGATCGACGATGAGGAGCCTGAACTTTCGGAGATTTACGATTATAATCCTGATCTCGTACCTTATCTGCAAGAAGACAACCACAACTATTACCTTGTCAAAGCCGGCGCATCCGATGACAATATCTGCGAGAAAGACTCGGGCAACAAATTGTACGGCCAAGCTTTCTCTGGCCAACAGGAGACCACAAAGACCTACCTAGCTAGTCCAGTGCACATGCCTGCCATTTCACCCTTGATCCTCATGTGTCCGGCTACCTTGGCTCAGACGAGCTTAGCTGATATCATCACCGCTAGCGCTGATTATGACCTGGGAGTCACTCAGATTTCATCTCTCACTAGTCGTGCGCGTGGTCCGACTACTCTTTTCCACGAATTGATTCATCTGATCTCTTACTGGACTGAGACTGACAGTGGAGACTTTTCTTTCAACCAAGACGAGTATGTCACTGATTATACTTGTAAGTTTTCTGACATCCGTATTAACAACTTTTTGTATTCTTCCTGACACAAAACTCGGTTTAGATGACGTGGATCAATGCCTTTGGATGGCCTTCGGACAGGTCAATGTTGAGGTCCCGCAGGAAGATGGATCGACGGTTGAGAGAACGTTCACCTCATCCGACACGGTTCGCAATGCTGAATCATATACATTTTTTGCTTTGGCATTTTGGTATTATATTGAAACAGGTGAAACATTCTATACAGGTCTTCTGTCGACTTGGGATGCACCATTCAATGGAGGAGACGCTGCTGGATCTGATGTTGGGTCAGATACTGGTTCTGCCAAAAGATCAGCTAAGCCCCACCACTATGGCCAATGGCTGGGGCACTCCCACTCAAAGCGTTACTAGGGTAGGTCGAGTTGAGAATCCACCGACTTGGGCATGAGGAGGATTTCATGGGGCCACTGGCCTCAACATTAACGCTTCGGCTTTCCCTTTCTGTGTAAAAGGGCTAGGTGATTTTGAAGTAAATAGGCCTAGAATATGAAAAGAAGTATACTAAATTGAAATTTACAGTAACATAATAATGACTGGGCCTGGATACGAGTAGCTAGAGTTTACCGCATGGTCGTGTCTCATAATATCCAGCAATATTTTACTGTCTAAACTGAAGCAAAGCTGTAAGCGAAGTGTATCTAATGCGACTCGGCGTTTACGGGGGCAGGATCCGCTACAAGGGGGCGAAAGCCAGGACCTAACAAGGAACTGCTCCTGTGGCGCTCTGGACAAGACTAGCAAATTATCAATCGTAGGGTTAGCCAAATCATCAGCTATTCACGAGTAAATTCAAGTACCGCAAACCTGAAGGATCTGTTAGGCACCTGATTGTGGACCTCATCTAGTCTTCAATATCCGAGTTTCGCCTCCTAGCACAGACTGTACGACTGTTCCGTAATGAAAACTACGAGAATTTTCCTCACAAAATCAGGTTTGACTACACCAAACGTTCTTGGAAAATTAGATTTCGGGCTTCTCCCGTCTTCGGCTCAGCTATCCATTCTAAGCCTCCACCATCTATCTATTGAATGATTTTTAAAGTATCATCGAGTAATCTAAAAAACATCAAACAAGAAAAAAACTCAGCTTTTACGCGGAGCCAACTTATTAGCATGTAATGAGAATGCTAGACGTTGAAAGAAGTCACATTTACGAAGGTGTTCACCTTCCCGATCGGGAAACCTGTACGAGATATCTACACTAGCCGATGTCCGAAATAGCACCATCCACCATCGAATTATTCTTATCTTGATGCGGACTTCCGGACGGACGTTACCGATATAAATCTTCTGTACGGAAATCTACATATATTTGAACAATTATAGCCTTCGGCCGAAACACTTGAAGTACCCGTGGACTGCATGTCCTTTTGGCTTTCCAAGATACAGTGCTAAACCACGCATTAAGTCGCCAATGGACGAATTTCGGTCTGGTATTCTACTAAGACATGTCGGAAGATCGTATCTGCATACTACGGATATGAAGCAATCAATAACTTGCAATGTATCCCAGGAACATTTGTTCACGCACGATGAACATACATTGAGCCTCCTGCGGATAATGTATTTCCCACTATTGAGTAATACCACCGCACACTAAGACAACCACGAACGATTACTAGTCCCCTCGGGTCAGGCGGGTCAGGGTATCTGGCATCAGGGTAAGCGAACGCTAGTGTCAGTGCTTGGCGTCTCTTAGCTCTCGGGCCTAAACATCTAATCTATCACGTGCTCTGGAATAAGCAGGGCGTTGAATTTTATTTTACAATTCCCGACTGTACGGAAAAATTTGCCAGCATTGTTCCCACTTAGTCAAAGGGGCCAAAAAGCTGTGGGGCCGGGAAAAACGCAAGAGCACCTTTTCTGAGGAATACGACCACGATCATGAAAAGACAAGGTTATGGGCCGAGGAATATCAATGCTTAACGGCCCTCCGCATTTTCACGCCATCGATCTTTGACTCAACGATCAGCGTCCATGAGTTCCTTTTACAATGAGCGAGTACGGAGATCAGCGACTTGAAAAGAATCACAAACGGTGGCAATAGCCATATGAACTTAAATTCGAAGCATCTGACATGCCCATTTTCTTTTGCCGATACTACTTGCAGGAGACTGAGAATTGGCCCAACGCCCTAATTTGGATTAGGGGCAAGCGGCCGCCACAAAAAGTGTTTAAAATTGCCAATTGGAATTTTCGGGAATTGAAGAGTTCTACGGAATAGCTCAACTTCAAACTTGTTATTATGACTCCACCGACACTAGTAACTGATGTCAGCACTAATAGCCCCAAAAGCTGCCAGTATAACCGAACTCTGTATATAGGGGCGATAACCAAGGAGCCCAAAAAAATGCAAGTTTGCTTTGAGTCTGCTTCCATTGTCTTATCTGTCTTGCGTGATGACTTTGACGCGCCTTCTTGCAGCGGTTCTAGCCGCTGGTCAAATTGTTTCAGCTTATCTTGTTGCTCCCGCTGGAACACCGTTCCCTGGGGCATCATCCGAGTGTAGTGCTTGGGTGTACGGTACTGCTAGCCTTACCTGCACGGAACTTGAGTTAGAATATGATATCACACTTACGCAGTTTGCTACATGGGCAAGTCAAGCCTTGACATTTTTGAATGGTTCAGACTCTGACATAAACCTGTTGATAGAATCCTGATCTATTCGAGATATCAGCGACATGCGCAATCATATCAGGGTATTACTACTGTGTTCAGATCAATTTTGAAAACACCGTGACTACAACTTCATCTTCTTCCGTCTCCACCGCCGCTACGTTCGTCACAAGCACAGCTACCACTGTCACAGGGAGAACCTCGACGGTATGGGGAGATGGTCTCTCTACTCCATCGCCAATTCAAACGGGCATGACAAACATTTGTTATGAGTACCATCTTGTTGTGTCTGAGGATACCTGTGCATTGATTGCCTCGGAGGCCGGAATCTCTCTGAGCGACTTCGAATCCTGGAACCCGGCTGTTGGCACCAACTGCACTGATCTTGACATTGGAGATTACGTTTGCATTCGAGTTTTAGGATATGGGTATTCAAGCGCCACTCCCACGAGCTCGAGCTTGAGATTAGTGGTGACTACTACACCCACGAGCACCGGAACCGGAGTTTCTACTCCCTCTCCTATCCAGACAGGCATGGTGTCCACCTGCGACTTATTTCACTTGGTTGTGTCAGGAGATACCTGCGCTGTCATTGCTAAGAATGAAGATATCTCTTTGACCGATTTCTATTCATGGAACCCAGCGGTTGGCAGTTCTTGTGCCTATCTAGACCTAGGAGATTATGTCTGTGTTGGTGTTATTGGCAGTACTGCTACTACAACGACTACTGCCACTGCGACTACAACGACCAGTGGGATTACAACTCCTTCGCCTGTCCAAACAGGCATGGTTTCTGACTGCGACGCTTTTTACTATGTGGTTGATGGCGACGGTTGTTCCGGCATTGCGACAGCGGAGGGTGTCTCAGTTGCTGATCTTGAACTGTGGAACCCGGCAATTGGCGCTGACTGCACCGATCTCTGGCTTGACACTTATATTTGCGTCGGTATTTCATAGATTGTCTTATTTTCGCTCTCCAGGACTATCAGGCGAAGAGGTATTGATCGCCACCCAAGAGATATCCGTTCCAAATTTGAACTATTTGTGTTTTTGCAAAATATTCGTCCAAAAAAAAGCCTATAAAAGTAACGCTAATTGCGCTTTTCCATTTGAAATCCCCCGGGTTGAAAGACTAATTACGGTCCCAAAAATCTCGAATTCCGGTCTAGCTGGGCCAGTGGGTGGATGTTTGTGGTTAAACAAGTATAGCAATACAGGCTTTGGAATCACTTGAAAACTTTGTCTACCGTCACGTTTTGCATTCTGGGTACAAGCTCAAGCATGCATTTATTTTGATATCTAGAATCAGGAATATTTTATTATATAAAAATAAGGTTAATAATACTCACATGAATGAACTGCACCCTCTATGATGACTTACTGCTATGCATCAGAGCCTTCAGGCTTCTCACACCCAGCAAGTTTCAGTCCAGCCTTGTTCAAAAGAATTTCCCACTCATTTTTGGTACGTTCCGCCACCGAGAAAGCAGTCATCATAGTCACATCACCGACCATAGCCATCTATGGGATATTAGGAAGAAATTGCTGATAGGAAATGCTGATAGGAAATATATAAGCAATAGTGATAGGGTAGCTTTATATATATGTTAGGAGTAGAAAGTGTTGTTATTATTAGATAGATATCTAATACTAAGTTACATGCTCCTCTTATATATATATATCGGAGATCGGCTTTACGTATTACCGACATGTATTAACTTAGTCATCAGACTTCTTCTACACTCCCCTTTAAGTATGTTAGTAGCCGTTTTCGAAGATATACTCCCCTGGATATGACTCCCCCCAGCCTTGAAAAAGGCTAACCTTCCACGGGTTTTGACTAAGAGTTTCGCAAACCCATAGCATGATGGAACTTCACGAAGGTGTCCTTAGGAAGGGCTTTTATAAGGCCGTTAGCTACTTACTCGTGTGTAGGTATAAAACGTAGGTTAATCTCGCTAGTTACCTGGCGTTCTCGAATAAAATAGTGTTGGATAGCAATATGCTTTATTCGAGCGTGGAATTGGGGGTTTCGTGTAAGGGTAATGGCGCCTTGATTATCACTAAATATGATAGTCGCTTATGGTTCGGTAGATCTAGTTTGCCGGAGTTTAGTAAGTAAAGATCTTAGCTAGATAGCTTCTTTTGCCGCTTATGTTTCTCCTATATATTCAGCTTCATAAGTTAAGAGTAGGCTTTGGCAAATAGGGCCCCATTCTAAAATTCCAGAACCCACCCTAACCCCAAAAATCCATGCCCCCATTAGGGGCCCTATGGGGCCCTAATGGGGGCGTGTTTTTAAACGAGGTTAGCGTAGATGCCTGATTTGGCCTGATTTGGCCTGATTTTCGCCTGACTTTGCCTGATATCTACCTAGTTTTGTATATTTTTTGCCAAGACTTTTTTTTAATTATAGTCCGTTCTAGTCTATATATATATAGTAACCACTATTTCTAGAACCTTCTACCCTAACTATTATAATTATATATAATATAGCTTAATATAAGCTTATTATACTATATTACCCTAGATTACCCTATATTTAGGGTGGCTAGGTATAATATAGGGTAGTAATTTTTAAAGTGGTTGATTTTTTATGCTAATGGGGGAGATATATATATATAGAACGTATAGCTTCACTACCTTACTAACTATATATCTAGGTCTTCGCCCTAACCACCCTTTATATATATAATTTAAATAAAGAACAAGCTATATTATAAGGTAATAACCTTATATATAAGCTTAAAAGCTCTATTTTAATTAGTTTTAGTAAGAGTTCTATAGAAATATATATTAATTAAACTAGTGTTCCTAATTATATAGCGCGTGGGTAAGACCACTATAGTAGTAACTAATCAGCACTATAAAACTAGACCTATATATAATATCTAACTAATTGGGTTCTAGAAGGTAATATCTTTAAAAATCCTTTTATTCTAGCTCTCTCTTAGCTCTATATACCTAGTATATTAGAATTAGGGTTTCTAAACCCTCTTTAGAGCGATCTAATTACTCCTTCTAAGTTAATATTAATATTCTACCCTACCTAGAGTACCCTACCTACTCTAGATACCCTATCTAATAGAATTCTATAGTTTTCTATACCTAAAGTAGGAAATTATACTATATAGTCCTAATTAAACTATACTAGCTTCCTAAAATAGTAGAAAACCACCCTAAATAGGTTAAAGAATATTAAACTACCTCTAAACTAGGTAAAAAATGGAACTTCTAAGGTTTAGTCCTATATTAAGTAGGTTATAGAAGTTTAGACTAGACTACTAAAAGTACGCTATATAGTATATAATATACTACTTAACTACCCTAATTAGAGTAATAGTAGAAGTTCTATTAATAGGACCTTTATTATTTATCGCTATATTAAGAAATTCTATAAGTCTAGGGTTATTAACCCTAGCTAGAGTTTAATTAAGAGTAGCTTTATCTTTACTATAGTAAGCCCGCTACCCTACTACCCTACTACCCTACTACCTTATATTATATATATAATATATATATATTATATATATTATATATACTAACCCTAGCTAGGAAATTTAGTTAAAGTAGTATATTACCTATTAAGTATGGTTTAAGCTACTTATAAACTTCTTTACTATCTACTACCTACCTTTTAATATCTTAAATAGTTAATAATTTAAGGCCTTTATAGAAGGAATAGCCTAGCTTACTTTAGTCCTATCTATCCCTTCCCCTTAAATCTTATCTTATTACCTAAGAGATAAAAGCTTAAATTAATAAATAACCACTTTAAGCACGCTTCTAGAAGGTTCTAAGCTCTTAATTACCCTAGATTACTAGATATCTCTATACTTCTAATCTTATCTAGCTATTATAGGCTATTTTCTAGACCTAGACTAGTACTATAGGGAGGTCCTACTAGGGTTTAAACCCCTATATAGTATCTATTTAGGTAAGTAGTAGAATCTTAAAGTAGATTAGGGTAGGATTAGGGGTAGATTAGGGGGAACTAATTAAGATATGATTAATATAGAATATATATATATTAATATAGAGATCTATATCGATTGTATCCTAATTAAATCCCCCTAATCTACTTCTAATCCGCCCCTAATCTACTTTAAGATTCTACCTCCCTCTTTTTAGCTTCTTTATACTAAAATTTCTATATCTAGGCGCTAACCTTACTAGTATAGTGATTCTAATACTAGAGAAGTATAAAATATTAGACTAGATTATAGCTATTACTATAGATAACGCTTTAAATAATAAGACTTTAGTCTTATCTCTTTAAGACTTTTTATAAGAAGCTTATCTAGCGACCTTAATTACTTAAGTCCTTTATATAGTATATATAATCTAGCTATCCTTAAAGTAGCTATATAGGATAATTAGGGTTAACCCTAAAAATAATAATATAGAGCTAGTTTAGTCTAAAGATCTCTAAAAGTATAGGGAAATTAGCTAAATAACTAATATAGTTTATACGCTCTAGAAAGTCTAGAATCTAGCGGTCTATATTAATGTAAGCCTATAAAGATAGGATGATTTTTAGGTAGAATAGATAAAAGATAGGATAAAAGACCTACTTTATCCTATCTAGGATATTTAGACTTAATAGAACTTAACCTTTCTAATATTAGAAAGAGCTATTTAGATTAGACTAGCTCTAGATAGCTATTATAAGCTATTCTAGGGTAAAATATATATAAGATTAGATAAATAGCGTTAAATTACCTATCTTTTATATATTATAAAGCCTTTCTTTATCTTTACTACTATATTATATAAGATAAAGGATATCACTATATATAGTGTGTTTAATATCTATAATACTTTATTCTAGCATATTAAGTCTTCTATTACTAAGCTTTAGTAAAAGAAGGTATATTTAACCTATATAAGCTTATATATAGGTTATATAAGCTTATATAACCCTATATAACCCTATATAACCCTATACTAACTATATAACTCTAGCTTTTATAGAAATAAGATATGCTTTTAGCTCTATAAGTAGCTAAATCTAAACTTTAAGAGTATTACTCTTAGACTATAGACCCAGCCCTAGGTAATATATATATATATAGAATGATCCTTACCCTATAGTATAAGCTTTAATTCTTTTAATCTAAAGAGTAGGAAGATAAGATAATTAATTATACTAAGGTCTATAGATCAAGCTTATAGGATCTAATTAGATCTTATTAATAAGATAACCTAATCTTAAGTCCCTAAGCCTAGAGATATATAGCTATAGAGCTAGTGGTCTAGTCTATAATACCTCTAAAAGCTAGTATATTACCTATATAAGTAGATAAGCTAGGAGATTACCTTTAAGCTAGTACATTAAGTCTATATCTATATATCTATATATATAGACTCTATATCTATAGCCTAGCCTAACCACCCTTTACTAACCTAACTAGGGCTAATTAATAAGGAACCCTATATCTTCTAGTAGAATAATTAGACTAAATACCCTACCCTAGCTTAGATAGCTTAAGATCTCTTCTCTATTCTAGTAACTAGTGCTAGTATAGAGCGCCTATTTAATATAGCATATAATATATACCACTACTAGTGTGGTAGGCTAAGTACTTCTACTATAAAAGACCTTATAGTATATAATCGCACTATAAAGTTTAATATAGATATAGAAGAGCTAACTTAGCTAGTCTAAAATCTTAAGATCAAAGAGGAGGCGGGATTAAAGGACTTAGAGACTTAAGTATTACTTAAGGATATTAGTAATATCAAGGATCTAGATCTAGATAGCTTAGGTAAGGAAGAGTAGCTAGCCCTAATTTAGTAGTCTAAGAGACTAAGGGAGGTTTTATCTAAAGATTCTTTAGATAAAAGGTTAGATAATAGAGAATTGCCTTTAATTAGGGTTTCTAGAAGGGCTAGAGCTACTAGGTAAACACGGGATAAAGTAGAATAGGCGTATTATTAATTAATAAGATTAATTA